CGGGTTCGAACCCGTGACCTCTGTACTACTTGCCTGATACGGACGCATCATATCTACTGTACGATTAGATTAGATGGGGCGGCAGCGCACGGCACAGCTCGGGCCCCGCTGACACAGCCGCTCTGACTCACCGGCCCCCGGGGCCGCGTCGGCATGCCGTGCACGGACCAGCTGCGCACGGACCAACGTGCACAGCCTGCCCTAATCTCCCCATGTATATAAGCCGGCCTCTGCTGCCCTAGGGACCTCAGTTTCGACCTCTTGTCCCTAGGTCAGTAAGCCCCCAGTTGTATTCTCTTTGCTTACTTAACTAATATACTATCTTGTCCCTAGCCTTAGGTTTGAGCATTGCTCACCATCGCTTCGGTGAGACTTAGTCGAACGCCCCCAGCTCCTTTTAGGTTTTCCCCCGTCGCTAGACCTCAAGTCGCGACATGTTCAGTGCGAATTCCGCGAGCGGCAACTGCTTTGCCCAATCATCCTGCCTGTGGCTGGTGAAAGCACGCAGGTACTGCTCAATCTCCTGATTCCAGCGCTCAGTCTGGCCGTCCGTCTGAGGGTGGAACGCTGTGGACAGCGCCGGCTCGATTCCCAGACCCTTGTACACCGCATGGAGATACTTCGAAGCAAACTGGGGACCTCAGTCTGATATGACCTTGGCCGGGGCCCCATGATGCTTGAACACATCGCGGATGTACAGGTCTGCCGCACCTTCTGCCGTCAGGGTCTCATGACAGGCTGAGAAGTGGACCTGCTTGGTGAAGCAGTCGGTGGTGACCAGGATCGAGTCGAACCCATCAGACTTCAGCAAGCCGATGATCATATCAGTCGTGATGATCTGCCACGGGTGCTCGGGGATCTCATTCGGCTTCAGCGGACCCTGGGGTTTGGCGGGGAATGTCTTGGTACGGTTGCACACGTCATAGGTGCTTACGTACTCATTGACAAACTTGGACATCCCAGGCCACCAGTAGTTCCGCGATATGAGCTCCAGGGTTTTAGCGCGGCCGCCGTGACCGGCAATCGGCGAGTCGTGGTGGATTTTGACTATATCCCGCCGGAGCTCCGCATTCTTTGGGACGTACACGCACCCGCGGAACAGCAGAAGCCCTTGTTTGGCATTCCACTCCTCAAAACCCCTTTGCAGCTAGGGCGGGCCGAGGTCCTGCACCTTTTCAAGTGCCTCGGCCACCTCCCGATCCTTCTCCGAACATTCCCTGATGTGCTTCAGAAGCGACTGATCGGCCGTCACTGAGGCATGACTGCGCCTAGCGGAGGCGATGCGGAAGCGCTCCAGCTTGAGAACCACCTGATCAGTGTTACCGTCCTCATCGCCGATTTGATGGTCTGATCGGCGGGAGAGGGCATCAGCCTTTCCATTCGACGTTCCGGTCTTGTGTGTGATGCAGAAGTCGAAGCAAGCCAGGAACAGCAACCATCGTGCTTGTCGACGCGTGAGATGCCGGGAGGTATGCCAATACTCGAGGTTCTTATGATCGGTTACGATCTCGAACTGATTGGGTAAGCCTTCGAGATAGTGGCGCCAATCGTCTAGCACCTCAATGATTGCAAGCATCTCCTTATCGTAGATCTCGTAGTTCCGCTGTGCTGGATCCATCGCATGGGATCTGAAAGCGATGGGATGCCACTTGCCGTCATCCTGCTTCTGCATTAGCACGCCGCCGGTGGCGTAGCCCGAGGCGTCAACCTCAATGCGTGTCTCTCGGTTAGGATCGTACAGCACTAGGACGGGAGTTGTCGCGAAAAGCCGCTTGAGCTCGTCAAAGGCGTGCTGCTCCTCTTCGCCCCAATGCCATGGGTCGTTCCCTGTGAGCCGGTCGAGTGGTCGCGAGATCTTAGCGAAGTCTTTGATGAAGCGGCGGTAGAAATTGGAGAACCCCCGGAACTTCTGAACGTCTTTCTTGTTCCGGGGTACCGGCCACTCATTGATTCCTTTCAGCTTTGCGGGATCCATCGCCACCTCATCGCCACCAAACACATAGCCAATGTAGTCGACCTTGGGAATGTCCCATTCGCATTTCTCAGGCTTCAGGAATAGATCATTATCCTGAAGGTGACACAGAACCTCGCATGTGACCTTTTCATGCTCCTCTTTGTTGGTGGAGAAGATGAGTATGTCATCTAGGTACACAAGGATCTTGCCGCCGACGATGAGGTCATGGAAGATCTTGTTCATCATTGCCTGGAAAGTGGCGGGGGAGTTGGTGAGGCCAAAGAACATCACCAGGGGCTCGTATAGTCCCCGGTTTGTTATGAAAGCCACCTTCCACTTGTCACCGGCTTTGATCCGGATGTTGTTGTATCCCCATCGAACATCAAACTTTGTAAAGAGCGTAGTGCCGCGGAGCTTATCCACCATTTCGGCAATCAACGGCAAGGGGTAACGATTTTGGACCGTGATTGCGTTCAATCGGCAGTAGTCCTGTACGGGTCAAAGTGTCCCTTCCTTCTTTTTGATGAAGAAGAAGGGGGATGAAATGGGCGACTTCGATTCCCGTATATAACCTTTCGCTAACTGCTCCTTCAGGAACTTATCGAGTTCCTCCTGCTCGTTGTTCGATAGGGGATACACCTTAGAGTGGAACGTCGAGTAGCCGGGCACGAGTTTGATCGTGTGATCATAAGGCTTCCTTTCGGGCAGCCGTTCTGATGCTTCTTTGGAGAAGACATTCAGGAACTCGTGGTACTGCTTGGGCACCGACTCCTCGGCGGTCTTGATGACCTTCTTCTTGATCTCCTCCTCAGCAAACAACTGGGAGTACGTATGTCCCGCTGCGACAAACAGCTGGGGAGCACCAGGAAGTGTGATACCTTGCTCCCAGGCTTCGATCAAGTCGGTCTCATCCCACTCTACTTCCGCCGGATATTCCTCGGCTTCGATGTCCGGAAGTACCTTACTCCGGCAAGCGCCTATGACCGACCGTTTGGACTTCGGCGAACGCCTGCGCGCCGTGGGCCTGACCCCCGTATCACGCGCAGTCGCTGCTTGCTCCATCTGGCCAGTCCTCCTGGCACTGCACGTTTCAGGGCATCGTGACAATTTGAGGGAGCCTTTCTCCCAATCAATTTCAGGGTTGTGCTCACGCAGCCAATCCAATCCAACGATTACATCCTCCGGACCGATGTCCGTGACTGTGAACACCGTCTTCTTGACGTGCTCTCCTATATGCATCTGTAACACTGCTACCTTCGAGATGCTTCCGTCTTTGTTGAGGGTGCCGTTGATATTGTACAGCGGAATTGGGTCCTTCAACTTCCGCGTCTGCACCTTGTTTTCGATAACAAATCGCTTGTTGATAAACTTCGTGGTGGCTCCGCTGTCCACCATAGCGATTATGTCCTTGTGCCGTCTTTTCCCTTGCAGTCGAACTGGGATGTGAAAGTGCTGGGACCCCTGGTCCAACTTATACACTATTGCAGTCGACAATACATCATATTTATTACAGGATATACGCGGCCCGATGCGTGCGGCATGAAGCGCGGACTGGATTAAAAACCCTCCTCCTTCATCGCCCGATAGTGTTCGAGCTCCTCGCGCATCGACTTCATCTGTGCTATCAAGCCCGCCAGCTCAGAACTTTCTGATTTCGCTGAAGCGGTGCTTGTACTCGCCGAGGATGAAGTGACGGGGGTGCTTGTCATGGCCTGGGTAGAGCCCGAGGCAACCATAGCCCGCGCGTTGGCACGTTTTGTGTAAGGCTTGTCCTTACAGTTGGGGCACTCGAAGCATTGGTACCCTTGCTTCCCGCAGCCAAAACAACTGCCAGGGAAGTCTCCTTTTCCAACAGCCGCATTGATGCTGGCCGAAGCTGCATGTGACTGGGTTGCACCACCACGTGCCCCTCCACGTCCTCAACCTCGGGCCGAGAAGAAGTTGTTCAGCTCGGGCCGACGGGCCCGGCTGATGTCGAGGATCTGCTCGACCTCAGTGGTGTGCTTCTAAGCTGCTTGCCACGTGGTGAAGGTCTCGAGCTTGATCTTGCGATATACGCGGGAGGGGATACCGCTCAGGTACTTGTCGCGTAGCTCCAAGTCCCCATACCCAGAGTGATCCGCCGGACCCTTGAACAGTGCGGAAAATTCCGCAGCAGTGCGTTTCTCGCGGACCAACTTGTCTGCGCAGAGCTTTGCCAGCTCCACTTGTGCTGCCGCCGCATCGTCGAGATTACCAAAGCGAGCCTTGAAGGCGGCAGTGAAGGCTGCTTCGTTCTGAAACGGGGTTGTGACCCCTTGTACACCCATCTGCACCAACGCGAGTTGGGCGAAGTAAGGAGTGGCCCAGGCATGGGCGTCACCGTCGAGCAGGCTCAACGCAACTTGCACCTTGAGCTCGATGGTTGTCAATGACGTGTTGATCAACCAATAGATGCAGAGTTGCGACAGGAACCTGTCGCATTCGATAATGGTCTTGCCATCATATTGGAGCGGGAGAAGGAGCTTCAAAGTCTCCTTATCAGGGGTGGTTGCAGGGGAGGACATTATCGGCGTCGGGGGGGACGGAGGACGCTGCGGGGGCGGAGGCGGCTGTGGTGGCCCTCCGCTGGTTGAACTTCGAGAGGAGTGAGTGCGCGAGCGGCCTCTTGGTGGAGTTGGTGGTGAAGGCGCTGGAGGAAGTTTGGCGGGGGGGTCACATACGTCAGGGACTGCTGACGTGGGGGCGAGCACTGTCGGCGAGGTGGACCGAGCAGAATCCGCGGACTCGGACTCCGAGACTCCTTCTTCACCTGCACCCTCCTCAGGCTCAGGCTCTGGCGCAGGGTCTGGAGGGAGATCTCCTCGTACTTGACTTGGACTAGCGACAGTTTGAGGAAGGCAGGAGCTGGGGGAGACAGGGCACAAATGCTGTGAGGCGGATCGAGATGCAAGGGTGCTACGGGGACCAAGTGGGTGCTGGGCCCTTCTGATCGCCTTGTAGTGCGGGTAATCTTGCACGACTGATCGGGGTGTCCGGTTGGGGCACAGCTGCTGCTCACAACAGTAGATGACAGTCTCAGGGCCGTCTGGGATGTAGATGTCGACGAGATCCTGAGAGTTGAATGTGTAAACTTGGCCTTGACAGGCAGCCACATTGGATGGGGGGAGGAAGGGGAGGTGTGCGTACCACGAAAGGCCGTGCTAGTCTAGCTTACACCTACAGCGCCTGAGGTGACACTGAGATTCGCAGTTCACGTAGGGCCCAATACTGCTTTTGACTATTATGCAGGAGGAACCAAGGCTACGCATCCGTGAGGACAAGTACTGCTCACTGAAGCGCAGGTACTTAAGAGTTTGTCTCTCAAGTGTTGGCGATGTATAGTAGGCTATCTATGTATCGTAAGGTATAGTGAGGGTGCGCACCACCCAACCTGTGGGAAAGGGAAGTGAGTGTGTGGGTTCCAAAAGAACGCCAGCAGTGGTGAGGAGTTTCGACCTAATGTCGCAACTTAGGGTCGAGCGACAGGGGAGACACAGACCAAAAGATGCTGGGGGCGTTTGACTGGGTCTTACCGAAGCAATTGTGAGCAGAGCTCAAACCTAAGGCTAGGGACAAGATAATACATTAGTTAGTGAAGTAAGGAAAAGGTACAAAGGAGGGCTTACTGACCTAGGGACAAGAGGTCAAAACTAAGGTCCCTAGGGCAGCAGAGGCCGGCTTATATACAGGGGATGTTTAGGGGAGGCAGTGCGCACTGGTCCGTGCGCAGCTGGTCCGTGCGCAGCTGGTCCGTGTGCAGCTGGTCCGTGCGCAGCTGGTCCGTGCGCAGCTGGTCCATGCGCAGCTGGTCCATGCGCAGCTGGTCCATGCGCAGCATGCTGACGCGGCCCCGGGGGCCGGTGAGTCAGAGCGGCTGTGTCAGCAGAGCCCGAGCTGTGCTGTGCACTGCTGCCCCATCTAATCTAATCGTACAGTAGATAACGATGCGTCCATATCGGGCATGTAGTACAGAGGTCGTGGGTTCAAGCCCGCGAAAAGGAAAAAATTAAAAGACAGCTAGACACCATACCAAGTCGTGACATTGTGACAGTCCCCTTGGAGTCAATTGTGGTGCTTCGTTATGATGATTCCCGCACTAGAGAACACATGCTCACTCGAGACTGACATCCCCATAATGGCGAAATAGTCTCTTGCAAGCGCTGCCCATGTCGGAAAGCAATGTGTATCTGGTTTGTGGCATGTTTCGCATACCAAATATAGGCGCCCAAAAGCGCCGGCTCGGGCTTGCTGAACAAGCCGGGCCCTCTGAGAGGGCTTTCGAGGGCTCGGGTCGGGCTTTTGGCGGCTCGGCCGGCTTGGGCCTCAAAGCCCGGCCGTGGACAACACTACTCACGCAGTCTCCAAAGACCAATGACAACACCGACAGGGCGTGCACGTGATCGTGGCGACGCGCGTGTGGCGTCTCCGGCTGAAGTTGAACTTGGCAAGTCCCTTTCTGATGCTGTGTCCGAGGATACAACCAGTCATCCATCAAAGTAATTGATGTAGAGCTGCAGATACCCCCCGGGCACATACGCTCTGATGCCTCAAAAGCAGGCTGCGTCAGCGGTACATCCGGGCTCATCCCAGATTGGCTCGATACCTGATCATCCCACGCCGAGCTTGAACGGCCCACAGAAATGCACAGCCATGTACCCAAAACGTAATCTTCTCCGGAGACAGTACTCGTGCATCGATGTTCTCGGCTGCACTTTACTGAGCCGATCTACAGGTTCTTGGGCTCAACACAGACCTCGGGTAAGCAGACAGGTGAGGAATTCAAGCCCATTGTGCACAGGTACTGAGCAACAGTAACGTAGATGTACGTGTGGAGAGGGCATTTGCAGCCTCCAGAGATTGAGATCCTTAATACTACCGGCTCTTCTCGAACAATATCACCGATATAGTCCGCAAGGGTTCTCTGAATTGGTAGGCGTGACCTGGCAGGAGTACCCTTGAATACCGCGAGTGAGACACGTTTCTACTCTTTACTGGTCTATAATGCAGGCGTCGCGGGCATATGACAACGCACATGTGACAGAAAGTTACACTTTAGAAGTTCTACAAACTCTGCTTCAAACACCAATCATTAGCGCAGAAAGCTCCTGATTCATGACTGGTGTGGTAGCAGCGGTCTTTCCCCACCTTTGCTAGCGGGGCTCCGCTCGGGAATAACGGAGGCTCGGCAGGTGTCACAACTACATGCCTGGTCTTCTCATGAGCGAGAGTCCTTGGTGCGGACATGAGCATGTGAGCAAAGGTCGAGGGACCAAGCGGCTAACCTGTTATTACCGAATGTCCTCCCTGACGCTGATTGGCCATAATCATCTTGTTCAGGGAACCAGGCTCTTCAATGCTTCGAGCTTCCGCGTCTCCCGCGACATCCGGGCCCATTCGCAAGGTGTCACTACTGAAATAAGGTGACATTGACCTACCATCATCTGTAATCCGGGTCATGGGTGCTTTCAAATGTGCCCTCTATTTTTGCTATGAACGTTGGTCCCGCTCATTCCGCTTGAGCTGAGGGTTGCTGCCCTAGTGAATTATATAAACCCGGCACTTTGTCGCACGTTCAAAGAAGTGCCTCGAGGATAATGTTCGCATTCCTCCCCATCGTCTCACTGTGTGCCGCCTCAGCGCTTGCGCAGTCAAGCTCCAGCGTATTTGATGTACGTCCCATTCCTTCATGTCGAGCAGAATATGGCGCTTGATGCCGAGTAATAATCTTGCAGTTCCTCGAATTCCCTCCAGCGGGCACACCAGATCCCAACTCTACCCTGGCAAACTCAGTAGCCCGACCTCCCTTCAGCCTCACATCCAACCCTGCTCTCACAGAGGCTCTCCTCCACTACGACACTGGTTTTTATGGCGAGCTCGAGCTCGTCCATGCCTACTACAACTATTGGCCAGTAGTCAGTGCTATTGAAATCGCGATCTCCTACCAGTTATGCTTACGGTGGCTCTCGCGACCGATATCATAGGGCGTCGGGGTGGCCAGCGACGGCACCGTCTTCACAACCTTCCCGCGGGGGAACGAGACTTACACCTTAGCAGTGTTCTCCAGTCCCACCACAGAAGCACCGTGGCCTAAGTATGTTACTCGTCTAACGGTCATGTTTGCATGCTGATCGCCTTGTTCCAGTGAGGAGTGGAACACGCCACCAGCCTTTGCAAACGAGAGCAGCCCCGGCTACAGCGTCGCGACCGAGAAGTTCCTCCTCATACAGTCCGTCGTCGTCGACGGACTCGATCGCGTCTGGGCGCTCGACACCGGCCGTCCGGAGGTGAACGGCTCGTACCTGCTCGCAGCCGTCCCCGGCGGGCCTAAGCTCGTCGGCTTCTACCTCAACGGCACTAACTTCGCCACGTACACGTTCCCGGCGAATGTGGTGTATGCCGACTCCTCGATCAACGACGTGCGCTTCGACCTCCGCGGGCCCGGCTATGCGTATATTACAGACAGCTCGCCGAACCGCCCCGGGCTCGTCGTTCTCAACCTTGCCACTGGCGAGTCGTGGAGGCATCTGGACGGCCATGCGTCAGTGAGTCCTGACACCAGCTTTGTTCCTGTGTTCGATGGAGGTGAGTCTACGATACGGTAAGGCGAGAAGTAGCTGATGTGAGCCGTCAGTTCCGTTCTATTTGTACCCGGTCACAACGCCGTATGCCATCAACAACTTTGGCCTGGTAAGCACATTCACTCAGGGTCGCGACCACCCACACTGAGGATGTTTAGTATGCGGCGGACGGTATTGCATTGTCAGCCGGTAGGCTCCCGCCTCCTGTCGTACACTATGCGCATCTGTACTGACATGGTGTGTCTCTGTTGAGATGGGCAATACCTTTACTTCTCCCCGCTTGCTAGCAGGCATTTCTGGCGCATACCCACTTCGTACCTGAAGCAGCAACCGGGACCGACCAACCCCGCCGCCTACCTGCTTGCCAAGCAGGCCGTCCAGAGCTTGGGCGAAAGCGGGAGCAACGCCGACGGAATGGAGACGGACAGTTCCGGGTACATTTACTCGGGCGCGCCTGGTGCGTCGAGAACATCAGGTTCGAGGAACGTTAATCAATGATACGAACTATGATATGCCCACAGAACATAATGCGGTCGTGCGATACAATCCTGCCACCGGTATCATGGAACCATTCGTTCGGTCGCCCTTCATTCAGGTACAGTCCAAACCACTGGGAAGAAGGCAGCTGGCTCACCATTCATGTTCCGCAGTGGCCCGACACCTTGTCTGTGGCCACGCTACAGAGCGGCGGAAGCTATGTATACTTCACATGTAATCAGTAAGCCTTCTGCGCCAACGCCACCCTATCTACTATCTAGTGGGCTCATCGCCATCACATCGCAGGTTGTGGCTCGGACCAAACTATCAGAACGGGTGAGTTCTGATCATTGCGTATTTTTGGGATCACGCTGAACACCTGTCTGCGCACAGGACTGACCTCCGCACGAGGCCGTGGGCTATGTTCAGGGCACCCATCAACGCCAGTAAAGCAACGCAGCTGGATTGATGAGACGACGGCGCAGCTCGATTTGTACGTACGGCGCGTGTTCCTGATGTCGCCATATATCCCTTGACTGCTGACAGATGGGATATCAGACTGCACGATGCTGACTGCACGATGATCTCGTTTGACATTCTGCCATATGAGCTGTTTGCCTTGCATATAGTCAAGTCTCACGGGTAGGTGAATGAATGAGACCCAGACCGTCGTCTGTGGCAGTGTTCGCCTGAGCCGTCCGAGTCAATTGCTCCGAGTCAAGAAGTCAATCAATCAACTCGCTGTTTATCTAAATGATCCCGGGACGAGGCATTCTGGTGCCACCTGCTATGTGTTATGCATGAAAGTGGGCAGCGATCAATGGGTGATTTCTAAGCGGAATCTTACACCGTCAGGAAACACCCCGCTTCGTCGATGCACGCGTGGGCGTAGTCTCCTGAGAGCAGGGTAGACAATTCCCTCAGTCTGCGCCGGCTCCGGATATCCTCGTCTGACCTTGCGCGGCCCGCGTTGGGACCGTTGTGGTGGAGGAAAGCGCGCTGAAGCCAGAAGAATAACGTCAACGAATTCGGGTCCATTTCTTTCTTTTCTTTTCCTTCTTCTACTCATCGTTCTATCATTCACTGCCATTCTTCCTTTCGACGAACGACATAAAAAGTACGTACGCATTCCTGTTTTGACGACTTCAAGGCTTGCAAAGACGGCGTCGATGGAGAGAGAAAGCGGCTATTGTAGGCTGATCGAGGGTGCCGGCATCGTCACGCACCTGAGGGCGGAAGGTCGCGAGCGTAAATATGACGCGTCCGGGGCGTACACCTTCGAGGAGCCGAGACATGGACAGTCGTGGACTTGATCCGGAGACGTCGAGTCCCGCTTGTCCGTGCCCGGGACGGGGCTTCCATCCTTATTTAGAGTGTCTTCCTCTGTTTTGGACTTGGTTTCGATCATTGGCTGTTATACGTGTCATTCCTCCTCGCAGACACGGTATGATGTCACTCCTGTCAGGGTACTCTTATAAGCCGGCGTCGGCGTCGAAAAATGTATCTTCCCTCTCTCGCACAAACCCCCATCATCCCCTCTCATAGCTCGAACCAATTGGCGATCGAAGCTACGCAAGCTCCGGGTAAGTGTTGAGTTCTGCAGACGGTTAGAGACGTGAACATACGCGCGTGGTCACTCGGACCCCCTTCAAAACTTGTTTGTTCGGACATTGCCATTCGGGCATGTTGGAACAACCGGTGCGACGGCGCGGCGAGCGCGTTTGTCCACGAGCTAGCGATGCCCGTAAGGGACAATCGCGTGCGGTACGTACATCGCGCGGGGTCGTTATATACTACGATAGAGGCCTCCGGCCCCCGGCTACTCGCGCGCCCGAGCTTGCGAGCTCATTCCTGACCACGCGGGTCAGCGTGTTTCAACAAGAATTACTAAAATGTATCTATATATCGCGTATTGTCGTCAAACACAGCACGACGACGGGACACCACTCGAGCGCCAATTGGCGGTGAGACACTGAGGTCACTGCCCATTACCAAAAGTGGCAAAGGCACGAGACCGTGGGTAAAGTCAACGGACCGTGGGTAGAGTCACGGTCATGCAAGTCATTTCCCATCAATAGTCAATGACTATGGCAAGTCATTGACTAGTCATTGACTCGCACATCACTGCCTCCGGCCCCCGGCTACTCGCGCGCCCGAGCTTGCGAGCTCGTTCCTGACCGCGCGGGTCAGCGCGTTTCAACAGGGCACGCATATCGTAGCTTTCACATCGAGTGAAGCATCGCATACATCGATCGTTGTCGTTCCCAGTTTTCGTTCGTCGATTCATCGCGCATATAGTCAGACATAGCGGCGATTCCTTGTCTTTCATATTGATTTTCTAGCTAGCCCCATCAGTTACTGTAACCTTTTGATCATCTTCGAACATCATCTGCCGAAGACTCCCACAATGTTTCATCCGCGATGCCTGAATAGGCGCTTGAGTGACTTCGGCAGCTACCGAACGAGCAGTGGATGCGCTGGTCCACGCCATCCGACGCTCACCTCGATGCCATGTGCTTGCTCGCTGTGCACAGCCTGGCATCATCTTCGCCGAACGTCGACGCCGTGCTGCTGCAAATCCTAGCTCTCTCCAACACTATTTTCTCCGCGCAGCCGGATTCGAAATACGCATCGCTTGCGCTTTGGCGCGAACGTCTGTCGCACCAGGATGCGCAGCTCATCTATCTGACGCTGGCCGACGCCGCAGAGCCCATCGCCTTCCTTTTCGCGCACCCGCGCCTGCATGACCCGTCGCTTCCCGTGTCCAGCACCACCGAGTCGCTGCATGTCTGGCTCGCGGGCGTGCTGCCCGAGTATCGGAAGCATGGCTGTCTCGCGCTCATGATGGCCAAGCTCGCCATGCATGCAGCGCGCCCGCTGACGGTGTGCACGACGCCTGCGACCTACCCGGACATGTACCGCTGGCTCGTCCGCAATGGCTGGCTGGAAGAGCGGGGTTTGGCGGACGGGAAGCTGATGCTGGCCAAGGTGGTTCCGCGCCCGGCCCAGGCAGCATAGACTCGCGCCGGCGGAGTGTCAACGGGGTGAGACATGCGCGCGCTTGTGTACCTGTACAGGCGTTCAATGTCTCGCACAGATGACATGTGTATACAAATATACACCACAGCGCGCGCACTGGCTGTCTTGGAAAGAGCCTATTTGCGTGCCACGCACGATAGGTCGCGAGCGATGCCGACGCGGCATCCGCACTCGTCGGGGGTTTTGTCACGGATAGGTACGTGTGTCTCAACCTAATCTGTCGCCTGCATAGTTGACTGCCATTCACGTCTAGGAGGAGGGGTCTATGAGATACTTATTCTGGCGGGCTTGCCCCTGGTTAATTGAGTCACAATATAATTTCAGTCGCCCACCCATACGGGCGGACCTTCTACACACACAGCCGTCGTGCCCACGTCGCGCGCTGGCCGCGACAGACCCCTCATTTGCCTAAGTATATCTGAATAGCGAAGATGGCCACGATTGCGCTCGCTTGTCCGAGGCGCGCCATCGCCAACTCGGACATGCGTTCTCCCGCGCTGCTCGCAAAAAAAGCTCTGCGGCGTGGCGCCTCTCGCCCGCAGACGGGCCGCCCCAGCCTCCTGTGATGGCGTGTGAGGGCCAATCCGGTGTGCCGAGTTCCCATCTCCGGCAGCACTACAGCGTGGCGCGCGCGTCTGGGCCTGGGACCGGTGTCGCAACTCCCGTAATGCGGCTGCGCGGCCTTCGTGCGTGCGCGGCGGATTTGCTATCGCAGGCCGACGCTGGACTGGGCTTCCATTCGCTCCCACTTCCTCGTTGATACACTGACCGCTCGCGTTTGGAGGATGGATATCTGCGTGCGGTCGAACCTTCGCTCGAGCTTCTTGACCAAGCACGCAGACCGACGACGCCCGTGGCCCGGAACGGCCGCCATCGAATGTGTCGAGAAGTGATAGGCTTCGCGGCTTCGTGCCGTGAGAGGAACGCGGATCGCTGCCATCGGGCGCTGTAGTGTAACTACGCCCGTTCACATTGGTTGAGGGCCCCCTTCTCTGCTCGTCTGGAAGGCAGTCAGGGCGATGGCAGCAGCGTCTGAGTGGAAGCACGCCCGATGCGAGGCAAATGTCCAAGCACACTTTCAGCTCTGATCGACAGGTCTTCAAGTTCATATTCGCTGCAGCACGTCCAAAGACCGATTCTAGCGGGACCGAACAAGGGCGGGGCAGGCAGGGAACCTGAAGATCTCGCAAGCAACCTTTCCCGATGACCACACAAACCTTGACAGAAGCTTCACAAGCTAGCCTCGAAGTCAGGTGGTTAGTATGCACTAGGCCTCGTCCTGCATGCCCTGTCGACACACCTGTGGCGTCGGAGCTGACAGTAGCTGTCAGATAGAGGCCGTGGCGAGTATCCGTTGGAGATGCTTGGCGATCGGGAGCCTGCTTGCCACCCATCGGGCCCAATCGAACGGATGGAAAACTCACCTCGTCCTGCTCACCTCGCGGTTGTACGCTGAAGTTCATCCTGCGATCGGCCTCACCACGCAAGCAGCAGACGACGAGTTCGAGATATAGACCAGGGGAGTACATTGGCGCAACGCATGTATGGAATGGGTGGTTTTGTTCTTGCAGTGTCAACAGTAGCGCGTGATAATACACATCTATGAGAATGGATGAGAGGAAGGGATCAACCGGACGCCCAAAGCCCAATAACAGAGCACAATGCACGATGCAACGGACGGAGAAACGCGCCTGGCGACGGGCACGGCAACAGGGGCGGCCTGCGGGTAACAGCTTGCGGCGAAGGGGGAATCGGGGCAGAAGCCTAAATGAACCGGAAAGGGGAATGGGAATGAGAATGGGATAGGCAGGACCAAAAGATATGTGCACGAATGGGGAAGGCGAGCTATGTAACAAACAACGAGCGACAGCGACGGGAAATGGGGATGTACAAGCAGCAATGGTATGCTCAAAATATAACAGATTTCTTTTTTCAACAGCGGAGAATGGCCATCGCTTAGCCTGGTGAACGTGCAGACGCCGCGCTCACCCGCCATGCTGTGCAGCTAACTCGACGAATGCTTCGGACCGGAGGGTATCGACAGCACCGGGGCTGGCAGGGTATGTGTCCTCGACAGAGATCCGATGTTTGGCACCGGCGGTTCGTCCCTCCGTCCGCCGCCTCCGCCGCCTCCACCTCGCGGTCCGAGCCCGCTCCCGCTGCGTGGACGCGTCTGCGCCCACCCGGTGTTTAAGCCGTACCCGAGCGGCGCAGAATCGCTCCTTGCACGTGAGCCTTTCTTCGCCATAGCCTCGCTCGCGCTTGCGGCGGCCGTGCCCGTACGCTGCCGCTTTGCACCCAGTCGCCCATCATCCCCAAAATCAAGCCCGGGCGATGGCGGAAGCGGCGTGCTTAGCGCTGTCTCGTAGCGCGCAGAGGATACCCCATGCCCAAGTGCATGCGCGTGAGCGTGGTGCATGCCGTCGTACCCAGGCAGATGCTGAAACGATGGCTGACGAGAGAGTGATGAGGGGGTGTGCGAGTGAGATGGGAAGTCCGCAGCGGTTGGACTCGAGCTCGGCGAAAGGGAGTGTAGCGAGTGCAGCGACGAGCTGCCAATTGATAGCGAAGGCGGCGCAAACGGTGGATGCGGCCCGCCATGCGTCGGAGAGGTGATATAGATGTTGGGACTGTCGCCCGCCGACTCAAGCAGTTCATTCGGGAACGGCATAGGAACTAAATGCGAACACGATGTAAATCCATACAGCACGCAAATCAAGTTCCATCATACTTACTGCTGCCGGGCCAACTGCGGGACATCACGTCATACATGGCCTTTGTCACAACCGCCAGACGCTCGACCTTCGCGCGCTCGGCGTGAACGGCCACAGCAAGACGGCGATTATCCTCCCGCGCCTGAGCAAGCTGCGCAGCGACCTCGCCAGGAAGCTCGACGCGATGTTTCAGCGCCGGATCCGGCTCGAGCGCCTTACGCTTAATCTCCTCGAGCAAGTCGGGACGCCCGCGCAAGAATTTATGATGCGAGAACTCCCACGTCTGCACGTCCGCGGAAGTGCGCTGCGCACGTGGTGTCTATGGAGCGATGATCAGCACATGACGACCATAGGCATACCCTGAAGAGCGAGGCGGCTCACGCGGTTGATCTTGTGAAAGCCGTACATGTTCAGTTGGCGGACAAAACTCGAGAACTATGACCACGCAAACAGGCGAGGAATGGGGCACAAAGGAGAGTAAACGATCAGTGGCGTCGCAAGTCAGAGGAGAGGGGATCCTGACGTTGTTGTGCTTGAAGTGCGAACCGAGGATTGTGCGGCTGAACTCGCCGACATTTTGCACGACGAAGCTAGCAAGACATGACTGACAGCACTCAAACAACAACGACGCAAGAGCGATACCTGGTGCCGAGCTCCGTCCACGAAATGAATTGCGCCGACTTCGGGTCGTTTATCATCCTGCGATATGCCGTTAGTGGGCCATAAACAAAACATAGCAAGTGGTGACGTACTGGTATAGCTTTGTCACGAAGTTGTTTGTCCCGAGCGGCTTGTTTAGAAGCCCCATAGACATCCCTGTATGCGTGCTCGCGTTACTTGAAGGAATCTGTGCCTCCATCGGCTTCATATGATCGTCTTGTTCTCCGCCGCTCGTACTTCCGTCAATCGGACTGTTCTCCGCATCAAGGCCAGGATAAGACATCTCCACCTCGTCGTACGGAGACGCATCCATTGTCTGATCGTAGGCAGGCTCCTCAACGGACGTTGAGAGTGCAGGCACGGTGCCGAAGCTCCGCTTTCGGGGAACGGACTTTTCCGATGATGAGGACGATCGGCTGCTGGTGAGCCGGCGCGTGTAGTCGTAGTGCGTGTCATCGTAGCGCATGCCACCATGATCAGGGGCGGCGAAGCCGAATGGCTGCTGAACGTGGTGGTGGTGATGCGCGTGGTGGTGGGAGGGCGCGTGGAGGCCAGAGGGACTGATGGGGGTAATCGGCGAGACATGCGTAGATGCCTGGGTGGACGGATGCGGGGAGGGGTTGATTGGAGACATCGCAGAAGGGGACGTTACCGAGAGGGACGAGAGATTCAGCGAGAGGGACGAGCGGTCTACGACGCGATCTGCGGACATGGTGTCGACAAGGGTAGGCGTCTGCTGTGCTGAAACGGCGGCAGGTTGGGAGTGCTGTTGATAATAGGTCGAGTAAGGCTGCTCACTGAGCGGATTGCCCGAAGTGGGGGCGGACGGGGAGGGGAAGGCGGACGCGGGATGTGGCGGGGCGGGCGGCATGAGGTGACTCGCCTGCTGCCACTGCTGGTGGCCCTGCTGCTGGGACTGGGAGAAGTGAGCTTCAGCAGACATGGAGGGCGGGAAGTGGTTGTCCATGGACAGACGGGGACGGGGAGGACAAGAATGATGGACGAGGGTTAAAGCGCGATGGGCATGCGGCCGACAGGTGGCAGGTGGGCGTAGACGAAGGACACGAGTCAGAGGGAGGGGGAGGGGATAAAGGGATGAGCACAGGACATGCAGCGCAGGCGCGGGCGACGGGTGGGCAGGACGGGCGACGGTGGTGGTGGCAGGGAGAGAGGCAGCGCGGAGGGCGTGCGGAGACAGAATTTACCTCCATGCCCACGCCCGCTTTTCTCCCAATCGAGATTCCAGGGTCCTGCCTATTCCGGTTTCTATATCACGCCCTCGGCACGTGCTCCCGCCCTCCGATCGCATGTCTCTCCGCAGGAAAACGGTGCCGTGCCCTCGGTCGCCCCTGCGCGGCTAACCCCGTGTCGCTCGCGGCTCGGCTGCTTGTCACTTCAGACAGCTGCTGCAACCTCCACCCCGCCCATCCCAACTCAACTCGACACCCATGACTCCTCTGTCGAAGCCCCAGACCGCCCGAGCGTTCACCTACCCACCAGATCACCCACTACTCCTACCCACTCCACTCGCTGAGCAGTAACCCCGGCTGCGGCCGTTTGCTCTCCCGCACCGTCATGTCATTCCCGTCCACAAGCGAGATCAGGACAGCCTGGGACCGTGTTTAGACCTCTCTCGACCAGTCACAATGCGCCGCGTCCTGAGCGCGCCGGCCTGGTCATCATGCAGTCATCACGACGCGCTCGACGCGCTCGCGTCATCCTGTGTGGCCCTCTTTGATGCAACTCCCATCGGCGGACAATTTGTCCCCGGCTTCTGCAAATAGTGACCATCCTTGGACTGCCGTATGTAGGCGTATCCTCGATGAGACTGATCCTGACTACAACCAAGAAGCTCGATGACCGATCGTATCAGCAATGCGCTATAGATACGCTCGCTCACCTACGTCTTCGGCGTCCCAATCGCTTGTGTCTTCGAAGCTCCAGGTGAGATAGACATTCTGCGGACCCTGCCGATAGCGCTCTCGCAGGCCGTCGGGCTCTGCATGTGTCCCGTCAGTACCCAGGACGGGTTTGCCCGGCTTCATCAAGATCAAAATGTCGCAACCACGCCCATACCCTCGCGCTTCCGCCGGCGCCGTCCCTCCATTCCCATCGCCGCTGAAATGCCCACACCAAGCCGGGTGCTATCTACGTGAGAAACAACTGCCCCGCGATGCCCACTTTCCCAGCTACGGCCCGTGCACCTTTCTGGGGGATAGAGGAACGCAGACGCGGGTCTCAGCTGTACACATCACTCCTTGCTGCGGAGTATTGTGACGTTTCTATCAAATCATAAATCCAACATTTTTGATCCCCCGGGCAGCGGCGCGGCGATCACGCGCGTAATAGTCTCCCCAATTGTGGCAAATGGCCGGATGCAGAGGTGCCACAAAGCTCTCTTATCTGGCCCAATGATGTAGGGCGGCGGGCACCATCCCAGCACCCTTACCAAAGTGGTGATTAGAACCAAGTGATGGTAGTAGCAGACGGCCGTAGCTCAGCAGAATGCATCGCAAGGTCTGGTCGAGCGGCATGCTCTAGGCTTTGGAACCAAACTCTCGCGGGAGAATTCAAGTGATGCTCACTTCGGCCCAGAGATGGCGGGATCCTGGATCGCGTGCATGCGCGTCTGCATGAGTGCAGCAGGATCCGATGCGTCATAGCCGACCGGAGAAATGCAGTAAGCCAGAGTTATCATCAACAGACGCACCTTACAAGTATGCGGCGTGCAGGGCATCGATTTCGGTCTGTGCGTATATGCGTGGTCTTTGTCGTGGCCACATCATCTTTTGGCAATAAGCTGGCGATCAGTACGATTAGCGGAGAATGGGCACTGACACATCGAGGTTGAACCTAGCTGTCATCTGTCCGTCCTATCCTTATCGCGCGGAGCGCATATACCCGCGAACCGTATCCGACGCGAGGTGATCCAGCTTTCGGCTACTCGTGAGACATGTTATGTTATATATTCTTGGCACCCGATGTTCGAACGTGTGACCGTATAATGTGGTGATCAGACGGCACTGTGTGAGTTGTCCGCGTCAATGTCTGGGTGGACCTGTCCAGTGGTGGACCGAACGAAAGACGTCCACCACATTGAGTGAATGTTTGGCAGGTATGCCCAGGCTGACGGCTGACGGCTGCGATGATGGACTTCTGCAATCAAAATCAACAACGGGGGAGTTATCGGGCGTTCCGTGCGCGCGCGGATGACAATTGCGATCACCCTTCGCACTTGATACGCTTGCGTTGATATGCTAGTCGGTGAGAAAACTCAGGATCTACTCACGATTATAAGACACCTAGGTTCGTCGCCCGGCCCGCCATCCCGTCTGAATAAAATTCCCGTTCAGAGAGGAAGGGGTAGTGCCAGCATTTGACATGTTCACGAGTGGTGATACATACCGCAACAGCATCCTTGTGCAGTTTGACGAAATATGACAGCCAGTGAGAAGTGTGACTAGCCCCCAGGAACACTGAGCGTGGAGGACTCACAAATGAGCAGAACGTGACCGTTCACTGCGACTTTATGGCTGTAGCATAAGACAGAGACGTCTAAGCTATTGTTCGGTCAAGGAGCCTGAATCGATGGATTATTGGGTATGTTTTCGCGATGTCTGACTCAAGCTACAATAGAGAAGGGAGTACTTGCCTGCGTTGTACACATGTATTGCTAAATACAACAGCGTCGACAACGAGTCGTTGAGCATGTGTAGATTTCATATCTTGGAAGTCGACAGAGGAGAAGGTAGAGCTACGCACCAGAGACGGTCTCTGTGTTCTGCGGGGACGAGATCTGTATCCGCCGTCGCTATCCTGGGAGGAAGAGCAGTCGCGCTTAGGAGGCGTGGAGATGGGTGTCTGTGGTAAGGAGAGGTTATGACATTTATGACCAGCTCTGCCCTTTATATACAAGCAAGAAGACGACATGACGAAAACACGACGGACGACGCGTCATGACATCATAGGACGACCAAACGTCCGATCGGCGATCGTGGGCGCGAAGAAGCTCGATATGGCGAAGTGCATACCGTAATTGGAAACTGAAGAGGGCGAGAATGTCGGTAGTCATCACGCTACAACGCTAAACGAAAGTATGATATGGCCGATAGTACGAAGCATCGCTGACGCGCCTTCGGCCAGTGTACGCGATCTCTCCCACCAGGTACGTCATTGACTAGTCCTGCGGCCTGCCCTGCATGGGAAAGCGCTTGTGATTTGAATGAAAATCAATCCTCCTTTGTAGCAAGATGTGGGTTTGAATATGAGTAGTCCAGATACGTTTTTATTAGTCTCCAGACTGATGCGCTAGTGATCGGCATTCAAGCACACAGCAATATTAGTAGTATAATACATGTATGTGCAGCATATTGGTCATGCAACATATCCAGTGCGTAGCGTTGCATTTGGCTCATGAATATGCTCAGAAAGGACACACCCGAAATAATCGGGCGGCACAGGGATATCACGGTTTGTGCATGTGTGTCAGTCAGACAATTCCAATCGATGGACCCATCCGTTGTCCAAAATCTCAAATAAAAACACATCTACTCGCTAGTGAGAAGCTGCATGACTTGATGTTCCGATGGCTTTAGCACACGCACCGGTGTAGTAGTGTCCGCCGGGCTAGTAGTGTCCGCCGGGCTATAGATAGAAGCAGGCGGTGATACACTTGAACTCAGACAGCCTAACACTGACCCTGACGGGCGAAGCCGAAGAAGTGCTGGATCACGACGAGCGGGTGCGGACACGGTTGAGACATATGACCGACCATACCACCGGAGACTCCATGTACCTGATGCCCGGAGACTGTGCGCTCGCAGGTCCCAGATTGGATCTAGTTGCAGATACTTACCAGGCACGACACCAGAGTCTCCTAGATCCGGGGACCTGTGAGGATGAGGAACGGACTAAGCGAGAACTTCGACTTCGTTCCAACGGCAGCAGCCGGCCATCGCGCGATGATATGTGCAGGACGGATAACGAGACTTTGGGTAGAACATCGCACCAGGTTGATATGGTCCGAAGGAACTGCGCACGATCGATTCACACGTTCGGGCAATTCCCCGGGATTCACATGAAATGGGGCATTTGACTCTGGGTGGAGAACGTCGCTCGATCACCTTCCTCGGCGCAGTCAAAGTTCACTGCACATACCACCTGAGATCAACGAGAGCCAATGGATTTCTCTTGTTATCGCAGAGCCATACACACTTAGCCCTGTGAGCCTCTGCGACCCTTCGGACACGCGTGGGGATGCCTTTGATCTTGATGTCGCTGCGTTCCTGTAGGCGCCATAGGATGCCGTCTATGTCGGAGTTGTCAATAGATCATGATATGTCAACACTGTACATACACGAAAGAAACAGGATCAGCGTACGGCGGAAGACAGATAGCAACTGCTAGCTAGCGCACCATATATGAGTGCTCACGCGCATCCTGAGGCCAAATGTACGCTCAAAGGATCGCAATATGTATTGCCGGGGTTCCAGATTCCGCAAGTTGTCATCGGTCATCACGAAATGGACATGCAGGCGTCCGTCCGTGATGGTTGATTATGCTATCCAGGGTAAGTGCCACAAATGAATTTACTCACTTAGCCAGTTCTTTGAGATCTACGTCAGCGACCATTATAACTTGTGGATAGCATCAAGGTGAGCCGGCGTCATTTGCATGTATCCAGTTGCGCAATGGTGACCTATAAACCAAATATTCCAGAGCGCAATACGAGGTGAAACGCGAAGCATATTAGGTGAAGAGTCGTCGCGACGGCGTTTAAGCGACCTATTTTAGGCGCGTTGGCATCCACGTGATCGCGTACTGTCACTATGGTCACAATGGGGTCACGACGCGGACTGCCCGCGGGTGACGGCGCAGTGACCGTGCTCCATTTCGTATTGTGCCGTCGACCTGGGCTGCATTCCTATTCTTCTCTCAACCACTTCGCTCGTTTAACCTCCTGTACAACTATCACGACCTCAGACGATATAGCGGTCCTCGTCCAGCCTCGAGACCTGCATGGCTGAGCCAGTCTTCGACGAACACCCGCTCGAAGAGTACTTCAGAAGTTCGTGGCGTTCTGGATCCAATATCCCGAGATTTCCTTGTTCTGACTATGGAGGAACAGAAACTGGGGAAACGTCACAGATACTCCCTGGCGGTGCCCCTGAATTCATCGCAGAGCCCGACGACAGCGAATGCGCTTCTGCTGTGGGATGGCTTGACCCTGAGCATCTGCCTTACATAGTCGTTGAGGCCATTCAGGTGAACATTTATTCATTGTGAACTGAGGTCTTATACAATCTTCAATGTCCTGGGCCGGTGTTTGCGTCGCGGGATCATTCAAGTTTGGGTGCTCTCCTGGATACATAACTCGGAGGTCGCTACGTTGCGCTCTACCAAACTGCGCAACGCTGTGACCTCACAGCTTGATGAATAAATCCGTTAACCCACCGGGCCTTTGGATTGGATTGAGTCAGCTGTGATGACCTCTCCGCCGTAGACCTGCTACTCGGCCCGTCCAAATCTTGGAACGGCATTTTGTCTTACGCTGCGCGTTAACCGATCACAAGAAGACTGATGGCCCGCTTTCACCCATAGCTTGCAAGCCGTCTCTGCAATGGCAGACAGTCTCCTGAAAGCACATTCGCCGAGCGTTTCAAGTACGACGTGATCTCATCCTCCCTGCTCTCCACCTCTATTGCTGCTCCATTGAGCGCCACACGGCGAAGCTTCTCGCCGGAACTGCCTGGAAGATTGGATCAGGAGAGCAATGCCTCACAATCCTCAAGTTTGGAACAGAACGAGCCAACTGTTATACCATCTTCACTGACAGAGTTTAACTGGTTAATCGTCTCAGTATCTATTGCCGCTGTTGCGCTGTTCTATGAGTTTTACTTTGTTGCTATTTTCCTCATAGGAGGAGCCACATATAGTTGGCATGCTGAGAAGGTACTCAGTGAGAAGGCGTCCATCATGTCCGCTGTGAGTACCCCAGTTATTTCCCTCTCGTGCTCGTCCTGTTGACGTTGTGATTCAGACTCTGCGCGTTCTGAACGATGTCATTTCGTCAGGAAATGTCTGGGATTCTGCCGTTAATGAAGCAATGGCAGTCATCGAGAAGGAAGAGCGAAGGTATATTTTCGTAAGCAGCTATTAAGAAAGGTCACTGACCCAGATCGTTCATGACAGTATCTTCTATGGCCCTACTGCCCCTCATTCTCCGTCGTCCGGAGTTCGTGTTACTCTTCAGTCGTCTCTGCACACTACTCAAAGTCAATGCGACAACGTCCGCCAACTCCTGTCGGCGCTTACAGAGCCCTCACAGCTATCACAGCTCTCGGAGATGTACGCGCCGTCGTCTCCAATGCGCGAGACTTTCCCCTCACTCAATCAGCCTCGCCCTCTCTCTGTCCCACTGAGCCGGCAGCGCACAATGTCAGGACCTGCCGATAAGCGCGCGACGTGGAATGGTTCGTATGCCTCCCTTGCTCTTGCTGGCAGCCCGACATCGCATCTGCAGAAGCGCAGATCGTACCGCAACTCGGATATGTTATCCTTATTCGATGCACAGTCCGCCAAGGCCTCGAGCTTGAGCGCTCCCCCAAGCCCTCTGGTACCCATCTCGCTCCAGGAAGTGCAGGAGGAAGATGACGACGAGTCGCCATCGGCTTCTCCTGCTACTCACAGCGAATATTTTGGAGCTGCCCTGCTGGATTTCCAGCGGAAACGGCGCAGTGCCGGTATGGAAACGATAGGTATCCCCCCGCCGCCGAGCTATTCGAGCCACTCGCCCCGCTCTCATCGCAGTAGCGGCTCCACGTCTTTCAGCCCTGTTCTCCGCACGATCCCCTCGTCTCGTTTCACGACTGTGCATACGACCCGTCATCCGCTTTCACTTTCTGGCCTGCAGCTGGCCTTGCACGGCGCGCTATCGGCAAAACGGTATGCATGTTCTCACTTGCTAGCGTTACGCTTTGAAGAAGACGAGGACGACTCGTACTGGGAGGATGTGCGGTCAGTGATGGCGCTCCTGACGAGCACATTCGAGGACGCATCGTCAAGGTTGATGGAGGCGCTCAACGAGGCAGAGCGCAAGCGTGTGCAGGACGAACGGCCCAGTCCTGAGAGGGGCATGGCAGCGCCAGTACTTTCAGCCGCTCTGCGCTCACGCACAATGGCAGAGATGATATCGTTCGCGCCTATGCCAAGCCATCTGTCTCGCTTCGCAGCACATGTGGACGCAATATCGACTGCCCTCAATGAGGCAAGGTTGCACCTAGAGCAGACTGTCGCTTCTCTACGCGACCCCTCGCCGGCGGAGGGTGTGACGAGTGCAGGAGGTTCCGCTACCGTAGCCCAAGAACATCCCGCTTTCCAAGCATACGATCGACTCAGGAAGGAGCTCGGCTTCGCTTTACGTGAATGCGAGCGTGGACGCGAACAACTCCTGGATATCGTGTCAGGGCCGCGGATACCACCCACAACCGAGGACGCAGACGACAGTCCAGGCTTAGGACAAGACAGCGAAAGCGAACCGTCCGAAAGGCCCGGGCCGTTCTCGCCAGCGATACGTTTCCCCGACCTTGCTACCGAGTCCGTAACCTTAGCGCTGAGCCGAGAAGACGAGCAGCTTGATGATGCCACGGCACACTTACTGCTGACAGCGTCGTCACAGCATCTGCCACCCCCGGGCATCGAGCAGGTCTACGAGACCGACACCGGGGTCGTAGCACCCTTTACCCGGGAGCGCTCGAAGTTAACCCGAGAAGAGCGTATCAAGCTGTCGAAGGCAAGACGCGAGAGCGCCGTGTCGGATCTGATGGACTCGTCGGAACAGTCAAGACGGTCGAGTGTTGAAAGGTGGGGGCCAGGAGGTGAGGTGGTGCAGGAGTTGAAGGACGTGATCTGGAAAGTGAGTGAGAAGCGGAGAAAATTGGTCGGGCAGTCAGAGTCCCAGAGTTGCTCGGAGCAAGAGCAACCGTTGCTGGTTGTTCATGATACCCCTCGGACAGCTGAGTTGCAGAGTCCCGAGGTTGTGGCCTCATGACGCGATATATCGTGCTGATGCGTACTTATGTCTATACTATCCTGCTGTGTAATGGGCTTGTGCCCTCTTCGGAATTGACTCACATACTAGGTCGGATGCATCTTGTCGTAATGCTATCCTGCACACTAGTGTTCGATATGGTCATGCGGGACGTGCCGCGAATAATTGATTGAGCTGTTGTTGATGGGTCACTGGGCATCGTTGTTGTGCTATGAATATGACACGATCGAGTTCATTGAACAGCCATAGCTTCGCAGGAGCTATATGGTCGCAAGTGTCACTTCCCGCATATATAGGGGTATAATCGTGAGCAGTGTCTGTGCCACATGCGTACAAGCATAAGCATGTAGTTTTAGCGGGAAACATGCTGCAGCCCTGTGCTACCCGGAGAACACAAGTTTCGGCCTTAGCACGAGGGCGAGCACCGCACGCTACCTGGAAAACGTTGCCCACTGGCACTGTTCAGTCGAGTGCAAGGCATATATGGAACCGCTCAGTATGCTTGTAACTTAATTTTGTTTCATCCCTCATGCGAACAGGTTTCTTTCTCGCAGAGCCCACACATCATGGAAGCAGTGTCGTATCCGGGCACATGCAATACAATCCCATGCCGTCCGAATTACAACTGGCATCCTTGTAATCCTCAATTACAAGCGACCCACCTGTGGAATGCCAAACAGCGAGCCAACCTTGTAGGCGACTCCGATGTCATGAGGCCGGCCACAGGAGTGCCCCGTTGTCTGACTGTTGCATAGAATCTTCCTGAACAACACTTACCATTTAGTCCTCGTGCTAAACCTATCCCAACCCCTGCAATTCAATCACCTAAACATTAACAGCAACTTCAACGCTGACCCAAATACGTACACAAAGCAGACAGAGCAAAAAGCGCAAGCGCATTTATAGCGACACCGAAGAGCAACTAGGAAGTCATCCAGGTTACCTAGATAATTTACTCACCTTTCAAACAAGCTGAACACCACAATCACACCGAACATTAGTGAGCCCTCAGAAGTAATTCGCTATTTCGTCAAAGTCGTCAACTAATATACAGTACACCTTGCAACAAATCACGAATCGCGTTCAGTCAAGCTCGTTGAAGAACGAGCGGCGCGCAAACTCATCGAGCTCGAGATCGAAGAGGGCACGGCGCTGTGCAGTATCCTTGTTTCTCCAGGAGGACCATGCGTCGTGCACGGACTCAGCAGCCGAAGCGATATCACTGACGAGGCCGACACCCGCGGTCGCCTTATCGATCTTCTTGCCACGGCGCTCGACCTGCTCGTACACGTCGTACACGGCGCGAGCAACCTTTTGACTGAAAAACAAGGTCAGCAAAAGGAACAAACCACCTTGAGGTAGAACACTTACGCGGTCTGCTTCTCGGGCGTGCTAGGTTGGTTCTGAGCAGCAGGAGCAGGGCGTGTCGCGGCGTTCGTGCGCGCCGGGACGCTCTCAGGCTTGCGGCCGTTCTCCTGTGCACCCTCACGGTGAGGCTTGCGGTCGTCCGTGTGGGCACCTTCACTCTCAGGCCTGCGCTGGCCCTGCATCTGCTTGGGCTTGCGCTGACCCTTGCGCTCATCAGGCTCGCCGGCCTTGTGTTCCTTGGAGCCCTTCTTGCGGCCCTGACCCTTGCGGCGCTTGCCGCCCTCCTTGCCCTCACGATACTTGCCATCGTGGAGCTTCTTGCCCTTTCGATTCTTGCGACCTTGGCCCTCACGGCCCTCGCCGTTCTGGGGGTAGCGGTCGTTCGCGCCTTCCTTCTGCTTCAGCTGGTGCGCCTTGGCGGAAACCTGCTGTGCTTGCTGTTGGTTCTGAGCATCCTCAGCAATGGCACGGGCAAAAATTTCTGCAATAGCACTGCAACAAAAGTCAGACAGCATATGACAGGCACATTGTGGTAGATCACCAACCGGGAGACGTGAGGCTTCTCCTCAGGTTCTTGCTGACCCTGCACAGCGTAGCGCTCATGATCGTCCTTCTCGTGGTCCTTGTGTCCGTGGGGGCGGCGGTGAGCTTCGTGTTGGTGAGGCTCGCCCTGAGGCTCGGCTGGGAGAACGGCGGCTTCATTGCCATTGGCCGGAGGGAAGGGGAAGGGGAGGGCGCTGATAACACGATGTTAAGAGCAAGAATACCAGAAAAGCAATTAACATACCTAGCGAGAGGCGCAGCAATAACAACGGCAGCAGCGAGGATCGTGGAGGAACGCATCGTGATTGTTGTAGTTGGGTTAGGAACGAAAGTCGTAAGATGTAATGAAAGAGTGGCAAAAGTCGTGACAAGAAAGAATAGCGAAATTAAAACGAAACAAGTCAAGCTGCAAGAACAAGGTAAAGCCTAAATCAAAGATAAGAGACCAAGGAATTCACTCACTATCCAGTACCTGTACTTGTGAAGCTTGGCTCGTCAGATCAACTGAGGGCTGAGGAAACTAGAGCGGACAGCAGGCATCTTTTATAGCTAGCCGGCAACGCGCGCCCTGGCGAATGCGCGATCATGCCCGTGCGGTGCATCTGATCATCATCGCTTGTTGGCTGGACGTAATCAAATGGACGCCGGTCTCATAGACGATATGCTCTAGCTCGCTCAGAGCTTATTGCGTTATGAGACTGTCCTATACGGTGCATGCGGTGCGTCAAAACGCAGGGCAGCTTTCTTACGCCTTCAAAGAACATCGCATACGCACCTGCAAGGTGCCGGTTCGTGAAATAGTCGTAGCTGGGTTATGCAATATACATCCATGCTAGCTCGCTGACGCCGATGATGCCAAGGTGCCCATGAAGATCGCCAAACCCGGCGCCCCGGTATACATATCGGAACAGGCTGCGCCGACACGGCTTCAGGCATCGCGAAACATGAACTGTGGGCGTTCAGCACGGCCCATTACTATGTTCAGGCGTAAATGCTGTGCTCGTTTACTGGATGTAACCCCTTGATAATGGAGTTTTGAGTCCGCCCTTGTCGGCAGCGCAACAAGAGATGCGTGAACCACGTCGAGTTGTGTGAGGAGTGGGGGGCTATGTGCATATCGACCGCTTCAGGTCGTTATGCAGTCTATGTTTCGAGATACATATTAGCGTCCGTTGGTACACCTTGTGGCTGCTATCATTGAATCGGGGCGCTAGACTGGCGTTGAGTACTTCAAGGTAATGTTCCATGAACATATGAGGACTATACGACGACGCGAAGTCGCCGCGCTCAGGCTGTAAGTATATTATGGTTTTCCTGACGATATCGCAGTTGGCTCTGTAGCGGTCGTCGATTGATGTTCCGGAGTGGAAGGGCGTCCATTGCATGATGGGATCAGCGAGCGCCCAAGTAACATCCGGGTCCCTTGCCTTCAACCACCCTAGCAGCTAGCTCGCTCGCAACTTGTACGCCATTTTGACTGACCGATGAGTCTTTTCCAAGGCCAAGGTGTTGTCAGAACCATCTGTTTCTTATATGCGCTCACGTCGGCCCTCGCAATAGCGTTCTTCAGCCCTTCAGTCCCGGCATGGATCCAGCAGACGTGGTGTAAGTGGGTTGTCCCATTGGCACGTCTATTTGCCAATGAAGCGTTGATTCTGTTGTGTAAGTGACTCACGGAGGGACCGTGGTGCAGTTAAAGGGGGACCAACGGACGGCGCGGTACTGTTTCTGTTCAGGAAAGCAAGACCCATGGCTTCCAAAGTAACGTACGCGCTTCGCCGAATTAGACCTTCACTGACCACCCCGGCCAGGCTGCTCAAGAGATCTGTTGCTGTGAGCACAATTTACGCTTACTGCTTAGGGACTGTGATGTTTAACCGTCCCCAGGTCTTCCACTCGAGCTGGATCCCGGAAACAGCGGCAGCGCAGTTCCAACTTCCCTTGGGACGCTACGTGCTTGACGGTATGCGCGCATATATGCAGTCCACGGTACGACCAAACCATTCACAGACTCTTCAGACCGTTGTGCGATCGCAACTCCAAGCTCGACACTCAGCACACAGACGCACTCCTCCCCAGGCATATCGTCGCAGCGCTCCTTAACCGTCGAGTCCTCACCGTTGACGCCGCCCAGGATTCAAAACGCCCCCCGCAAGCGGTCGCTTCCATCTGATGACGAACCAGTTTCTGAACCTAGGCCGCGCAAGAAAGCTCGTAATATGGACTTTGACTCCGAGGCGGAGGTCCTATTTATTGTTTCTTCTGTTGCTCCCCGCCCGGCCGAGAGGCTTAAAACACGCTCCCGCAAGATACCTGAGATCGATTTCCGTCGGCTAGCGCCGCACTCGTCCCGGTTGCCTCCTCTGGAATACGAGCCTGTGAAGTTAAAGCCAATGTGAGTGTTGATAGATCATGTGCGCTCGTGTACTTTGGCTGATCCTGCATAGGCCAAAGAGCAATGTCTGGAACACGCTACTTGACACGAACTGCTCATCCCCTCGGGTCTCTGTCTCTGTTGCTCTGCATGCTCTGCGTGATGTATCGACTGCAAACTCCACTCGATTTACCCCTGGGTCGACCCACCTTGGCAAACAATTGACGTGCTCTTACACGAAGAAGGTCCGTCATTGATTTTACGTCGACTCGCCGCCATTCTGCTCTGGACGTTCTGCTGTCGCTTTGTTATTCAATCATATACCTCGCACAAAGTCTAATATCAAGGCTGTGAACTCATCTGCACTTCCTTGCGATCGTCTTTGCGCAGTACCACCTATTCGTACAGTTCGGCGTTACCTTGTTCTAATGATGTGACGAGCATGCCCCTGGCCCATTGACTGTGTAACCTTGAGTTTCCGACTGCTCGACTTCAATTTGCGAGATTACTATCCAAGTAGCGGAGGGTTAAATCCAAACCGACAGTACGAATGCAGACTTAGTTGCTAGCCATTGCACCATACATTAAAGCTAGAATTCTACAACACTCGTCTAGATGGCTTTGCTCTTGACAAGCTCTGTGGAACACTGTAAGCACGTCTCTTGGCGCAACCAGGAGGATACGTACGCTCAATCTCTGCAACCGCGCTCGTGAGGATCTCTTTCTGAGTCTTCTCGTCGTTGACGCTCTTGAGAACATTCGCGATGATGGTCCTAGCGAGCTCGGCCTGCTCGTTCTCCTTCTCCTGCTGCTCAAAGCGCACCCAGCTGTCGAGGACGGACTTGACCTCGGACGCAAGCACAACCTTCTGGCGCTGCACAAACGCCTCTGACTCGAGCTTGGCAGTCTCCTTGGAGAGCGCGAAGAGCCCCTCGGTGACGGAGACGACGTCCTTCATCTGCTCAACGGACTGGATGCGCTCCTTGACGGCTTGAGTGTGCTCCTGACGCGACTGGTTAAGGATGTTCTTGACGCGGTTGATGTTGTTCTCTGCCCAGTCGCGGTACGGCTCTCGTACGCTCTGTACTTGGCATGAATGACTGCTCTGAGGAAGGTAGAATGACTCCGGGTAGATGGGAGACAGACCTTGGCGATGAATGTCAGGAGGATGAAGAAACCGGCAGCAATGACGGTCTCCTCGTTGACGACGTAGAGCTCCTGCGAGATGGCGGTCGCGAGGAGGCCAGTGCCAAGAATGACGCTGCCGGTTTTGGTGACGAGGCCGGGGGATGAGGGCATCTTGTTAATGAGCTCGGAGGCGCGCTCGGCGGGCGGCGGGGGGTTAGACGAGCTCGCCATGCCCCGGCTAGAATTCATACGTCCAAGATTGTGTTAATGCCGGGCTTTTGCGCACAAATGCATGGGGACATACGCGACAACAGCCCGAGGAATTGCGGCGACCGTCTGCGGTCGTACTGGTATCTTTCAGCATCGGCTGAGGTCACAACAAGTTTGCGAATTACCTGAGGCCCTCAGCGAGCTAACGGCAATCCTGGACGCCATCCCGTATAGAGTAGAAATTGTAGCAGACAGGCTGGCAAACGCTGCAAGTGACGAGCTCGCATCGGGCAAACAACGCACAAACACCGCCCCCCGTGGGAACTTGTCTTCCGACTTCCTACGATATCTTCTTCTCAAACACTTGGGTAACTACTAACAATCCTGATTTATTGAATGTGAGACACGTATAAAATTGTGTTCAGGCTTAGCATACGTATGTGGTGAGCGTACAACTCAAGTGAATTTAGGTTTTTCAAAACCGAATAATCCCGGGATAGTCACGTGTCGACATAGTCCAGTAGTCGACATTGCCGACTGGCATAGAGACGTCGTCTGCGACAGTCTTGCGCGCGTTGATCTTCACTTTTCAAGTTCTTTTTGTTGTACGGAAGGTGTTTTTCTTCTCCTTGTGCTTTGTATACAAAAAGACCTCAGGCAAGACGTCCTGCGGCGCGTGACCACCTGCCGAGAGTCGACGCGTTTCTGTTCCTGCGAAGCGTGTCGCACTGCGAGTTGGCTCGCCACCGTCTTTCTTTCACCACACCCAGTTGCCCACCATGGACTCAGACCTCATAAAGCTTGTGAATAAGCTTCAGGACACCTTTGCCAACCTTGGTAAGCAGCCACAGTCCTATTCATCATCATGGTACATTCGGTATGAACGGTGTGGACACAGGCGGGGAACTCGACATGCCACAACTAGCAGTGGTACGCGTCGAGCCTCTAGTCTCTAGACAATACAAATCTGACATTACAAGCTAGGTTGGCAGCCAGTCTGCGGGCAAGTCGAGTGTCTTGGAGACGTATGTCTTCCCTAGCACGATCCCGGTATGCAGGCTAAGTGATATCCACCCAGGATTGTCGGACGGGACTTTCTCCCGCGCGGATCAGGTATTGTCACACGAAGACCACTCGTCCTCCAGCTTATCCATACACCTGTCCCCGAGACAACATCGGGTGGCTTGGAGCCAACATATACCGAATGGGGCCAGTTCTTGCACATTGACAAACGGTTCACGGACTTCAACGAGATTCGCCGCGAGATCGAGCAGGAGACGTTTCGGGTTGCAGGGCAGAACAAAGGCATCAGCAAATTGCCAATACACCTACGAATATACAGCCCTGACGTGTTGGATCTGACACTGGTGGACTTGCCCGGACTAACAAAGGTACGTGCCCTTATAGATCGTGTCTGAACACCCGTCGTAAAGGGAAGGGCTAGAGTCGAAGCCGAGCACGTTTTGCCCGCTGAATCGCCTCATACTGGAAATTGTTCTGACGTTCAAGGGTCCAAATGGCTATATGCTGGACCCTGATGTTATCGCATAGTCTGTACCCTTGCCTATAGCTGGATTCTGTCAGGGCAGGTCCTCCAACGACTGGCGGCAAATGAGGCCTCCCCGTTAGCAGGCTATAGTAGGGCCATAACGCAGCTTTGTTGTCTCATGAGTCCGGACAGAACACAAACATTCAGCGGGAGACTGAAGGTGGAATTGTGTCCGGATATTTGAGCCAGAAATTGTACCAGACATAAAGGACATTTTTCCGAAACAGCATATCTGGTCTTTCCAGTCAGATTACATGATACTCATACCAACACGTATAGATACCCGTAGGTGATCAGCCGAGCGATATCGAGAGACAAATCAGGAGTTTGGTGCTGGACTATATCTCAAAGCCAAACTGGTATGTGGCAGATGATTTATCTCATGCAGGGGTCTTAACGTTTGTAATTCAGCGTGATCCTCGCTGTGTCTGCTGCGAATGTCGACCTCGCGAACTCGGAAGCGCTGAAGCTCGCCCGTTCTGTCGACCCTCAGGGTCGACGAACAATCGGCGTGCTGACGAAGCTGGACCTCATGGATGCGGGGACGAACGCGCTCGACATTCTCACTGGACGCGTCTATCCCCTTAAGTTGGGTTTCATTGGTGTCGTATGCCGCAGTCAGCTAGACATCAACGCATCCAAAAGCCTGCAAGACGCGCTGGAGAGCGAGGCAGACTTCTTCCGGTCACACGCCGCATACAGAAATATTGCACACAAGAATGGAACCAAGTATCTGGCCAAGTCTCTGAATCAGGTATGCGCCACAAGATGCCGTGATACTGTGTCCGAATATTTTAATCAAAGAACACAGGTCCTAATGAATCACATACGAGACAAGCTCCCGGACATGAAGGCTCGACTCAATACGCTCATGGGCCAGGCTCAACAGGAGCTTAATTCGTTCGGCGATGCGGCAGTGTATGGCGATAAGAACCAGGTACTGATACTGGCAACGCTTATCGTATATGCGCGCATCTGACAATCTTTACAGCAAGGTGCGCTCGTGCTGCGTCTCATGACACAGTTTGCGCGGGACTTTGTGGCCTCGATTGATGGCACCAACATGGACATCTCGACGAAGGAGCTATCTGGCGGCGCGCGCATCTACTACATCTTCAATGATGTCTTCGGGTCTGCATTGTGCTCGATCGACTCGACGCACAATCTCGACAATCAGGACATCCGCACTGCGATACGCAACTCGACCGGGCCACGGCCGAGCCTATTTGTGCCTGAAATTGCTTTTGACCTCCTTGTGAAGCCCCAGATCAAGCTACTAGAAGCCCCGAGCCTGCGATGTGTTGAGCTGGTATACGAGGAATTGGTCAAGATTTGCCATAATTGCACCAGTACGGTAAGAGTTAGGCCAAACACGAGCGGCATCTGAGATCTAACTCCTTATAGGAGCTACAACGGTTCCCGAGGCTACATGCACAGCTTGTCGAAGTGGTCTCCGAGCTACTACGAGAGCGCCTCGGGCCCACAACAGAATACACGCAAAGTCTGATCGATATCCAGACCGCATACATCAACACAAACCACCCTGCTTTCATATCAGGATCTGCGGCTGCGGCACATACAGTGAGCGCTGCGTCACCAAAACAGGAGCCTAGACGGGTAAGAACCGCCACATTCCATTGCCCGCAACTCAATCTAACAGAAACTATCCTTCATACAGCCGTCCTCGGTTCACTCGGTGAACGGCGTGGCGCCGCTGGAGGACGATGAAGAGATGTCAGAAGAGGGCCTTGGAACGAACGGTGTTGTTCCGCGTGATGGGCGCTCCATCTCGTCCACGGTCCACGACCGTGCCCGGACGACTGCGTCTGCGACAGAGGGCCCACCGCGCCGACCGTCCTCTCCCAAATCTCTTCGTCATCACCATCACACTATCCGGCAGGGTCCCTCTTCCTCGTCACAGCACTCAGGGACCACGAAGGAGACGTTCCTGAACTATTTCTTTGGCCAGAACGGACCGGGTCCGCTGGCAGGTTCAAGCGTGGAGCGCGCAAGCGGTTCGACGGGCGTCACCACTGTCGGACGCGATGTCAGCGGCGGAGATTCAGCGCTGCAGTCAGGGCTACTCGCGGGCAAGCGGAGCCTGGAAGGTAACAATGCGGCGTTCGACATGAAGAGCCTGGGGAAGCATATTGAAGCGGTACGTATGCGGCTCCAATTCACGTAACGTCGGACATGGGTGTGCGGAGGTTCTGATCGCTTCTTCTTCAGGCGTCCGATTCAGGCCCCCAGCTGACCCCCCGCGAGGAAATGGAGACAAATTTGATTCGCTCGCTCATCTCTTCGTATTTCAACATCGTGCGTCAGACGATACAGGACCTGGTCCCGAAGGCGATTATGCACTTCCTCGTCAACAACACATCACAGCAGGTCCAGAACCGACTGGTGGCAGCGCTGTATAAGCCGGACCTCTTTGGGGAGCTGTTGAATGAGGACGAGACCTTGGTCGCAGAGCGGACGAGGGTAAAAGCTTTACTGGATGCGTACAAGGAGGCGTTCAGGACCCTGTCGGAGGTTACGTTGAAGTCTACATAGGATATACATGACTTGCTTCGCTCATTGTTACTCGTCTCTGTTATCGGTTTGTTCATTGTCTTCGAAGAAGCGTGCATGCAATCGTATATTATGCATGAAGATTCATTACATGGACTCAAAAGAATCAAGCGAGCCTTCGGCAGTAATCTTGTAAGAACTTCGTGGTAAATCGTAACATCATCGTGTACGTATGAGAAGGGAGATCTGGGCGCACGTTGGAAGACCGAGAGCGCAAAGCTTTTTCGAAAGGCCTGGGGTTACTCGTTGTGTCAAACTAATGTGTCCGGTGGATGCCCCTTGAGAGCGACCCATTTCTCCAGCTTGGTGGGATCCACCTGTGCGGCTTCTTTGTCGGATTGCTCACCCTCATCATCAGAAGCGACACTCGGGTCTGAATCAGCTTCGGTGGTCTGGGTGCTGGTAGTCGATTCCTCAAGGTTGCTGGGCGATAGAGTGTCGTCACTCTTTGCGTCACTCGAATTGATGTCTGTAGTACTTTCTGCTCCCACGGATGTCGATTCCTTCTCACCCTCTGCTGTCGCCGCACTATTCTACGAAGGGACGGAGCGAAGTTAGATATTATTACTTATCTTGGCTTATCTAGTCATACCTCCTTTATTGACTTTTCGTCCCCGTTGAATCCACTTAGTTTCAATGTTCGCGCATTCAAATCAATCAATAATCACCTTAGAGTCTGCCGCCTTCTGTGCGAGCCCGCGTGAGACAGATACAACAAAAACAGAAGCGAAGTTAACAGACCTCTTTCTTCTTCTCTGCAGCCTGTTGGTAACCAACATTAGTGAGTGGTGAGCGCGATAGTGAGCTCAAACTCACCTCTTTTTTTTCTTTTGCCTCACTCTATGGGTGATGAGTACGATACATATACGTTCAGCGACTTCTCTCACCTCTTCTTTCTCTTTCTTTTCTTTGGCTTCGCGCTGTGAGACTGGTCAATAGGACGAGCGAGGAATCACAAGCTTCATACCTCTTCCTTTTCCTTCTTTAGCTTGGCACGTGTCTCACGCTCCTTGACGACCCTAGCACAGGAACTCAGTCTCAGCCCCCATGGCCAACTAGTAGACTGTGAACAATTCACTTACCAGTCCGCCACTTCATCGACGCATTCTCGAGGACGAGTTTTGTTCTTCAGGAGGTATCCTTGCAAGGCAGCGACCTGTGGGCGCTCATGAAAATATGCACCGAGGAGCTTACAATAAATCAACTCACGCTCAGCTCGTCTTCCGGAATGGCACCTGCGAACCGTTTGGCGAGCTCTGATATTTCATCTTCACTTAGAAGGGGAATAGCATGGGCTGCCCGTTTTCGTTTGGGGACGGCGAGACCCTCTGTTGACGTAGGGTCATCACCTGCTTTGGCGGGGGCTGACGAGGAAGGCGACAGGGCAGACTTGAGAGGTCTAACGGGGAAGAAGCACTTGAAGATGCCTTCAGCCTGCCATTTGGTAGCGTGCTTGAAGTTCACCCAGACGTCCATGCGACCAGGTCGACTGAGGGCGGGATCGAGCCGCTCGATATGATTGGTCGTCGCAAACAGCAGACTGTCGGATTGTTTCAGTCCTTCCGCTGAGGTCGTGAAAAGCACCTGACTCGCGGCTCACCGGCCCTCAGCGGCTGCAACCCCATCGAGGCTGTTCAGCAGCCCACTGAGACTCAATGTAGAACCATCATTACTGTCGTCCTTGTTCTTCGCGGTCGAAGTGGAGCTAGAGCTGCTGGTGCTGGTGCTGGGCGCGCCTGTGGACGACTCGTCACGGGAGACCCCACGTGTAAAGGCGGCATCCAGGTCCTCCAATAGTAGTATACATCTGTGCACGAGTGTCAGGCACGGGCAAATAAGTGGGATTTGGTGACATACCTTGACGGCACATTTCCCATCAGGTTCGACAGCGTGTTGTCACTCATGCTGATGAGAATACAGTTAGGACACCGGGGGTATGCAGTGATGCGGATCATACCCTTTTGAGGAAAGACTGACGACATATATGTCCAGTCCTAACTCTCCGGCTAAACTGTGAATCAAGGACGTCTTGCCACTGCCGGCAAGGTCAGAGACGGCCATCAGAAGTCGACAATGAGAACAAACCTTCCTGGAACGCCGTACAGAAGATAACCTCGGCGGAATGGAATACCTTATTAGACGTTATTGCCGTGTCAGCAACCGCGTCAAGTTATGTGCATCGTGTGAAGACCGACCTCGTTCCGCATACCTGAGAAGACAGCCGGCCTCGTGTCAGCTCAAACTCCGTTGACGATGTAAGAGAAGCTCCTCACCAGTCCTCCGAACATAAGAAGTCTTTGCAGTCAGCCAAGATCATGTCTTTGACGCCAGGTTCCAGGACGATCGAACTCATGGGGCGCTTCTGCCTTGCCCCGTTCCATCTCCAGCATCCGTACGTCCTACATGACACGATATTAGCAGGGGTTTTCTGACACACGAAACGCCACCCTTACGTATCAGCCATGAATATATGCACACGGTGTTCTGCGTCTTTCTCATACTCACGCTTGGCCTCAAGGACCAATTTCTTGAGAATGTCATTGTTTCGTGCCACGACACTGTATGCATGGTTAACGGCGATACTGTCGTAATGCAGCAGGTTCCTGACCTAATCCTCAGTTCGGCATAGGAGCCATAATCCTGGAAGCGCTTCGTCCGCGTTATCTGGAAATTCGAAAGTGTATATCAGAAGCGACTTTAAATCTCAATCTGGGCGTTTTTACCCGAAGCCAATGCCCCCGATAGTAGATGGTGTGGGTCGTATCTAATCGGCAGATTCGCATGACGTAACAGTCGGTGAGAATTTAAAACTCACCCAAACTAGGGACGATTGCCACTGGATTCAAAATTCAATTGGGAACACGAATGAGGCGGAATTGGAAGTACCTTTGCGCTTTTTGCGGCCCCCAAAGGATACGTCGTCTTCCTCCTCTTCATCGTCTTCCAAATCCCCACTGGTCGATTGTGAAAGACCATGTCGGCTTACAGAGCGGGTCGTGATATCGAATTCTCGGCTCCGACCCCACGCCGGATGCTGAAACATTCAGACATTCAGTGAAGCTCGGATCCATACAGGTGCCACACCCACTTTTGACAGCCAGTGCATGAGCCTTCCCCACGGCTGTCAGTGAATGACGGTGAGGCGTTTGAGAGAACCTTACCAGTCATATGGGTAGTCTTCCTGGCTGAAGTGTGCGGTCAGGAAGAATGCTGCATCGAGGTGAGTAAAGACGAAATGTGGCAGGACACGACTCATCCGTACAGTCTATGAACCCGTTCCAAGCGGATACCGAAACCCGCCTTGCTGTCTCGACAGTCCCGCCAATGACGACCAGTTTCTGAAAGTCGCAATGTCAGGGCATGAATGGACAACAGTGGCTAGAGTGTCTCACAAGGGTGTCATGGATAGGACCCGACGTAGAGGTAAGAGGCGAAAGCAAACCCTTGATAGCCTGCATAGTATTGGTAGGAAAGCTCACAGACGGGAGCACTGAAACGAGCGGAGGGCGGCCTGACTAGCACCTTATAAGCAGTGTGCCTCGTGCTAGAATCCCAGGGTCGAGCGCGCCTGTCGGAGAAATCAGTAGACCAGCTTCTCCCTCCCAAACGAATTACGCGCGTATTCGGAATGCCAATCACGCTCGTGCGGGTGTGGACCGATGTACTTTAAGCGCGATATAATGTAATTTGAGCGGAGTGGCTCATTTGATGTTGATGAAGATGAACAATAGTCCCCTTTGCGGTCCGTCGAGAATCTGACCTTACTCTCGAAACACGGGAACGGCGGAACCACGCATGCGCATAACCCGCTTGGTGATTGTCGGAGACTACGGAAACTAGGTCAGACATTCTGCGGAACATGGGGCGGGACCTGCCACATTTGTCGAATTGACACGCCACGCCGTCTTCAGCTGCCGACTGACGTATTGAGGGAATATCCACTTCCACATCTAGACCTCATAACAACGCTCGTCCACAACGTTTCCGGTTCACGTAGTCGCAAGACCTGTAGCAAAAATCCTTATCTGAGACTGGGAGAAAGTCGGCTGCGCTTTGGGACTCATGAGATCACTTCTCCCGCCATCGTAATTCATGTCCGAAGGGTCGCGCTATGATTCGCACAGCATGTGCCTGGTCATTTTGCAGCGTGACCAACACTTGGCGTGTGACGCGAAATTGGGAGCACCAGTGTCGCAATGCCTTGCTATATCTAATCAAAGCGTCATCTTTAGTCGCAACGCCACACCTTGACTCTGCTGAGATTCCGAAAATGCCCTTCGCCCTGACAGACAGTGCAACACCCCTCGACCTGTATCGACCCGATGCTTGGACTGGGGGAATGAGGACGCCCACAAAAGACACTCCGACAGATTGAGACCGAGGCGGTGACCAATTGGCCTGCATCAAAGAAGAGAACCGATGCGAACGTTCATAGATGCGAACCCGTCACACGTTGCAACCCTGCGGAGCCTCGAAGCTTCTGACAGTGTCATGTCGCTGGGTCGACGTAAGAGTGTCTGCTGTATGACGAGAATAGGCGACCAGGCAGCATCGGAATCGACGCGCTTGCGGAAGAGCAGATACGATAGTGCAGATGGATGAAGTCAAAGATCGAGCGGACAATGAATGTTACGTGCAACAGAACGAATGAATGCCGAGGCGATAGAGCAAATGAGGGCACGGTTCGGCTGCTGTGATCGAGGTCGGAGTTTATGTGCGGCATCATACCACGATGCATATCCAGGAGGTCGCTATACCAGAAGTAGTGCTGGCTGCAGATCGCAGATCCCACAGCACCTTATCCGGAGGCATTGGACGGACTGAGGTAGCGATATGCCGTCGAGGAAACGTAAGCGCAAGCCATATTGCAGGCTCCAGAAGTGTAATGCGAAGTCTGGTGCGTGTGTCCGTTAGGGCCGAAGCGCAGTCTAGCTAAGAGGGAAATCGAAGATACGCATCCGAAAGGAAGCTGGGGGTGTAGCACGTGACTGAACGAGCGTCGAAGATCTGTTGGGCCCAGATCGAGAGGCAGGTACTACGCGATAGCGGTGAAGGAGGGGCATTAGATTTCAGAGTACACACGAGCGGCACAGAGAAGTGCGGGCGTGCGGACCGAGACATTGGTCGATGACCCGACAGCTGAATACAGGACAAGCAAGCGGGAGGGCAGCAGCTCTTCCAAGGCTGCCGTCTTCATGGGAACCCAGGGTCCGACAAGGCTAGAATGCCTAGATGAGATCCAGCGGCCGACTTAGATCAGGGTGAAAACGACTCCACGAGACCCTAGGTTGTATATCGTCGCCCATCGTAAGTCGGGATGCGTAGGCGTCAGGAGGCGTTTGTAGAGGGAGCTGGGCGGAGTTTCGATATAGTCACCTCGGAAAACGCACTTTATGCCCTTCAGATGGCGAGAGACTGGGTTCAATTGACATGCTGAACCAAAGCAGAAGCGACGATCTCTATGTGCGCCCACAAAGATAAACAGGGCTTGCGCAAATTATCAGCACGCGGCTCATGGCCTAGATGTTCAGCCGCAGAATGAACCGATGATAGTGGTCTTCCGTGCCGGGCCACATCGTCGACGGACGTGGAACAAGCCCGAGGTTCTTTCCGGTGACAGCAGAGAAAAGTTCTAGCACTGTTGTGGGTCAAAAGAAGCTCGACGAGTACATGGGTATTAAGATTACCGCTCAGTAGGATAAACGGGTGTTCTCAGATCCGCGGCTGAGGCAATGTCTGTGACAGTTAAAAAAAGTCAGATCTGCCCAATGTACCATCAGTATTCTGTCAAGACTATGGAATGAGGGGATCAATGACACCAACGAAAGCGCTTATGGTTGTATCCGGTTTAATAGTCCGCTGACGTTCCCACAGAACAGACAGATATCAAAGTTGCGGTTCACGAGACAATGTCTGCGGAAGAACATAAGAGGTAAGCAATACACGATGGAACATGGATGCATGCGGACTAGTGACTGACAGCCGCTCGAACAAATGATCATGAAGTATCGTACAAAACTTCCCCAGCTGCCGTGGATTAGCCCTACGTTCGTCTTCCTAGCATAAGACAAATTCCGGATCTCACCTGTTGCGTATCTTGTAGATGTGTTCCGTGACTAGTCTCGCCGTAATAAAGTTCCCATCTCCATCTCATCTCCGTCATTTGCGGTGACAACAGCGAGCCCTTCGGTCATCTCTCTCTTGACACACATCTGCTCGGCGACCACTATCATCAGGGCGGTACTGGCAGCCATGACCCCCCAGAAGAAGAGAGAGGTGGGAAATGTGTTGGAGTAATACGTCGTGAGCACGAGATGGCTGAACAGAAGCGTCACTGAGAAATCAAGAATGAGGCGTGGTCGCCTAATGAGTGTGTACAGATAGTATATGCTATTGAATAATGTCAGAATGAAGAATTCTCAGGTGATGTCTGGCTTACTCCGCCGTTGACGCAGCCACCCAGCATGCGGCAATAATCCACCCACGCATTGGATCTGTGTGTCCAAATCGTGGTCTATCACTTGCTTCGGCCGACCCTAGCTGTTTGCCACCACTCCATACTGTATTCCAAGCACCCCATGTGCTCTGCGACGCCCGCGACGTCGGCCTTCCGGCCAGTTCACGCCAGTCCATAATCATCCCTGAGCGTCCACGAGGATAATGACATGCACGCTTCGAGAATCTTGCAAAACACGGCTTACCAACATTTGCTGCACCGCCGTCATAATCCAAAACCCTTGAGTCTGCGAATATTATGAGGAGCGGTGGGACCAAAAGGGCCATTGTCAAGTAATGTAGAGTTTGCATAGTAACTATCTGAGCTTAAAGGCGTGACTCGCGGCTAGTAAGCACATACGATCCAAAATACCTGAGATATTAGAAGAACAGGGTCCCATCCTGTTGATTTAGCCATTGCATGAGGGGAGAGATGGTCGTACACTGATGAGGTCTGAGTTGTCTGAGTCTGACAGTCGCTGCGAAACATTGAGACACTTATCCACTGATACTTAAATATCTGATAAGTAAAGTAATGCGCCTCACGTTGGGCATCTCGAATTTATCTCTCGAACCGCCCGTCGTATTGACTTCATTCTCTATTCATCGCCCTGCATGGCTTGGTACCCGTAACATCATATACTGTCCATGCGTAGCTATTGTCATATCTGCCGCCCCTCGGATTGTTTTAATCTGCGAATACAGGCATGTATGCATATTGGAGTGGGTTGATGCTAGACGGCCCGGTATCATGTATGGTGTGCCTGTGAATCTTTTCACTTTTTCTCCGGTCCGCTTGATCATTATGCAGGCCGTGGTCATACACTTGCAGCTTTGTATTCTACCCTTCCGTGATTTTTAAGCCTACTGACCTTCCGTGATGAGTTTCCAGCTGCCCAAGCCATCTCTGTTTGTCTGCCAGTCATACATGCGACTTCGCCAGTCTCCTGCGCATACACTATCACTAATACTAATAACACCTATTCCGACTAAATCCGACCCCTAAAGCAACGAAATTGGACGGCAGTAGAACTAGCAGTCCATTAGACGCAGTAGAAGCCGTACCAGACTGCGCTGCGAGCACTCGGGGGACAAGCTCACAAAATGGATCTCATGGTATGATATATTATACAGCTTTGCGAGTCAATAAATGGATCTTGAGCAACCGGTACAAATGAGAGTATAGCGTATAACAAACATGGTATAACTAGGATCCGAAGATACTGACCCGACGCAGCCACTCCAGTACGTCAGCTAACTAATTCCATTGGGGTGAGAAGACCGATCAAGTCGGCCTGTCTTATATATCCGGAGCCTGCGTAGGTTGAAGAAAGTGTAGTTCGTTCTGCTCACAGGAGACTAGCCTGTCTTACCTTCCACCAAACCCAAGAAAGCTAATTGCAGTGCGTGAGCGGACTTCCGGCGTAGTTTGGCTGTATTTGAAACCTTTAGCCCAATATAGTAAATTGTGGCATTGCCAAGTCCTGAATCTGAATTCCGCACCAACCCCGCTTGCACACAAATAAATAATGCTAGTCTGAAATTATGACATATGTGGACACAAGCGGTGTCTGCGTCTACCAAGTATCACGACCGTTCCTAGTTTGCTATTGGAGATTGTGACTGAACTTGCTTGATTATTGAATGCTCGGGGCTGAAGTGCTGTGAACTGTGGTCTCTCAATCCCAGTAGATACAGCAACGGTTGCGCCAAGTCCTAGTCTGCACTGGGCCTTCCGTTACTACAGTCGTGAGAAGCCGACAATGCAGCTATCAGAATACGAGGCAATTGCACAGGAGGGTGAGGACGACATGGATGAGCGTGCGCCCTCAAGTTCACTACGCGGGAACGCGATACATCCAACACCGATCAAGCCCGAAACCTACTACGGCGAAGGAACTTTCGATCCGCCTAGTAGCGATGAAGAGGCTGACGAACTACTCGAGAAGGGCGGCAGAGAATCATCAGAACAAGCGGAACGCGCAGGCATGAGAAGTGCGATGGTGGATGGTGGTACTCTGTTGGTCGGAATACGCAAGGCAAGAGTCAGCCAGGCCTACGCTTTGGTTCAGTTACTTACTGTGTTCTGCAGCGACCCGCGTCTCTCTGCTTTCTGGTCGGTTCTCTTGTTACCCTGGTCACCCTTGCTGCTGTCATAGGAATCTTTGCGGCCCGCTCGTACACTGGGACCCCATTCCGCATCCATGGCACCAAGCACATTACCATGGACCATGTCTTCAATGGGACCTTCTCTGCGCGAAGGGAAGGCATTCTGTGGGTTCCGGAAGGTGCGTCTCAAGAATGGTAAAGGAAACGGTATGGCCCAATACTTGTGCCGCGTAGCTGGGGACGGTGTTTTCGCTACTCAGATGGATGGACATCTCACTTTGGTCGACTTGAAGAGCAATTTAACAAAGAAGCTCGTGGACTTCTCAGACCTGAAAGATGTAAGAACCACGAGCCAGTCAACTGCGGGTGTTCAGTAATTCCAAATTCGTCAGGAACACGGCCGTCGTCTGTATCACTCGTCGTGGAAACTATCGGCGGACATGAGATACATGCTCCTCAAAGCAGATACAGTCAAGGTACCTCCCCAGTTATGTAGTCGATTGGGCCGTACTTACTCCATCTTCCGAAGCTATGGCGACATTCTAGCCACGGGAATTACTACATCCACGATTTGCAGACTAAGAATACCTGGCCGCTAGTTCCGCCAACATACCCTCCCGTAACAACTTATGCAACATGGTCACCTACGGGCCAGCGAATAGCATATGTAGTCAATAATGACATCTATGTGGTGCCTTCACCGTCGTGCGTCTGGTGTTTTCTCCTACTTCTATCAAGTACTCACCGCAATCCAGTTCATCCGCTGTGCCCATCCGCGTCACTACCACCGGAAATACTTCGATGTTCAACGGCGTGCCTGACTGGGTGTACGAAGAAGAGGTTTTCTCGACCAACTATGCCTTATGGTGGTCTCCGGACAGCCAGAATATCGCATTTCTTAGTCTTGACGAGACCGCTGTGGACGAATACACCTATCCCATCTACAACCCGAAAAGCGATTCGTACACTGTCGTCCCATACCCTGAGCAGATCAAGATGAAGTACCCAAAGCCAGGTTATGGTAATCCGCTTGTATCGCTTCATATCTTCCAGGTGGACAAGTATATGAAGAGTAGTACGAGCAGAGTTCGGCCAGCAGACGCCGTTACTGCCGCGTCACTTGCGCTTGACTGGGATGGGAGGCAGTCTTCTGATAACAGCATTATCTCCGAAGTTGCTTGGGTAGGTAATGCGACGCTTCTAGTGCGGGAAGTGAATCGAGCCGGAAATAACGGCACGGTCGCCGTATTCGACCTGACCAGGGCAGGAACCGGCCGTGGTCGCGTTGTGCGGCGGCTCGGCAAGGACGGTGAACAAGGTGACGACGGATGGATCGATGCTGTATGTGTGCATACAAACGCTCTTCTCTTCATGATAAGCTAACGTCAGTCCAGGATCAGAAAGTCTACCCCATTTCTGCTGCTTTGTCGCCGAATGGCCATTCGGCTTACCTCGATATTGTACCCACACCCGAAGGCTACAATCACATTGCGCTCTTTAGCCCTGCCGACAGTAGCGCACCTCGATTCCTGACATCAGGCGAGTGGGAAGTGACCGGAGACATTCTCGCTGTTGACGCAAAGCGCGGCCTCGTGTAAGTGGTCCTTAACTTTTCCATGAGATGGCTAGTGCATGCCGCCAGACCTTGACTCCAGGTCGTCCTTTTCTATGACGAGCACCCGACTTACCATTGATAATTTTGTTCTAGATACTTCCAGGCGGCCAATCCATCGTCTCTCCAGCGACATGTATACTCTGTCCCAATGCCTGCTATCAGCTCTTCGGAAGCTGTCGCGCCCACCTCTCTGACGGACACATCCAGCCCGGGAGTATACAGCGCAGAATTCTCTCCGGAAGGTGGATTCTATCTACTGTCGTATCTGGGTCCTCAGCCGCCGTGGCAGAAAGTAATTGAAATCGGTAAACATGGTATGTGCTCACTTCGTCAAATACACCTCGTCAAATACTGACTCGGCATCTGACGACACGCAAACCTCAGGACTAGAGTTCGTGTTGACTGAGAATCCTCAGCTTAATGATACACTTGCTCAGTTTGAGATGCCCGTCGTCTCCTACTCGACAATCGAGAGTGATGGGTACGGTAAGACCCTGTCTGCTGTGCTGCGAAATACTTGCAGAGGCTGATGATCTGGGCCAGAGCTTAACGTCATGGAAATGCGTCCGCCCAGGATGGACGATTCCGGACGTACGAAATACCCCGTTTTGTTTAGAGTGTACGTTCGACAAGTGTGCTGTAATCATGCCCTACTCACATTATCGATCGCAGGTACGGTGGCCCGGGCTCACAACTCGTCAGCATGTCGTTCTCGCATGATTGGCATGATTATGTCGCGTGCTCCCTTCAATACATAGTTGTAGTTGTCGACGGGCGAGGTACCGGCTACAAAGGCAGGAAGTTGCGCAACCCGGTCAAGGATAATCTCGGCTACTGGGAGACTCAAGACCAGATTAACGCGGCAAAGTACGTTCCTCCTTTTACTAGGTTGTATATACTTCGCTTATTCGATACGCGCGTAGGATCTGGGCTACGAAGGACTACGTGGATCCCAATCGCATTGGCATCTGGGGATGGGTATGCTTTCCGTAGTGTCGGCGACGATTGTCACTGACAGTCACTGCTTACAGTCGTATGGTGGCTTCATGAGCTCGAAGGTTGTTGAGGCTGATGCTGGCATACATACCTTAGCTATGGCAGTCGCGGTACGTGCATCCGATTGGGTAGTCTACCAATTTACTGACTTCTCGGTCGGCAGCCTGTATCCAGTTGGCGTCTTTACGGTTAGTGTTTTTTTGTCATGAGTAGAGCAATCTAGCTGACTTATCGATACAGATTCCATCTACACAGAACGATACTTGAACACGCCGAGTGCAAATCCTGAAGGCTATGTGACGGCTTCCATCTCAAATGTCACAGGCTTCCACCACGTTGACTACTTGCTTGCTCACGGAAGCGACGATGACAATGTGCACTTCGCGAACTCGGCGCACTTGCTAGATATGTTCACAGCGGACAAAGTGAGGAACTTTGAGTTCCGAATGTTCACCGATAGGTGTGTTGGCTCGTACAAGTAGCCTAGCGCCAATTGAACTCCCTCCTCCAGCGATCACAGCATCAACCGTCGGGGTGCAAACCGGGAGCTGTACGAGTTCATGACGGATTTCCTAGTAGAAAGATGGGGCAAAGGCGGAAAGCGGAGGAGCTGGTAACTTGTCATCGATCTCAGCAGACATCACAGACTCTCGTATTCCTCTCTCTTTATCTGATAATCTAAACAGGAGCTCTCAGCCGTGTCTCTCTGTATCATGAACAAGGTCGGCCATCCTTTTTGCCACGAATTGCTCACTCGCAGAGCCTCCATTGGACCAATTCCTAGACGATTTCAGGCTAGCTCTTAACACGTCATTTTCATGGAGTCCGGCCTGATTGAGTCATGTTTTCCATTTTGTGCTTGTCGGTTCTTGCACACGTTGAAGTGTTGTACTGGCGAAGCAGCTACGAAGAATACGCTTGTGTCATAATCGTCGCCCGAACAGCCCCAACAGACCCACATCGATGCAAACAGACAATAGCATGGCGCAAGGTAGGCAAAACCGACCCCAGCTACAGTCCCTCCGCATCATCAACAACCTTCGACCGCGGCCAAATGCTCTCTTCACCGCCGCGCGATTTACCCGCCTGCCCCAACAGGTTGTATTCGTCCTTGTACGACAGCTGATTGAGGCGATGGGATGCCCGAGATGGACTAGCACGACACCAGATAAGCTCGGGCGCACTCTCGGCTCTGCCTCGCCGCTTCCCCATCTACAAGCACTCGATGCACGCGCCGGGCACGAGGCTCGTGTGTGCGGAAGCCCTGCACCCCAGAACGGGCGATCCGCGATGACAGCAACCCGGCTCCCAGGTGTGCGGCGTCTTGACATAACAAGCCCTGCTTGATTTGTCGCGTACAATGCCAATGACATGCTCTCACTTACGAACCGGGGTGCAGCCAGTCGTACGATTGGAATTGTAATGTGATGTGGACAACGCATGGGTCTGACCGCGGCCTCGGCCAGTTCCAGGCTTTTGGGTGTGAACGGCGCAATATATAAGACGGCCCATCTCGGTCGATGTTCCTCAGTCCTCGACACGCCTTGCAACTCCAATTGCACCAACCGCCATTCCTATAACTTACCACATAATGTCTGTAAGTACACAACTCAACGTTCCGCGTGAGAGGACCAATAACTTACCTGATTGACTTCAGGACACCGTGAAGTGCGCTAACACTCAAGCCAACGGCGGCACCTGCTCCTGGCCGGCTTGCGGCTGTGCCGAGCCCCCTAAGAGCAAGTAAATTGGCTGAGTACCACAGTGGCGCTTTCATGTACGCCTCCAGCCTTAAATTTTAAATCTCTCGCACTAATTAGTCCTTGCTTAGGATCGTCACTGTGCGCTCGCGCCAGCCGTAGTGGTTGGACACAGGGTTGCGGGGGTATCTGCTGGATGTATCAATATTGTAATCATACGCGACAGAACTCGCATTTGACGAAGTGATACCGTTCGATGAACCACACACAGGACATGACTGCAGTTCCGACAGTTTTATTGAGAACACAAATATCCAACGATCTGCGACAAAGCTATGGTATCCGAGTAATTCCTGCTAAAGTTCCAAAACATCAATCCGAGAGTCCAGAGGCATCCTGGGTCATTGGGCATCTAGCAGGAGCGTTCTAACATCCGTTTAAAGCGTTCCTTGACGGCGGACTCTTCCACGGGCAGCCCCAATGCGAACCAGCGTGGCTTGATGATGGGCTTTGGCGAATCTCGTCTTGGCGTTCGTTTCCCTCTCTCCTTGACGAAGTCCACAGTAACGCCAAGTACGATATTGGTCCTGCGCAAAGTTGATCCCAAGCGAGCGGCGATTGCAGCTCCTAGCTGAGTCCTCCATGTTTCGTCGGCGCTGCTGTAATGAAGCACGTCATCGAAGACTTCCAGTGAGACCACGACGGCAACCTTTTTGACAGTCCGTCCGATTTTCTCGATTGTCTTGTCTACATGCGTCCAGTCCACCTTGTCCACGCATCGCATGACCGTCCTGATAGAGCTGCCGGACATTTGCACTGAACTCGCGACCTGTGGGTGCACGCGCATTTCGAGCCGGATCTCACGGAGCTGCAAAGAGCGCAGAGATGCGAGCGCGTGCGGTACCCATGCGACATAGTCTCGAGCATCGTCTCCGGCGCGTACCTCCATGTTTGCCGTAAACTTCCTGATACCCGTGTTGAAGATGAGACCCCACAGGCCCATATCACCTGCTGCATTTTTTCTGTAAATTACGAAGCAGCACCGGTCGTGAACACAGAAAACGCACAGTTTGCTCGGCGGGAAGAATCATGCTGAAAGGTGACACGCATCTCCTCGAGTAGGCGGCCTGCAGCTTGGAGTAGCTGTCGCACGCTGTCATCATTCACAGAGGGCGACAGTGTGATGGACAGAATACGGAGACGGAAGCGGACGGCCCCACTCGTCAGCCAGCGGAGAACCGAGTCGTCCATGCCGTCGAGAGCGAGTTCTTGTATAAATTCGTCTGACGACGGTATGACGGGGTGTAATTCAGGACCTTCTACGCCCTTTGTCCATGCGATACGCCCCAGACGAAGTGAAGATAGCTGTGGGAAAGCGAACAAGAAGGTGGCCAGGTCCTCCGTATATCCCCCGGAGATCTCGAGCGTTTTGACCATCGGGAAGTACGGAAATTTCAGGTTCTGCGCATACCAAGCCATCCTGGGGAACTGGACAGTGTGGAACCGTTGGAGCACCAAACGTCGCACATACGGAGCGACGTTGTGGAACGACGTCAGATACTTGCGGAAGGCCTGAGCAAGGTTGCTGCTAAACTGGATTGTCTCGAACATATGGAGACGAGTGGTGTGGAGCCATGAACTACATGTCAAGCTACAGGCGGCCAGTGCTCTGTGGTCGTCCCAGAGAAAATCCATGATGTGATCGCACACCTCTTGAGGAAGGCAAGTAGACCTCGAAACGGTGGTCGTGTCTTCAGATGCATATTGAGAATCAGATTTTCAATGATAGATGGACTAGGGAAAACTTACGGTCACACAACCCCCCGAGAGAGCCCCTCGTACAAAGTGCGCTGACGTGCGGGAAGATCAGTCTAGGTTGTGTTCGGAGATGACTGTAATGATCAGAACGCATACCTGCCACCTTGTCTGGAACGACAATTTAAAGCAACGCGAGACTCGCTTAGAACGCCGTTCTCGGTGACGTCTTGACAACCCACATCTTCTTGCATTTCAGGCAGATCAGGCAGTAGAAACGGAGACAGGAACGTAGTGACAGGCACGCAGAGAGTTTGCAAGACTAGACTGAAGGAGTGGGAAAGACTCTGAAAAACGAACAGTAGGAGTACTTATAGCAGGTCCCAGTGCATTCAAAGTCCGCCACACCTTCTGTGGTCTGTGACAGGGATTAAACTTCATCATGGTGAGGAAGGAAGGAGGGTTACTGTGTTTGGAGAACAGCATGACGTACCAGCACGCCGATCGATCGTCCCTCTTCACCCGAGCCCCAGCTCGCGATTGTTAGACACGGCAACATTAGACTCCATCCTTCATTTGTTCCTCAGCCCTCAAAATCTGGTATATAGCACATTGTCATAGATGATACGGGCGCATAATAAACCGGTTATAACGTCCAAACGATACAGACAGAAAACGATACAAGAGCGATAAAGATGCGACTCCATTGTCCATCGAGCCGAGATCTCAATATATCCAGGCGTACTTATGTTCCAAATCAGAGCGACCCTCTCTCCGTCTTGCTAGAGTCCTGCAATGTGCGGCAACACGCATGCCACAAGTTTGAGGCCCTTGAAGTACGCATGCAACGATAGACATCGCCTCCTTTGTCCAGCCAGGATAATTGATCCTATTGTGTACGTTCACGATGAAGTACGGCGGACAGGGAGTCCTCTCCGCGACGCTACACGCGATGGCCTTCCAGTTGACGGCAATGAGATCGTTGCGCTCGTAGAAGGACAGTTGCACCGTCACTTCAATTTTGCTGACGCGAGAAGAGTGTATCTTGCTGAGGAGAAGCGCAGCAAGGTGGTGCTCGTGTGTCCAAGAAAATTCCCTCCAGTTGTAAATTATTTGGATGTGGAGAGCGCGAAGATGATGGTTGCAAAGAACCTCGCGTTCTTGCAGGTACTCGATTGCGGGAATATTTATCAGACGAGTACGTAGCAACAGGGGTAGAAAGCCCGTATTTACCTAACTTTCCGTCCGTTTGAGCTCTATTGGCGATGGTGATTGTCACCTCTTCTAGAGAGCTCAGCGGCGACTCCAAAATGCCGTACAACTGCTCCGCGTCTGCGATGTTTCCTACTGGAAATTGCAGAATGCGAAGTTGATAAGGAGATATGATTTTCAAAAGCCGTTTCACGAGGTTCTTGCTCGCATTTTGGACGTTGAGAGTGGTCAAGAAACCATGCATCTGTGGCGCGAGGTCTCGCACTCTAACCGGATCGATTGTGAACATGGTAACATTATCCAAAGCCAACGACGAGAGCGTAGATGCATGGGACATCAGAAGCACGAGCTCGATGTCAGTGATTTCCATCCTCTTCAGAGAAAGCGTCTTGATGTGGGATATGGCTCGCGGGCTCAAAGCGTCCTCCTTGTAACACTTCGACATGTCACCCCGACTGCGGTCTTTCGCAACAACTGCAGGGCCAACTGTAATGTGGCGGACCCCAGGGAATACAGAAGGCACGAGCTGGCCGATCCCGACGAAAGTCGGCACCTCGAGCTCACGAACCCACCTCGCTACATGGGGTGCGTTTTGGAGTCTCTGCGTCCAGTTAGCGATTGAGTCTGTATCTTCTGGCACGCGCAGCGTCCGGAAGAGATGCAGGCGGGCACTTGGTTCCCATGCCCGGCACGTGAGACTGCAAGCCGCCAGGGTACTGGAATTGTCGGACAGTTGCTCTATGATGAGATCGTACATCTCTTGAGGTATAAGAACTGAGAAGACATCTTCTGACTCTAATGTCATTTGGGTGCCTGTGGCTTTTGATCAGCGATTTGCGAGACACGCGTCAATGTTAAATGAGGAACTTATTAGTGGAGAAAGAACAAAGGTTAGCTATGAGATCAATATGAAAAGGTTGGACCGGTGACTGACGACGGCGAGCGGGTGGTGGTTTGGGTCAAAGGTGTGGCGTCTTCGATAGTAATGGTCGACGAAGGTGTGCCTCGTGCGAAAAGGTCCGGCCCGTACTTTGATCGGATCCAGAAATTCAGCTGAGGACGCTTGAGTGCTCGTCGTGCGGCGTCGTGCGGCGTCGTGCAGAAGGCACAATTATCGATGCGTACGGCTTGCTCTCGATAAGTTTGTGGAACACTTAGAGTGTAAAGATCAGCTGAAGCTTATTTACAAATCCCTTCGATGCGTTCACCCGTGGGTCAAGACTGCGGAAAGCGGGCTGCAGATGTCGTGTTCACACGGTGATATATTGAAACGCAGTCCACAAACAGACGACACAGTTGCGAAGCTAGAACAAAGGTTTGTCATGTTTTCATGCCGATAGTCGTCGAACCTGATGACTAGTGTGAAAACAATGCGACCGATCAAGTCCTGATACTCAGAACGATCCACCATTGATCTGTACGATGAGGGTTGTGAGTGGACATTCGACTATCATAATTGGTCTTACCGTTGCCTTGTCAGCATCGATGGTGCCAGCTTCACCTCCTGTGGTAGTGAGTTCCGACCAGTCCCACGTGCTGGATAAATATTTCAACACGCGCATTTGGGTCTAACTGTTAGTAAGCCATACCCATAGCAGTTACCACAGTCAACTGTCACTCTCTCTGCATTCGAATCCACTTCGACAGTGGTAGGGCTTCCTATAAAGTTGACGTTGCTAAATCCCCGATGCAATCAATCGTCTTCTCAATGCATTGTAGTAGCAAACGCTTACCTGATTGTAGTATCGTTTCCCGGAGTGCTTGCGTCTTCGGGATAAGACTGCATGGGTCCGATGAGACATACAGCAATGTTCACGTGTATGGAGACACACCTGTGAGACCAGGACACCGTACTTCGTACATCCGGATATGTTGTTCCTATTGTCGTAGTGATGAGCCCTTCAAAGCCCCGCTGCAGCAGTTGGCCACGCACCCTGTATACGTTACATTACTGACGGCACCGCTGGTGGCGGCACTATCCACCTTGATGCGTGTGCCATACATCGAGTTTACGACGGTGTTTCCTATGAACGTAACTCCTGAAACATATTTTCCAGACGAGATAGATCCAATTGACATTCCTAGATAAGACATTAGGCTCAAAATATGGTGAAAAGGATACATGTATGCGTACCGTGTCCGCCAGAGCAATAGTTGCCTTCAAATAGGATATTAGATCCTGCGTTGATTGCCACGCAGTCATCTTGATTTTCAACAACTGATCCGAATCCACGCAATTAGATACGATCTCCCAATACAAACCATCGAATTGAAGCATAACACACCAGAATTCATAATCGTGAGATCAGAAGCAGAGACGTCGAATCCCTTCAATGCAGTGATTAATCTTGGATATGACAGCTCAGAACAGAATTTCGGACACGACATACATCGGTATTATGACCGCCTTCAGTATTCCCGGCTGTGTTGTTGACTGTGACATGGTTTATGGTCAAGGGGCCAGCAGGCTCTACGGAGATCGCCTGCGCTGGGGAGTTCAGTATCTGTAAGAGTGGTGAGAATGCGATCAAACATGGTATATGCTGCATGAAAAGATACGCGCGATGAAGTTCTGAAAATATCCAGAGGCTTCGATCCTGTCATGATGACGCTTTGAGTCAAGGGTGTACTGCACTGGTCTTGAAGACGAACCTCATAAACGGGTGCGGTTTAGGTTTTCCGCCATTTGTACCCAGACCATCCCAGTAATAGGCGCCATTGCCCTGCAGGTCATATGTATACGTTTTTGTGACCACTGTACTGCGGAACTACATACATTGAAAGTGTTACCAGCGCCGTCAAAGGTTATGCCAGTTCCCTCTGCAAGCTGTCACTGACCACTTTCAGGCGAAATGATGAGAAGCATACCAAATAAGATCAAAGGCCCCGATGCTGCGTACGTCATGTTACGTTGAACCGTCCTGAACGCTGTGAGTACAAGAAGAAACTCACATGTGGTATTAGCAAACGTCACTTCACCTGCCATCGTGACAAAAGCGCCATCTGCATACTGGACGGGTAGAGGTGAGAGCAGAACGATTAGATACTGACAAACACTGACACTCATTGTGACGGTATCTGAGCATGATTGAAGGATAAGCGAGCAACACAACGTTGGGAAGCTCTCTAAGTGACGATACCTACCTCCGTCGGGGACGGTGAACGATTCAATTACGACATAGGAGCAATTTGACAAGTCAGAGGCTGACGCCACAGAGTTTACAGTGCAGGCTAGTTGCGTGCTCTCCGTGAAAGGGACCGCAAGGATAGAGACACTGAAGATTACGAGGATGGTCAATATACCTAGCATGATTTTGCGAGGGGCGACTGGAGAAGCGCAATCTAGGGATCCGGGCTCGTTGTAGTCAGCCCCTCTTATGTGATTGGCAACAAAGCCATGGAGCCTTTCGATTGTCGATGTCCACAGGACCTGACTCACCTCGGGACTCTTCGAAGACAGGATTGACTGATGTAGTCACGTCAAGGCGGCCCGGCATCTGGATGAAGGTTCATTCGTGCAGAAGAAAGGTAGTAATCAAGAGAAAACAAAAAAATTGGAACTTGCGACGGGGATACGTGGAGAAACAGCATGGTCGTGTTTATAGTAGTATGCTCACGGTCACCGCACCCTCAACAGACAGTGTCATTTCTGTACGGCAGCGGCCCGCATACAGAAGGTAGATGTCGTAATGGAGAGCCACAAAAGATCATAAGACCGGACAGCATCACAGGAGATGTTAGTCAACCTCTTAAACCGTGAGCTGCACAACTCCCTCGCTCGCATGAGCTTGGGAATTCAAAGAATACCTTCACATAAAGACTGTAGGGGCATCAATGGGATTACAGATCTCTCGCTGAAATGTCCGACTGAACCGGAAACAGGCGGCCCGCTGGATCTAGCGAAATCTAGCCGAAGCATACGGATTTAAGTTCATTAGGCATGCAGTGCACTTACTTCAAACGCGATAACATCTCGGCAATTGAGTAGTATTAGTGTGCACTATAACGGGTGACTGCTCGTATACTGGTGTATTTTGAGAAGTATCCAGCATACCAGGTGGCGACCAGATGGCGAAAGACAGTGGGTGAAGCGCAATTGAAGTCAATCGTCGAGACCGCAGTACATAAAGGCCCAAATTCAAATCTGCAAAGTCTTCCAGCTGACTAAGCTGTCCATTTATGGAAAAGCACACTCACGCCCGATTCAGATCTGACGCTCATTGCGAGCGTCTATGCAACGTGCCTTGCAGTTGTTCTCCGCCACACCGACCACCGCTTGGCGTACGCCCGCAACCCACTGGGTTCAACCGACTAGTACCTTGCCGTTATCCCTGTGGCCATTATGTCAACAGATACCACCAGCTCTGGGGCGACACGTCCAAATCCCGGGCGAGCGAACTCAAATGGTAAAAGCGCGCGTCAGGGAGAGAGAGCAAGTTCTGTGTATCAGACAGATAATGGCAGGCCTATGCTGCCTTTGGTATGTTTTTATTCTCCATTCATTAGTAACATAATTAAAGACGCACCTTTAAGGGTTCCTCGCGCCCGAAAAGCTACAAGGAGAAGTACGCCGCCGTGCTCTCTATATCATGACGAGTTCTAGACGTCCATATGCAGATTCCAAGCTCTCCGCGAGACCTATGAGCGGGTCACGAATGTCTGTATCCCATTTCATCTACCCTTCCCCTAATTAATTCAGGTTTTCATGGGCGCAGACGAAGGATCGATATGAGAGGGACCTCGCGACTGCGAACGACAAGATTAAGAGATTGCAAGCAGAGTGCAAGTGCGTAATTCTTGCACTCACTCTCTAAGATAATGCATGTATATTGACCTATGCTCATTGTAGTCTCCTACTCGACGCGGTCGACATCGCCGCTCCCGCGCAGGCAACATTGATGCACTACCTGTCACAAGACCCTATACCACCACAATACCATTCCTACCAGGTTCCATTTTCCGCTGAGCCCCCACCAGTGACGGCGCCTCCACCGCCCCCTCCTCCTCCCCCGCCTCAGCCAACGCAGCCGCCTCTCGACCCTCCTGTCCGTTCACGACGCCGATCAGGACCGCATACCAACGGTAATGGGGTGAAGCGAAAGGTGGGCCTATCTTGTCTATTCGTAGATTCTCATCATTGAAAGGCGGGTATATCTCAGTGAAAATTACCACTCTGTGTCTCTTGCGTGTTTTATCACTTATTCTTTTTGTCTTGTACTTTCGCTGTAGTGGATTTTTGTTCTCGAATACCATGCACGCTTTGCTGCAGTGCTTAGCTCAACGATTGTCGATGGGACATGAGACATGTCTCTGAGTGGTCTCAAGCTAAAACAGGAGGTCATCTATGCTGCCAGCGCTGAATCAATCTGTGACGGGTGATACTTTTCAACATCTTGCATGACCACTGACAACCGATTTTGAGGGTCCAAACGTGGTTCTTCACCGTATGTTTCTATCCCATTGATGCATATAACCCCATAGCATCACAACCAAATGAACCAATCGAAGAGACATACAGTCTGGGGTCACAACATATGAATACTGGCAATTAACGCGCAGAACAGACACAAGTCGACGCCCTGCTCTGATATATGTCCAACGCAACATCCGTATATGTTTACGATGCAGGCTTTGTCGTCCCTGCGTTTACTCGGGAATACTTTAGAGCTTTGAAGAGCTGCTACCTACCGCCGCCGATGTCTTGGACCGCTTCGCCTTCGATGCGCCACTTATGGAACCCTCTGATTTTCGCTTCCCTTTGCTCGTACTCCGGGTCGTCAAGTTGAGGGATTGTTCCGTTCCGTAGGATCCAAAGATGAACTGGTCCTTCTTGGTGCTGCTATCGTCCACCCATTGGGACTTGTTGGTTATGACGGCCTCGTAGAAAATCCTGATGATCGCTTGGTGGCTCGCCAGATCCGGAGATGTCGCGAGAGGTCGGCTGGCAGCCGTTTCGGCAGGCATCGTGCAGATATCAGCAGAGTAATCCCTAGGGCGTTCGTCTGCTCGTTCTTGATCGTTTTGGGGTACGCTGCCAAGAACAACGCCTGAGAGCTTCTCGATCTCCTCGTTGACACTGTGCGAGTTATAGTGGTTTTGGCACATGATAGCGACTTTGTTGAGCAAATCCTTGAGCTGTCGATGAGCAACAGGTTTGAATGGAACGGAGCCGCTCTGCATTTGAAGAAGCTTGCCCTCCCCACCAACGTCTTCGCCCTTGTTATTATCGTGAAATTTATCGTATGTGTTGATGATGTGGTCCATGAGACCTTTCGGATCATCGCTCAGGCCGTGTTCGTGAAATCTAAGCACGAGCCAGTTGAGCAAGTGAACGAAGGACTCTATATCATCCGAAAGCTCATGTCGCTTCTGGGGGTACTTTAAAAGCAGTGCAGACATGAATTGCCATGTTCCCTGGGTCCATAGCATACATTTATTAGCATTGATCCGCAATAGAGACGCAGCAACTCACCGAACGAGCGACTTGCGTGGGACCTTTGGGTAAATCTGCTTTAGGCTTGGACAGATCCCAGTCTATTAGAATGCCCAACACCAAGTTTCCCGCGGCGTCCACTTGTAACATGACGTTGTTGTCACTAATGTCCCGGTGGAGGATCCCAGCGCGTTCCCATGCGTCTTTGTGGGCTGGAAATGAGATATGAGCAGACATCTATCCAGAAAGCTCTGCGGGACTCACCAATCAAAGCATCCAGTAGAGCGGTTGCCAAGCTCAAAGAGTGTTTATAATGCGTCAAGTTCACGTAGACTTCGTCGCAAATCAAGCGATAGTGGATGCGGCCAATAGGGCGCTCTGCCTCCTCCTCAACCGGCGCGTATATTTGCGTCAGAGTACGCTGGACGTTCTTTGGATCTTTGAGGTCTCCAGTACGGACATCACCTCCGCTAAGAGGTCTATCGATGTTCCGAACTTTGTGCTTCCACAGGTGGACATATACTTCGTGCTCCGGTTTGATGTCAGGAGAGTCAACACGCCAAGTCTCTCCCATGAAAACGAGTCGTTTTCTTCGTATGTCGTAGGCCACACTGCCTTTAGTTGATCGTCCCGTTGGAGAATACGTCGTGTGTGAGGGCTTCCCGGTGAGGTAAGTGTACACTGCAGATGCACCGTCTTCGTCGATGCCATCAAAAGAACCATTTGGACCCTCGTCTGATTCTGTGAACAGTAGGTCCTTCTCCGGAACAATCACCTTGTAGATAGGCCAGCGACTATCCATTGCTGTCTCATAGAATTCTAGATGGTAGGAGGACAGGCGCGCCTCCCTTGTGGCCGTGTCCTTCCAGGCGTTCATGTCTTCGATTTCTTGATCAGTGGCCTCCACAACCGTCGGGTCATAGCCGCGCTCTGCTTGAGTCATCAAACCATACTTGTATAGGAACCTAAACAAGATATGGCCTGGGTCGTTGATGAAATCGAACGATGTGGAAACTATAGCGCCCCATCTGTCCCATCGTATCAAGCGGGCGTAAGAGCCAACAATGACGATAGTGAAGCAGAACTGTCGGGGCTGAAAGCGCAGAACATTTGTCGCATATTCGATGAGTTGACCCCTGGCTTGCTTCGAAAGAGGGTTAGACGGCAGAAATGGCACGGCGGCTTCAGTTTCATGCGACGCCTCGCTCGGAATGCCAAATGGTAGATATTTGGTAGTAGCTTTCTTGAATTCCACAACAAGAGATGCCCAGGCCCAGGAAGTGACACCTCGATAGCTGCCATCCGCGTGTGCATAGCACTTTCGGGCGTCTGGTCTATCCGGATAGATAATGATGTTTGATTTCTTCTTTCCGTCGTCTTTGTTGATGCTATTGTCTGGGTTCTGTCCCGTATACTTGGCAACGAGTCTGTAGCACTTCTCTTGAACACCAGCTCCCAGCCTGTTCTTCCAGCTAAGGTCGAGTGGCGTCTGTATGTTCTCACACTGCACAGACACATAAGTTCATAAGGACATGAGACGTATGAGCAAGAGTACCCACGAACGGAACATACATGTCCGTCTCCTTGTCCGCCTTGAGTTTGGTTACAAACTTGGTTGATGCAAAGCTAGCAAGCACATCGTCTGGAAGGTCGCCACAGGGAGCGAAGTCTTGCACAAATTGACAGACGGGCACCTGAACGTATTTTCCGGTATTCATCTCCTTATCAAGCCCTTCACAGTAAATGGGGAGGCCGGGATTCTCCTCTATGCTAGTGGCAGCCTTCTCCTGCTGACTGAACGGTCTTGCACGCCGGGGGCTGAGATAGGTTCAGAAGGAGGAGTGGATGGTAGATCCTTCGCAGCAACAACTCGCGGTAGAGCGCGAGGTGCATCAAAGTGATTGGTAGCTCCGGGAATGTCAACGGTAGCAAATCCCGAGGCTTTTGGTAAAACTTCCTCAGGTAAAACTTCGGACGGTCTGCGAGGAGTCTCGACGAATTCAAATTCGAGGGCAGTCTCTACTGTAGCGGGAGTTTCCTGGTAAGAATCAACCGCCATGACGAAGAGCTATCGCGTCCATACCTACCGCAGCCCCGCGAGACCACATGACTATAGCTTGTGGCCTAGCCACGCCTCAAAGTATCCGCGATAGCTACCAGATTGACAGTTTCTTTGTTTTTAGCGGAGAGATGAATCTCAGAATCCCATCACAAGACCACTATGTCTCCTGACGCACCAGTTGGCCACGGACGAGTCACGTAGATCGGGGCGTGTATGCATGTGTTTCGTATGTCACAATGCGTATCGTGAGTGTTCTGTGGCAAATTGGTAATCAATGGATGGTACACGAGAATATGGCGTTTTGAGGCTCACGTACTGGGAGCGAGCAAAGCCTCATTAGCAGCTGAATTTTTCCATCGGTGCGCTTCTCGTAAGTCAGTGTCACAAGGGAACACCGAATTCGCAACGACATCACACTGACAATAGCTGCATGTTTGATCTACGCGTGTCGAACCGTCCTATCACGTCGTCGCGACCTCGTTTTACCAATGCTCAAGTCAATTTCCGAAATCATGGACAGCAGTGTGTACGGTGCCAATGTCTTGTATACGGTTAGACTGGAGTATATGTAATAACGTCGTATCTGGCAGTACCCGGTAGATTCGACTTCAAGGTGTAAGATGATCGTCCGTCGGAGGTCTTGGCCCTGAACCCAGAATTGTATTGGCATACCTATACGCTCAATGCTATTGTGTGAAGGTTTCTAGAGATACCGCGCAGAGGAAAGCTGACTTGTCTGACAGGATCGAGTGTCCCAAACCCTATTTTCAGCAAGCTAGTATCCGCGTGCTGGAATCAATACCGTTTCAATACGACCGACCCCGTCTTGCTTATCCTGTGGTGGTGATAGTACCTTACACATTATGATGGTGGAATATGGCCCAGACAAAATCAAGTGCATGGCGTTTGCCAGCGTTACCTCCCAAATTCCGCAAGAAGAGTAAGATTATAGCAAATACAGCCCGACAAAATAAAGGATAACGGCAACGCAGGCGCTTATTTAGCTAAATAGTAGCGCCCATGCTTGCCAACGCCCACAGCTTGTTTCGTGTCTGGCATCTGCCACTGCTTTTAGCACTGCATCTTCATTGCCCATCGGCATCGCAGACCATTCCTATACCTCGCTGCATCATTATAGTCCCTCCTTAATTCTTCAAAGCAAGTTTGGTCCATGAGAAAGCCTATGACGACCCAATAGACTTCTATGGACAGATCTACCCTTCTATACGGGAGCCTGGCGGTGCTCGCCGTCACATTTGTTACCGTGAGTGCGTGTCCATGTCGTCAATGTCAAAAACGAGCCCCTACACCCTTTACCTCTGTGGGGGGTGGGGGGGGGGACTCAGTTCTATATGATGAGCACCAGATCATCCTTGTTCTACGAGTCGCGGGCAATATGCGCCGTGGCGAGGACGAGAACTGCCGGTCATGACCTCTAATGGTCTATACTGATATACTACGCTCTACTTCTGCTGTGTAGTCCGCCCTTACTGACGCTTTCTCGCCGATTAGTGCTACGTGGCGCTCCTCATCCTCTCGCCCGCGCCACGTAAATCCCGTCCCTCAGAGAAGACATATCGCTCTGCGAAGTCACCCAAAGATTCTCAACCCCTCAATTCCATCACGGACTCCGCGAGCGTCGACCTGACCGTCGTCGTCCCCGCGTACAACGAGACTGAGCGCATGCCGGGCATGCTCCAGGCTGCCATCAACCACCTGTCGAAACCCGCGCTCCGGAACCGGACGTACGAGCTCGTCATCGTCGATGATGGGAGCTCCGACGGGACGGCGGACCTCGCACTCAAGTTTGCGCTCGGCTGTCCGAAGAGCGATATTCGCGTCGTGCGGCTGGAGGAGAACGCAGGCAAGGGTGGCGCGGTGCGACACGGAATGTTGCATGGGCGAGGCCGCCGGCTGCTGTTTGTGGACGCAGACGGAGCGAGCCGGTTCGAAGACTTGGAGCTGTTGTGGAAGGAGATGGACCGGATAGCGCCGAACGAGGAGGCTGCTGTAGCGGTGGGGAGTCGTGCTCACTTAGTGAAGACTGAGGCGGTGGTGAAGGTGCGCACGGCTGTCCAGCTCATCTCTCGTGACTGTAGCTGATATGTATTATCTTCTCAGCGCTCTGTTCTGCGAAACATTCTCATGTATGGGCTGCACACGATCCTGCGCATCGTTGGCGTCGGCCACATCCGCGACACACAATGCGGCTTTAAGCTGTTCTCGCGAGCCGCAGCGCAGCGCATCTTCCCGTACCAGCACCTCACCACATGGATCTTCGACGTCGAGCTACTTCTGCTCGCGAAGCAGCTACGCATGTCGGTCGTGGAGGTGCCGATCGAGTGGCACGAGGTATCTGGGAGCAAGTTGAATGTGGTGACGGACTCGCTGCAGATGCTGAGGGATTTGCTTGTGCTGAGAGCGAACCACCTGCTAGGGCGGTGGAAAGTTGCGCCTGCTGCTTTGCGTACAGGTACTGTAGAGGACAATGGGCAGAAGCAGTGATACATTCACATGGCCTCCAGGATGCATCGTTTGCGGGACGTTATGAGTAAAACGAAGTGATAAGTGGCGCTGTGAATCTGGTAATACCATTGTGCGGCTCATCGACACGCGCGAGATCCTCCCAATGCTAATTACCTGCTCCCGCTCGACATGGGGTCCCGAATACTTGAAGGTGCGCACGAGTAATGGGACATTCCTAGATAAGACTGCATACTCATCAGAGGTGCATATGCGTGCAGGACTCACGCTGAGTTTTAGAGGATGCATGTTGAAATTAGTCAGCAGTCCTGTACGTGAATTAAGCCTCAAATATGTTGAGTCTTTGTCCTCTGATGTAGGCCTATCCAGAACTTGACCTCTGCCAATACACTGGCACGTCTCGCGATTAGTCCTTCAGCTGGGACAGCACATTGTAGAGCACACCCGGGCCAGTAACACGTATGGTCGAATCAGCGCTTTTGTCTCCTAAGCCGCACCTGCCCTCGGGCAGATCCATCTGCACGACCATCCGTTCGATGTGTTACACTTATGAATTGTCCGCTTGGACTCAGGCGGCGGGATCGCGACCGCTGCTGCCACGAACCTCACCTAAGTCCTCATGACAACAATTGAGGACAACCCCGAAAAGCCACACAGGAAGTCATGAAGTCGTCAAGAAGCTCATTGAGTTGGACTGTGTTGCCGATTACGAGTTAACGATTGAACAATTTGAATAGGAAAGCGATGCAGGGCGTCGAGTAAAGGGCATTTAGATTATTTATACAGACGTTGCATTCTGGAAGATATCACCACTTGGCCTTCCCACTCATCAACATTTCCTCGCTTCGATCACCTTGGGTCTCTTTTGGAATGTATAATCTCTTTTTGAATCGTGGTATATCGATGCCTCTCTACTTCACCGACAGCTACCGGAGATGCTATAATTATGTTGAGATGGTAATACATATGATGCATTCGAACCCCACCACGCTCCTACTTCCTTGCCACTACCACACACCTGGTCACTCAATGGCAGCCCAGTCTCCGTCCGCCTTAGATCAAGGTCAAGACAGGGCTGACCACTGCACCGTTGCAGATCTCAGAGCGGATTCAGGCGGTCAGAGTCGCTGCCATAGCGCCCTCTGATCAATGTTCGCCAGGCGAACAACCAGACAGTCTTGAGATATAGCGCTGCCCTATGGCGCTTTCACAATGGCGGGATGGAGGCACGGCCACGCAGACCGGATGTCGCATGCTGTGTACGTGCAGTCGAACTCCAGGCGCTTCGTCTCGACCGTCAGCCTGGGGAGCCGCGCAGCCACCTCGTGTGCCACCGCCTTTTCTGACGGCTCTGTCCACGCCATGTGCACGTCAATGGACACGGTGAGCTTGGGGTGCGCGGCAGCCTGGCGCGACAGGTGCAAGTCGATCTGGTCCCAGTCTACCGATGAGAGCCGGCCCTCGTACGGGAGGAGCAGCACGAGCTCGATGCGCCGGATGTCCTCCGAACGCAGCTGCTCGAGCACTTTCGGCGGCCACGCGTGCGCCTCCGAGCGCGCCGTCTCGATCACGAGCCGCAGCGTCCGCAGCGCCGTGTTCGCGCTCAGGCCGATATCGGCCAGGCATCCGTCTGTCGGCACGTCCAATTGGTCGGTCCATGAGCGAGCGATGACGGCAGAGGTACGCACCCAAATCTGCCGCGGAGTTTGCAACGTCGAAGCTGGGTGCGATCACCACGTACTCCAGCGTGCTGCCCGCCTCCTTCAGCAGGTGCCGCACGTGCGGCAGCTGCGCCGGGTCGCCCCAGCAGAGCTCCAGCTTCTGCAGCCGCATCTCGAACACGCCGTTCGTCAGCCATGCCGACGCGAGTGGCGATATGTGCCGTAGTCCGAGCGCTTGAATGTGTTGACGCGAGTTCACTACCGCGGATACTAGCGTTCGATTGCGATGGGACCAGTACACGTCGTACAGCTGCAGACTCGACAGCCGTGGGCACGCGCATAGGACGAGCGGGAAGTCGTTCCCCGCGAATGCGGTGTCTTGTAGCACCAGTGTTCGCACTCTCGGGAAGTACATCTGCAGATTGCGGCGCGTCTCATCGGACATAATGGTCGCGGACCAGTTTCGGAACTTGAGGTGCTCGACTCTGTTGAGCCGGAGCAGGATACGAGGCGCCTCCTGATCGAGCCAGGTGAACGTGCCGTCCATGGTGATCGACAGATCACGGACGTAGGCCGCGAGGTATGGCGCTGCGAGGAGGAGCTCCTCGAATTGTGCATATCGAGGCGATCCAAGCAGATGAACGGAGTGGAAGAAGTGGGAGCGACTTAGGAGGTACCACGCGCGGCAGGTGAGAGCGCAGGCAGCGAGAGAACCGCGATCGTCCGACAGGTACTGGAAGATTTTCTTGCGCACTTCTGTAGGTATTTGGCCGATGGCTGCAATGTTACTCATGTCCTGTCATCAATACCTTCGTAAGACGGTGCAGCGTCAGACATACGCACTGTAACATCGAATACGCACCATCGCGGGTTCGGATGCAGAACGACGGTGAGCTGCTCCGTGGCGTGCGTACCTGCAGACCTGTTATCTGAGATTGACGCGTCAGAGGAAAGCCGTACATACGCCTTGGGTGCCAGGACGAGCGAAGGAGCGGTGGGACGGAGATGTGGGGGCAACGTATAGCGCAGTTGTCAAGCGGCTCGGGACATGGATAGAGACCAGCTAATGCTAATCGGACCTTTCCCGATCAACTCAGATTACTATCTCTGCCGACTTATGAGGTAATTCGCCCTAACCGAATCGTCCCCGGTCAAAGGCAAAACTTTGAAGCTTCTTCCGCTATGTTTCGCGTTCGGGGGTCTCTCCGCTCTCGTGTCTTGCTGGATTACGAGATGATGAGGGCGTGCTTTGCGTTATGTTTTTGTGACTAGACAAGCCTGATCCTTCCTCAAGCGCGTCCGTAGCGAAAATTTCACCGCAATCGAACGCCACCTGCACTTACTGCTGCGCAATATGAGCGTGACGGAAATCCTCCAGTATTACGTAATTATTCAGTAATCTCTTCGAGGTCTGTTACTATCAGATACGGGGTTTTGCAAAACCCATCAATTTTGCAGAACTGCGTGATCTCCACTGCACACCATGAAACTTATAATTTGGACATTGTAGATGCTATTTACCCGAGTGCGTAGACCGCTCAGGGCGCAGTGCGCTGGTTTTCGGCTGTGGCGCAGGTTTTTCCATCGTCGTCGGGACCGCTAACCTGCATCTCAGAACGAGTGTTCGATATCAACCCACTCGTCATGAGAAGCAGCAGAGATTTCCCTGTGGCGGATGAATCGAGTACCGGACATGCAGCTCGAGTCTCTCATCCCCTAGTGAGTCATCAGGGAATTCAGCCTCATTTCGACTATTGAATACAATCTAGGATGAATTCAGAGCAGAATTGAAGCCGCGTGGCTGTGAAACATCAGGCATAGGCTCAGGCTAAGGCTTGAGTAGGAGACGCGGAGTGGTTCAGCTCAAGAGTCAGCCCGACTCGCTAGAGTCCAGGCATCTGACGTAAGACATCAGCATTTGAGCACCAAGTAAACAGAAAACCCATGAATAATGCAGGAATCAACCTGAATACAACAACGAAGTAATAAGAGGATCAGTCCGTACATCCAGCGCAATATAGATAGAGACGCAGAAGGATGCACCAAGTCTGCCAGCCACATAAATAAGCAGTCGAGTGTCCGAAAGAATTCCGTATCCGAACCGTGAGCCTGTCCGCCGAACGATGTTCATGCCCCGAGTCGACATCCCGTGAATAACCCCTCACAACGCTTGATGGTTGCTACAGGCTTGTCTTCAGCCATCTCGATGACCGGCAGCCTGGGATCCTCCCGCAACCGGTTGGTCCCTGGTCGCCTCGTTCTCAATAATTGCGCCGAGTGTGTGCGATGGCTGTTGCTTCGTCCTCGCGGGCCTAAGTTTCTTCGCAAGTGGCTGCTCTTCATCTCCTCCATCTCCAAGCTCTTCCGAGTATCGTTTTGACCCAGAGAAGGAAGAGTGAACAGAGTATTGAGATCGATCGATTTTTGCGAACTGCGCGAATTTGTCGTCCTGTTTTATGGGGTATACATCAGCACGAACAAGAAGAGCTTTCTCGAAAACACGAAGAATCTTCTCATGGGTCGAAAATGGCGGGTATTTCATGGTATCGACTGCCGCTGCAACGGGCTCGTGGGTGTTCTCGGACTGCTCTTCGGAACTCTCGAACCCGAGCACATCAGGGTGTTCCCCGTCCTCGAACCAGCTTGCCGGAATAGGTGCCTTCTTACGGAAGAATTTGGCGTATGGTGTAAGATCGGTGGCGTTGTAGTGAGCTTGGCACAATTCGACTAGTGCGTCAACCAGGACCTGTAGGGGCGTCGAGTCAGACAGCTCCGCAGACGGAATACCTTTGAGTATACGAAGAAACTTCTCGCCACCGCCAGTCCGATTCTCTAGATCTCCCTTTTTGGATCCGTCGAAAACGAGGCTTACATGCGCTTGTAGATCTTCATGGAGGGTATCGTGGTACCGCAGACAGATCCAGTTGAGGACGTGCATGAACGATTCCAAATCGTCGGCAACAGTATGTTGTTTGAAACCCGGCCTCAAGAGAAGCAACGCGGACATGAATTGCCATGTTCCCTGAAGTATTCCGAATCAACATGGCTGTCAGCATAGATTATTATGCCACTCACTGAACGGTTGCTTTGCTTAGCGCCGTCCATGAGCTCATCGTATAATTTGCATAGATCCCAATCGATGAGGATCCCTCTCTTCGTAACGCCACGTGTTGGTGATTTAGGATCTGGGATCATGAGCATATTTGCCTCGCTGATGTCCCGGTGCATTACTTTAGCTTTCTCGCAAGCCTGTTGATGTGCTATACGCAGAAAATCAATGTATGTTCCGAAGGATACAAACTTAATCGCAACATACCAATGATAGCGCCATACATCACCGCCACCAAGTCTTTGCTGGTGGGATAGTCCAGGATGGACTCACCGATTTCTTCCACGACAAGCCGACAATGGATGTATTCTGCCTTGCGGTTGTGCTTCTGAGCCAACGTTCGGTGCAGAGTCCCGTCGATATCCGCGACATCGCCACCATAAATCGGTGTTGCAATATTTTCGACACCACGCTCATGCAAACGCTGATAGACCTTGATCTCCGAGTTTCCTGTGGAGACGCGCCAAGAGTCCTTTAAGTATACAAATTTGCCAGTCTTCATGTCGTATGCAAGGTATCCCCTTGTGCCACGCCCGATAGGAGAGTCGCTCGAAAAGTCGTGTTTGCAGATCAAGAAGCACCGATAATGTACAGCAGGGCGGTTGCGAGCTTTCCATGCAGTCCGAGCTGTCGAGGATGTACCAGGCCCAAAGGGATCAGGGTCCTCGGATAGTAAGCCGATATTAGCTAGAGACAAAGAAGGCGGAGGTACAGTGGAAGATGCAGAGTCAGTATTCGTGCTAGTAGCACGCCAGGCGTCCACAGATACAACGTCGTCCTCACGACATAGCACCTTGTAGACGGGCCAGCCCTCGGCCATAGCCAAGTTCAGGCGCTTCAGACGGTAGTCGCCTTCAGGGATGGAGTCCTTTGCCTCTCGCATCAAGTCGATCTCCTTCTTGGTCGCACGCTGAACGGTTCGGTCGCAGCCGCGTTGTTCGGGCTTCGCCCTGCTTAATCGATACAGAAACGTTAGTAGCTTGTCCGCTTGATCGGGGTCTCTGAGATCGAGGGGTTGGGTGACGATAGCACCAGCCCGGTCCCAGCGCATGAGTCGCGCCTCGTTGCGAGTGATTGCGATCATGAAGAAGAATAGGAGGTGTTGGCGCTGAAGAATTCTGGCAGCATAGTCGGCAAGTTGGCCCCTTGCACCTCGCCTCTTTCGACCACCAGGAAGGAAATTCGGATCATTGCCGAATCCGAACGCCGAATGTTGATGATCTGCCTTGAGCTCCACGGGTACGCAGACCCACGACCAACATGTCCGAGCAAGATGACTGAAATTGTATTCCGATTCCTCGATTTGGTCCTTTGAACTTTTGAGTGTCTTTCTTTTGTCCCTCCCCTTCTTGAGTCCCTCGATGTCGTCCTTCGACAGGGCGTAGTCCTTGACTGCCTCTTTGTTGTTGGGATAGAGGACGACGTCAGGTCTCTTCTTGCCACCTTGACCAAACCCAGTTGACTCTGTAGAATCCGGCAAGTCTGCAGTGATCTTGGCTACGAGTGGTTTGGAACCACCCCTCTTGAGTGCAGGGCTTGCGACGTGGACCTGCAAAGGTAGCGTCAGCGAATCACGCACGATATGCAAATCACAGCGAGCAAGAGCAGGACGTACAAACTCTTCTGCCATTTCGCGCTCATTATTTTTGAGCAACTCTGTATTGAATCTCAAGGGCTCCTTCCTAGCATTGTGTTTGAAGTCTTCACCAGGCAAGTGAGTCTCGAGGAAGCCATCGGCCTCAACTTCGGCAAAGTAAGGCATCATGTCGTCGGACAGATTGTAGCGGAATTCAGGACGGTCCTCTTCGCCAATCTTCCCCGTGGTGAGGTACCTCTGGCGGGTGGCGACAGTCTTCTTGAGAGGTGATGTCTTGTTTTTAGCTAGCTCTGTCTCGTCGGGCGGAGGAGACGGATGGATGTCTTGATGGTTGCTAGAATTCCCAGAGTGAGCTGTAGAGTCCATGTCTGATTGAGAGCAGTTGGGAAGTGTTGACTTACGAAGGGTCAGCACGGCGGGTATCTTATACTCGACGGTCAGGACTAGGTTTGAGCCACACAAACACGATTGCTCTGCGTGTCCATTGATGTGGTCAATTTCGCCGGTGGTTCACCGTTGTGATTACACACCTTTGTTCCACGAAATGCTGCTGCAAGGCGTGGATGACGCGTTGGCTAACTTCTATGTGTGAAGATCGTTGTCTGCCTGACATGAGGGTTTCATCAAAGGTGAATCAGAGCCACAACGATTGTACTAAAGTTTGCACGCACCGTTGCTTTTGATCCAGGTTTTCAATATGAAAAGCCTCACGAGCAGAGGATGTGCATTAGACGCAAGGAAAGGAGACGCCACAAAGGCCGCGTCGCAGCACGTGACCGTCTGTTGTGGCTCATTCGCGGCGGCCTTCTTTACGGCGGCCTTCTTTCATCCAATGCTTCGAAATCGAGAGTCCAGGTTCCGATGACGTATAATCACACGCGCTGCACAGAGATACGCACGGCTCGTTGGATTATCACTGAACTAGGTGAGCGATTCATTGTACGAGGTTAACGATAAGTGTTATGGTACTACTCTACACTCCATCCCAATATGAAGATCAATCAGTCAGTCCATATAAGCCTTTCATTAGCCTATCGACATTGCACCTGTTGTCACAGTCCAATAAAGTACTATCTGGCCATCGACATACTATGGTTTACTAGTGGATGGCCCCCTCTCGATGGCCAGGTAACACTTGATCACGTCAATGTGACGGTGCCGATTCAGAGGTCCGCTCGGCTCACAGGGCCGCGGCCTGAATGTTTGCTCAGTGGCGTGCAAGCTCCTTCCCACCGTCTTCGTTTGGGTAGGGGGACTTCATCTGAGGGCGGTTAATCGATTTTGGTAGACTTTCAGCAAGAATTTGTTCTCTACTGCGGCTCAATCCCATCAGACAAGCAGATGTACGATCTCTAGTGTAATAACATACTCGAAATTTACCAGAAATGTTACCGTAAATGAACAGAATACATAGCGTACTCTACCAGCATGATGTGCCCTCGATTGAACTATGTACAGTATCACGACGCGCTCTCCGAGAGGCGCGATTGCACTGCGAAACGCGCTTCACGTGATCCGGAAAGGGCCGTAAGGGACTCGTCGTGCAAACCGGGTCAGGTTTCATGTAGGACTAGATATTGCGAGGCTTTCTTCGACATACGTATTGCCATAATAGGCTCGCGCCGAACATACATGAAAGTGCCCATGATGTGTTTGTATCTCAAGTATCATTATGCTTGAAAACCGCTGTTCGATAGGCAGATCTCGACCAGTGTATGCGATTCGTATGAGTCATGCCGGCATTCATGATATGTTTGCCCAGGAAATTCAACTGGCTCGTCGGTCGCAATCTACGATGTCCTCTCCACTGCGTTTGCTTGTGCAATTCGTCATGGCCATCTCAATTCTACCAGTCCCTCTCAACGTTTACGCGGATCAACAGCGCATGCTCCTCCTGCCCACAGATCAGGGGCGGGCTCCTCTACCGGTACCCAACTCTACCCGGTCGTTCTGGATCGACACACCTGGTGCCAATCCGCTGGCAAAGGAGGGAAGCCAGGGTACACTGACTGCAGACGCTGACGTCTGCATCATCGGATCTGGGATTACAGGCATCTCTGCGGCTTATCATCTGGGTATCGCACTGGAGGGGAATCGGTATACTGAGACACCGCTCAAAGTTGTGGTTTTGGAAGCAAGGGATTTCTGTCAGCGGCAAAATCTCCTTTTTTGAGAGTGTTGACATCCTGATGTGGAGTATACATAGGCGCAGGAGCGACAGGTGCGTGATCACTGTGTGCAGAAGACGCGGAACTGACTTCGTCTCAGGACGCAACGGCGGTCATTTGACCCCCTGGGTATTCAGGGACTTCAGCCCGCATGCCACAGCCTTCGGAAACGACGAAGCTCTGCGCGGGATTCGCTTGGAGCAGCATACCGCTGCAGAGATTGTCAAGATAATCAAAGAGCACACGCTCGAGAGCGCAGTCGACTTGGTGGAAGGTGGTCACATTGATCTTATGCTCAACGCAGAAGAAGTAGCCGATATGCGGACTGACTACGAAGCTGCCAAGGCCGCTGGTGCCAATGTCGATACAGTACGATGGATGGACGAAGAAGAGATGATAGCTGTAAGTAGTTATCTCTCCCAAGACCTCTCTTGCACCAATACGTGCATTAGAACTACGGCACATCGTATCCCGGCGTAAGCGTCCCGGGTCACAACCTCTGGCCCCTCAAATTTGTCACCGAGGTGTATAAACTCGCCGCCGCATCTCCCCAACTGTCGCTCGCGCTGCACACGAACACGCCCGTCACATCGCTCAGCTCGAACGGCGATTCTCCGCGCCGCTGGAACGTCACAACCCCGCGTGGCTCTGTGCACTGCTCCTACGTGCTGCATGCGACGAACGCGTATGCGTCGCACCTGCTTCCGCACATGACTGGGCCAGCAGGAATCATACCCACGCGTGGGCAGGTCATCGCTACGCGCGCAAGTGCGGAGCTGGATGTCATCTCACGACGCTCCTGGAGCGCAAATCAGGGATCCGAGTACTGGTTCCCGCGGCCCGTCGATGCGGCCAACGGGGAGACGCGCCCGCTTGTGATTCTCGGTGGTGGGCGCGAGGCTGAAACGCCTTCGTACGAACTATACGAGGCGGACGATTCGGTCCTCAACCCACAGGTGGGCGCTGTATTGCGCAAGTTCCTACCAGCCGTGTTCCCTGGTCGGTATGAGGAGGGCGCGGAGCCGGAGATGGAATGGGTGAGTGGCTTACATCTCGATCTGAACCTGCTTTCACGTGTCTCACAGACCGGAATCATGGGCTATACGGCGTCCGGCGATCCCTTCGTAAGTCCATCGTTGGATTGGCATTGCAGGTGGGACTAAGGTCCGCAGGTTGGTCCTGTCATTGATTCAGAAAAACCCGCGGAGGCGGAAGCGTTTAAGGGTCAATACATTTCGGCAGGATACTCAGGGCATGGCATGCCGCGCGCGTTCGCTTGGTATGTACAAAATGGCGAGTAGCATCTGGCTTGCTCCTGATTACGCGTCATCCAGTGCGGACGCTGTGGCCCAAATGATCGTTGCAGACATCCTTGGAAAGGCTTGGACGCCACCAGATTGGCTGCCGCGACACTACATCACACAATTGTGAGAATCGGGCCAGGAAAAGGTGATGAGACATCAAATGGTGCAGTCAGAATCGTTCTGCTTACTTCGAGGTCGCTTACTCGCTAAAGTACAAATGCTTTATGTACTCGTGTAAATGCAACATGTGAAGGAGATGTATCCTATCGCCGGTCAACCTGGATGGCGGGCAAGCACACTTCTTGTCATGATCTGCATGATTTGCTGCTTGCATCGACTTGGCTCATTGCTGTCGTCGGACACATTGACCATACTGCTCGAGCTTGCAGCGAGAAATCAAGGTGTGAGGATAATACTCAGGGCGAGCTCGCAGTGGAGTCTGAAGTGGTTGCCCTCTACTCGTCTGATGCCTTCATGGCGATGTACGAGGGCGAATCACATGCGTTGTCGCGTAGTCGTCCGGCACCGCGCTGAAACGCACACTAAGCAGGTTGTGCCTGTAATAATCCGCCTGCGAGAGTGGGAGGCAACGCTTCTCTTCTACAGCATCCGAGAAGGCCTTCGGTTACTAGGCTAATACTCTGTTGTGGGCCGGCCGGGAATAGCTTTGACCGAACAATAACCCAGACTTGATAGGCTGCACAAAGCTTCAGTGGGAGTGTTACAGTCTGGAGACCTTGCGATTGACGAGCATGCACATGGCTCAGACACACCTGATTGCGGACACACAGTTCAGCGGGCCGCCAGGGTCCGGGACTGACATGACGTTGGAGCGAGAGGTCTCCTCAGCTACCTGTGTGTACACGCACCTACATCCACATTGGATGCACTTGGTCGGGATTCATGAATTGATATCCCAATACTTGGCGTGGGTAGTCCGACTCTATTCGCCGCTCTACGTCCGATGCATTTCGCCTAAGTTGCCGAGCTATTTTTTCTCTCCGGTCGAACGCATCAATGACGTCCATCTGTTTCTGGAATCCCTGGAAGATGAGTGCCATAGCCTGTCGTCCCAGGTTTATGCTTCCGGCAGTTGCCTTGGTACGCGGCCCGCTGTGTGAAGATGAGGGCTGCTGGGCATCCTAGACGCGATCATCGAGCACATGCTACTGTAGTCATGACTATGCGCAGGGCCCGCTTAACTCAGGTCGGAGTCTTTCGTTGCAGAAAATCACTACTGGATTGAAGCTCATTGTAAATGCAGGAGCGTTCGTTCATTCAAATGCCCGGGCCGCCGTGGCATGCGCCCTAGGTCATCCACTGTTGTCGCCAAACAATCTCAACGTCTGTCCAAGTTGTACACACCTTCTGCAGAGCTATATAACAGTCGCGTTGCCTTGTCAGACAAACACATCGAGGGATAAATCTCAGAGGTCTAGCCTGCTCACACTGTCCTTGCTTTCACCATGCTATCTACATCGGTACTTCTTGCTGTCATCTGTGCTCCCCTCATTCTTGCTGTTCCATCTCCCACTGAAACCGCAAAGCGCTCTACGTGCACTGTGGATTCTGTCTCATCCGCCTCTGACCTGTCTGACTGTTCCTCCGTCGTGATATCCTCTTTCACGGTCGCTGATGGAGGTAGGTATTTTGATTACATTGCACAATGGCGCATTCATCGCTGACGATCTCTCTCCAAATCTCAGACACTGTCACTATGAGCGTACGTAGTCGTCTCGCTGACTGAATACTACAGCCTCACCCATTCTCTTAGTTCGCAAAGGGTGCCAGCGTCACCATGACGGGAGAAGTGACCTTTGCTAGCACCACGGGTAGGCTGTTCATCGTCATGCGTAATGCAACCACTTCTCAGACGCTATAATTCTCAGCATCCGGCCCTCTAATCACATTTGGTAACTCCATTGCTTCTCATCCTTAAAAAAAAGGCTCATGATTTGTAGAGGGAACAGACGTCACGTTCGACGGCGATGGCAAAACTTTCAACGTATGTCGATTCCTTCCGTAAATATATGACTGGTTGCTTGAGTACGTCGCGCGCAGGGCAATGGCGCGGACTATTGGGACGGAGAAGGCACAAACGGTGGGAAAGCAAAGCCACACCCATTCATGAAGTACAGTGGTCCACATGCCGGGTTTGTCTGCAGCTCACAAGTCCCCTGATACTAGAATTAAGGCATCTGGAACGTTTGAAAACTTCATTGTACGTATTTGGTGAGAAGTCTTGTACGGCGCAGGCTCTGACTCTTCTTTTCTAGGTTTTAAACACCCCGGCGCAAGCCATCTCAGTGGGAAATGACGCCGCTTTGACCATCAACAAGGTGACAGTGAATAACAAGGCCGGCGATACTGATGATCTCGGGCACAACACCGATGTAGGCTACACTGCCAAATGTTCAAGCTCGTAACTCTGATCTGTCACTTTAAGGGATTTGATGTTTCTGCGTCCGATGTAACAATCACAAATTGTGGTGCGTCCTCTCTAAGCTGGGGAAGCAATCATCTAGACTGACTCCGACAATTGTGGCTTCCGACAGTCGTCGAGAATCAAGACGATTGCATTGCCATCAATTCGGGATCCAACATTGTTTTCAAAGACAACACATGCTCTGGTGGACATGGTGAAATTGAATAATGTTTCTGACAAACACCATCGTTGATAAATGATTTTCAGGAATGTCTATCGGCTCTATCGCATCCGGGAAGACAGTATCGGGCGTCACGTTTTCGGGGAACACTGTAACGGACTCGATGTATGGCACTCGTATCAAGGTGGATGCTAAAGCTACCAGCGGTGGTGTGAGTGATGTCACGTATTCCGGGTACGAGATCAATCTCTGGAAATAATCATCAATCCTGACCGTGCTCCTTCAGCAATACAATTTCTGGCATTTCGGAGTACGGCGTTCTCATCACACAGGTTCGTCCTCAATACTTGACTTTTAATTGGCTTACTGGACAATATGATGGGCACTGTTAAGTCCTATCCCGACAATGACGGTACTCCCGGAACCGACACCACGATAAGGTATATTTCTGTTAGAATGATTCGTGTGCGTTTACTGAACTTCGTTAATCAGCGATGTCAACTTCGTGGACAGCGCCACCACTGTCTCTGTGAACTCCGGTGCTTACAGGGTAACCGTGGACTGTGGGAATTGTGACGGGTACGATCTGTTATTTCGTCTCGATACTGGCTGACTGAGGCGTATCTTCAGTAAATGGGATTGGTCCGAGCTGACTGCAACCGGAGGGGACGCAGGTACTATAAGTGCTGAAGACGCCACGGTGAGTTCCTTTCGAAGCGTTAGCAGATAACTCTTGAACGCAACGCATGCAGATTGATGGCGGGTCGTACTGACGGGACATTTGGATGTTGATTGAACTACCTGTGGTCCTGTTTTGAAGCCAAGCAACGTGATGCAACTACTGATGTGATACAGAGAACTAAGTCGAGCCCTATTGCAAGGAGGGATAAGTGTTTGTATACGTCATGATAGGACAGTACATTTGTCACGACGTTGTATCGTGTGTGATATGATCTGATCCCTCAACATCACCCATATTATTTTCCTGTGACGGTTCTGTTCCTTCTCCCATAGGCTTAAGTTCTTCTGCTGTCGCCACTAGATTCTGACTCCGCCCGAGTCCGTCGTGGCCATCGCGGTCTCGCCGTCGGATCACTCGACAGAAGGGACACATCAACGGCTCATCCGTTCGCTCTGATTCAAGTTGAAGGTGAGAGCAGGCATACGAAAACCTAGGTGTCCATATAATTTCGGGGGCGGTGGAGTGCCCGGTTGTTGCCCATTACAAACCTGGCCTTCCAGGAGGGGCATCCACTGGTAAACCATAGTACGTGTGTCAATAGAACTGAGAAGAGCTTGAAATGTCCGACACGCCCTCGCGCTCCTCTTCGAATACGTCAAGACGACTGGCTGCTTCGCGGCCGGCGGAGGTGATCGTACCGCCCCGCCCCCCAGATGACGTCACACCGACATACAACTGCCACCCAAATGACCCAACGACCGTGCTTCTCATTGTGCTCTTTGTTCTTTCCTTCTATCTTTTTTGATCCCATCTCTAATCACGCGCTTACATTCTGCCCTAACCGAACACTACTACTGTACATAAAATCATCACCTACCTACGACCAACTATCGCCACTCCACTTTGCGCTGACGCATTTCATATGACAGCCTGTGAACAGAACTAACTGCTAACTTTCATGCCTGCACACGCACGATATCTCGCTCGCGCTCCCTTTCCTCCATGCTACCTGACAGCCCGTGATCCCTGCTCGCTTCGCTTCGTACTATACACGCATGTATTATCCGGCATAGGGCAAAGCCCTCAAGCGAATATAAAACTGGAGTAATAAAAAATTAAAAAAGCTTCGATACGGAATAGGCACCACAGCAAACGCAAAGCAATCGAAATAGCCGACGCGAGTAACTTTTACGCTTTTAGGTAGAGTTAGTTAGTCAAAGTCCCGTCGCGATGAGCAGGAGTCGACTCATTAGTGAGTCATGAAATAAATTACATGAACCTTCCCCGTCGTAGGTAGGTGGGCATAGTAAAGGAGACCAGACATCGACACAATTACACAATGAAAGTATCACGATCCCTAGTCAAGCCACCAAAGACACCAAGACCGTCACCCGCTCATGTCATCTCGCTATGCTCTTCTGTGATAATCTCGAGAGTAGAAACGGTTCCAGATGCAGTAGTCTTCTCATGCGATCCTTCATTCCTTGTCCGCTTGGCGCTCTTCATCTGGGAATCATCCACATCTGACTCGCGAGACCGTCTCTTGAAACCACTCTGGCTACCAGCTCCTTCTTGCTTTAGACTTCCATCTCCGGTAAATTTCCCACGGTCTGCGCCCATAGGAGCGGGCCAAGCAGACGTGCGGCTCACATACATACTATTACAAGATCCTATACTACATTAACGACTACTGTAATACGAACTATGGCATCGTCTGGCGGCAAGCCGACGCCAGGAGGCTCGCAAGCGCGGCGAGTAACACGAAACAGCACCCCATCGATAGGCAATGCTGGCAGTGACGCAGCGTACAGGGCAGCACTCGAAAAGATAGACAACATTGAAAGCGCTGTCGAGCTCCTTGAATCTAAGGAATTGATCCCTGGAGGCCAACCACCAAGTCTGCTAATGATACGTGATGGCCTACTGCATCTCGCTCGCTCAGCCGCCCCTGCTGCCATCACCATGGAGTGCCTTGTCGCATTCTCTCGGATTGCAGACGCTGTCGACACGGACCAGATCACCTCGGAAGTGGCGAACCAAGTCTGCCACAAGACCATGGTGGCTTACAACATACTCGATGAAGGAATTGACAAGCTTGAACACACTCGGACCGAACTGGAAGGGTGTGTGAATCGAGCAAAGGAACAGGTGCGTGACCTTGACCAGTATCGAAAGGATATCCAGGTAGAGATAGTAAAGGGAGTGGAGATGCTAGCAGACGCCTCTAGACAAGCTCTTAAGGAGCTGCAACAGAGTGCGAGACCCAGAGAGGTTGTAACGCAGTCCTCTTTGGAAGGACCTGGCGGCATGACGGTGGCGGATAGAGAATTGCTTACCTACGCTGCGGCGGCCCGCCGCAACGTCCCTGCCGCGCATGCGCGAGTGATAGCGCGCGGAGACGCACGACGTCGTCAAGTGCTCATTGATCGAGACCCCAAGGCAGTCGGAGATGGGAGCCTGGCTCTCAGCGAGCGGGAGTTGGTGATGAAGGCGAGCATTGCGCTGGAGCAAATGGGGGAAGATGGTGCTGACGCACCTGAAGGCGGTGTAGTTTTCCGCAGTGCACGCCGGTTGAGGAATGGGGGAGTTATATTTGAAATGAACACTGCCGAGGCAGCGAGTTGGCTCCGTGAACGGGATGTAATGCCCAAATTCATCTCTTTCTATGATGGCGGGAACAGTGTTGCCAAAGGCAACAAATACCCCATCATCGTTGAGTTCGTATCTACTGACTTTGACCCTTCTAGCGAGCATGAGGTCCGAAAAATTGAGACTGACTCCGCACTCATGGCGCACGCCATTCAAGCCACCCGATGGCTCAAGCCAACCAACCGACGACGCCCCTTCCAAGCTGTTGCGCATCTGTTCATGTCGTTTGGCTCCCCTGAGGATGCTAACACAGCCATACGTGATGGACTAATCGTCGAAGGTAAACGTGTATGGGCTCGTAAACTACTCCCCGAACCAAGGCATTGCCTACGATGCCACCAGATAGGATCAAACCACCTCGCGGCAGATTGTCCAAAAGAGCGAGACACTTGCGGGACATGCGGTAAGGAACATCGCACAGCCGAATGCACGGTGCGATCACGCGAAGACAGATACTGTGTCAACTGCGAGGCAGCAGGACATGGAGCATGGGATTGCGCATGCCCCACTTTCCGGGCTAAATACGCCACCTTTGCTCGAAACCGCCCAGAGGATGAGTACTGTTATTACCCTACCTCCGATCCTCGCACATGGGAAACCAATGCTAACCAACCACAGTACGAGATTGAACAGGAGAACCTGCCTACGAATGAACCCACACCGCTTGCTGAAAAGCCCACGATGAGCCAACGACTGCAACCATCCTTGATCACTCAAGGCAGCTCACAACAGCGCAGGAAAGATCCCCCGGTGAGTCGCCCATCACAAAAAGCCCATGCGGCAGCAGCGACGGCTGGCAGGACTTATCAAGCGACCCTCGACTGCTACTCCTTGGTGAGTGGCAGACAGCGAGACAATGGCTGGGGCGACCGTGCCCGTCGGCAGACTCCCGAACTACAGAACGACAACGACAGTGATGCTCACACCTCCTTGACCTAATGCTTGGCAACCGTTTTGCCCTTCCCGACGTGCCGTCCGCAGACGGCCGACTTCGCATTTGGCAGCAGAACTTAAACACCTCCTTAATATCCCAGCTGGACCTGCTCAACAACCTACACCCATCTTCGATTGACGTTCTCGCTCTTCAAGAACCCTACTTTGACCATCTCCGCAACACCCGCTCCGGACGCCATTGGACAGTGGTTTACCCACCCGGTCACAAAGACGGTGACAAGCCTGCGCGGTCCGTTCTCCTGGTAAACAATCAGACTATGTCTTCCAATACCTGGGAGCCTATACCTGTTTCGTCTACTGATCTAACTGCTATCCGTGTCACCACTGACACTGACACTCTGTATGTGTACAACATATACAATGACCAGAAACACTCCGACACCCTACGCCTACTTGCAACGGAGACCAAGAAGCACATGAAGAGCAATAGAAATCGGAGAAGGACCCACATTATATGGCTCGGCGACTTCAACCGTCACTCGCCGGTCTGGGACGAGCCTCGGAATTCCCACCTATTCACAGCATCCAATCTCTCTTCTGCAGAACTCCTTATTAACACAGTATCAAACCTAGATTTACTCATGATCCTCCCTCGGTACCTCCCGACGCTATGCGCATCCCGAACAAAGAATGAGACACGGCCTGACAATGTGTTCGGGAGCTCGACGTTGGTGGAGAACATCATTCATTGCAGCTCTCATCCTGCGCTACGTCCTGCATGCACTGACCACTACCCGATAATCACAGTCATGGACTTTGCGATGACCCCCCCTGCCCCAGAGGTGCGATACAACTTTCGTAAAGTTGACTGGACGGCACTCCGTAATGACTTAGCTGGGCGCCTTTTGGACATTGAGCCTCCGCAGGCCCTACGCGATATTGACCATATGACAAGTAAGCTACAGGCAATTACTGACCTCATTACTTCCCTCGTCGAGAAGCATGTTCCGAAAGTGCGCCCATCTCCCCATGCCCGACGGTGGTGGACCGACGACTTGGCAAGCAAGCGTAAGGAAGTAAATCGTGTAGGTCGCCTAACGGGACAGCACCGCGGCGATCTGACTCACCCTAGCCATACTCACCTACGCTCACTCCGGAACCAATACAAAGAGGACATTGAGAAGCAAAAGCGACACCACTGGCTACAGTTTGTGGAAGAAATTGACCCTGATAGCATCTGGATAGCTAACAGGTACCTCGGGCATGAGGGCTCTGACTCCAGCAGAGCGCGGGTCCCAACACTGCAGGCTGACATTGGACAAGGTATCGAAGATCTTTCTGAGAACAGCCAGAAAGGCAAGGCGTTCTACGGAGGCTTTTTCATTCCCCCTCCTCCTGCGAACATTTTGAATATTGACCCTGACATTGACTATCCTGAACCCGCATTCCATTGGCAGGCAATCACAGACTCACAGATTGCCCGCAACATTGGACGCTTAGCTCCCTTCAAAGCTCCCGGTCCTAATGGAGTTGTTAATGCTTTCTTCAAGGAAACCAGTGATCTGTTGACTCCCCACTTAGGCCCAATCTTCCGAGGCACGTTCACGCTCAAGCACTATCCCAATGCATGGAAGATTTCAAAGACAATCGTGATTCGAAAACCTGGCCGGCCAGACTACCGCGTCACTAAAGCTTATCGTCCAATTGCGCTCCTCGACACACTCAGCAAAATCCTGTCAGCATGTGTTGCAGAGTCCCTTGTCTATGGAGCCGAGTCGAATGACCTCTTACCACCGACCCAATTTGGAGGTCGTCCGGGCAGAACCACGACAGATGCACTCCATCTCCTTGTCCACAAAGTCAAATCTGCTTGGCGCCGAGGTAACGTAATGTCCATCATGTTTCTTGACATCAAATCCGCTTTTCCTAGCGTTGTTCCCGACCGACTAATACATGACATGCGCATGAAGGGTGTTCCGAAGGAGCTCACAGACTGGGTCTACAGGAAGCTCAAGGGACGCACGACCACCATTGCTTTCGACGATTTCACCACGGAACCATACGCAATTGAGAGTGGACTTGACCAGGGATGTCCCCTGTCGGTAATATTTCACCATTTTTACAATGCACGTATGACCGAACTTGCACACACTGACAAAGGCGAGGGAACGTCCAGGTTCGTTGATGACTCCACGTTCCTCGCTGAAGCCAAAACCTTTGAAGACACGCATCGCAAACTTGATCAAATGATGACGCGCCCCAATGGCGCGTTACACTACGCTCGCGAGCACAATGTCCAATTTGAACTCACAAAGACTGGCCTTTTAGATCTAACGAGGAAACGAGAAAGATCAACAGGCCACCCAACTCGAACACATCCAACAACCCGACCCATCGCAGCCATTGCAGGACAACAGATCACACCTTCGGCCTCCCACAAATACATAGGAGTCATTCTCGATCAAGAGTTGCGGTTCAAAGAACACGCAGCTTATGCCCTTGGCAAAGGTCAATTCTGGGCAGCTCAACTGCGACGCCTGTCGAAACCGACACAGGGCATGCCCCTCCGTTTCTCGCGTCAACTGTACTTATCGGTCGCAGTCCCACGTATGCTCTATGCTGCTGACGTCTGGTGTGCTCCCTCCCTCACCGGCACGGCAAATGAACGGCGTCCGTCACAGCATGTCCGGAAGCTGATAGGCGTACAACGCCAGGTAGCTATGCAGAGCCTCGGAGCCCTGCGCTCCACTGCAACAGATCTTCTTGACGCACATGCTGACCTACTACCACTAGATCTACTCATCGATAGAATTGTCGCACGCTCTGCGCTGCGACTCGCGACCCTCCACCCAAGCAACCCAATGAGTGCCGTGGCGAAGAAGACTGCACGATGTCTTGTCAAACGACATCGTACAGCTCTGCACCATATCTTCCGGATATTCAACATTGACCCCGACCGGACCGAAACGATCAATCCCACACGACTCAGCCCAAATTGGGAGCCGCGATTCAGGGTGCACATCGCACCCAGTGTGGAGAAAGCGGTAGCGGAGGCGGAATCGTGCCGGGATGGCCACAAAATCTGGACGGATGGATCTCTGATTGATGGAGGAGTTGGCGCAGCAGCGGTTCTGGAGAAGAATGACGAGCACAAGGCTACCATGCGGAAGTATCTTGGAAGCAGCGCTGAGCACATTGTGTTCGACGGCGAGAACGTCGGACTTGCGCTGGGACTAGAGCTGGTACGACAGGAGCGCAATGTGCGTAGAGTGTCCGCTTTTGTTGACAACAAGGCAGCACTGTTAGCAACCGGCAACACTCACGCACGGCCGGGGCACCACTTGACGGACATAGTACACCAACAGATTGACCACCTGTTCAGATGCCACCCCCGCGCACGTCTCACGTTACGATGGATTCCCAGCCATGTCGGCGTCCCGGGAAACGAGGCAGTTGATCACCAAGCGAAAATGGCAGCACGTCAGAGGCCTGACCCCCCTCGCATGACAGCGCTGCCCCGCATACTCCGTAAATCGCTGCCCATGAGTGTCGCTGCCCTGAAGCAGAACAGGACGGCTGATCTCAAACGAGACGCTCTCGCTCGTTGGAAAACATCCCCCCGCTGCGACAGACTTCGCCGAATCGACCCCTCTCTCCCCTCGAACAAGTTCCTTAAACTTGCAGGCATCCTCCCGAAGAAACAGACTAGCCTCCTCATACAGTTGCGTTCCGGACACGCCCCCCTCAACAAACACCTGTTCCGACTTGGCAAGGCCGACTCAGCGCGGTGCTCCTGCGGCACAGACGACGAGACAGTGATCCACTTCCTGCTTCGGTGCCCGAACTGGAAACGCGCGCGCGCCCCACTCCGACGAGCCTTCCCTCCTTCGAACCTGCAACTACGCACATTGCTCAGCGACCCCAATGCTCTACCGCACCTCTTCGACTACATCAAAGCGACCGGCCGCTTCGCGGCCGGACGGAACGACCGCACGAATTCCCACTGACTCTGCGTCGAAGTATGATAGCTTCCCCATACCGGACGAATGCTCCGAGCATTCCCACTACGTCTTGAACGTACGCATTCCGCCATCACAGGACTTCCTTTTACTATACATTTCTTAATCCACTACCTACACACACTTACTCTTACCTCACCCTGCGCCCATGCCTTACATTACGCCCTCACCCGGCCCTTTGATAAGCTGACCCGCGAGACGCCCTCATCTACCACCACGTCGAACCACGTTCGAAAGCTCGCTCGCGCTCCAACTACTCCATGCTACCGGACAGCCCATCGATATTACCTCTCCAGCTACGCAGTGTACTCGCAGGTATTATCCGACATAGGGTGAAGCCCTCAAGCGGATATAAAACTGGATATTAAAAAAAAAAAAAAAAAAACCACTCTGGCTTTCAATGGTCGAGGTATTTGATCGCAATGTCCCGTTCGTCGATGTCTTGAACTGGCTTTCCGCATACTTGTCTGCCGCTGGCCAGTGCTCTATATCCATCTGAAGAGCTTCAGCAAACGCGTTGAAGAGGTAGTCATGTTGTGATAACGTCTTCACTGAGTAGATTTTTTGCTGCGGCTGCGGCCCAAGCCGGCGAACGTTGCGAAGCTGCTTCTCAGGACGGGTGTCTGATATGGATTTTCGCGCGTCGCCAGGTACGGAAGGGATACCCTCGGATGGCGGAGAAACTGTGTACCGGGAATGCAGCTCGAGCCTCTCGTCCTCGGTCGCTTGATAGTGGTCACGGCATATGTCGGAGGCCTCCTTCGCCAAGCGTTGCAAGTCAGGATTCGCACATTCACCGAAAGTCAATGACCCTTGAAGTATCCCCACATACTTGTCCTTTCCCCCCCCCCCTGTCTGGGCCGTCCGCCGAGGGCGTGAAATCATCGTAATTCGTGCTTGCAATCTTTTGGACATCCAACTTACACCACGAGAGATTGTGAGGCTACCGTTTGCGAATTAGCCAGTGCAAGAGGTGTACAAAGGACTCCAGGTCGTCTGAGAGCCGATGAACTTTCTTAGGGAAAACCAGCAGCAACGCGGACATGAACTGCCAGGTACCCTGCGACATGAGAAATTAGCGTGGTCAAGCTAGACGGTGCCCAGGTTTTGGTGCTCACAGAGCGAGAGGCCTGAGTAACTCCCTTCTCGATATCCTTTTCGTGCTTGCATAGGTCCCAATCGATTAAGATGCCGATAACTTGACCTTGTTCAGGACCAGTTCGTTTAATCATAACGTTGTTAACGCTGATATCACGATGGAGGACGTGTGCTTTGGTCCAAGCATCTTCATGGGCTGGAAAAAATTAACGTCATTCTCGCGACAACACAAGAATATCACGGTTAAGGACTTACCAATCAACGCGCCGCTCAGCACTACTACCATTTCATACGGATGTAAGTATGTCTCCATAGGCTCGTATACCTCATCTATAACCAGCCGATAGTGAATGCGGCCGACGGCGGTCTGCTCGCGCTTGGCATAAGTCTGCGTCAGTGTACGCTGTAAGACGCCGTCACTGCTGACATCTCCGGCGCTGACAGGTCTGGCAATGTGTCGAACACCGTGACTCCAGAGATGAATGTATGTATCGCGCTCTGCTGGTACCTTCGTGGACTCAGCACGCCACGAGGTTTTCATGAAGACCAATCGGTTGTTCTTCATGTCATAGGCGACGTGAGCTTTCGTCGACCGGTCTATCAAAGAGCGACTGGCATGCAGTGGCCTTCCAACGATCAACTCTAACCCGGCTAAGGGGTTATCAGCGGCGTTCCGGGCATCATCAGCGACCTCCAGCGCGGCAGATGCATGATCTGTCTCCTTGGGTCCCAGGTCCGCTGGAGGTATGATATCTTCTTTTGGGACAAAGACTTTGCAGATAGACCATTTGCCGGACATCGCTTCGTCAAAGCACTTCTCTTGGTAACTCGACAGCCTCTTCCCTTCGTCCCTCATGATTGTGGTTTTCCAAGCCATCATTTCTCGTATCTCGCTGTCAGTTGCAGGTATCACCTTCGGATCGTAGCCTCGTTCGGCCTGAGTCATGGCGCCGTAATTGTATAGGAACTCGAACATGATTTCTTTGTTCCTGACGAAGTTGAATGACTCCGAAACGATCGCTCCCCATCGGTCCCATCGAAGGAAGCGAGCATGGCAGCCGGCCACGACAGTCATAAAACAGAAAAGGCGAGGTTGGTTCCGCATAACTTCGGTTGCGTACTCGATGATTTGGCCCCTTGCCTCAGCAGCGCCATCGGCGCCACTCTCGAAGGGTCTCGAGTCTGTAGCTCCTTGCTCATCCTCCTCGTTCAAGGGAATCCAAAAGGGTGACTGTCGGCCTTCTTGCCGGCTTTGAACTCAATTATTAGCGATGCCCATGCCCAGGACGTGTTCGCACGGAAGTCTGGCTGGACTGTCACCGCTGCATCGTCCACCTGTACGAGGGTTTGCTTCTGGTCCTTGCCCTCCATTTCGTGATCCCCTTCGGCGGATTTAGGAAGCCCTCGTTTCTTACGATCGTGTTGGTCAGAGGCTTTCGGTGTGTCTGGATATAGAATGACATCTGGCTTCTTTCCGGTACCGCCATCGGCAATATTTGGGTCTGTTCGACTACCGGTGACTTTGGCGACAAGCTTGTGCTGCCCGGATGGTGATGCAAGCTTGAGTTGGGTGTCATAACAAGTATCCAGAATATTCTGAGCCACGTCGCACTGCAGATAGATCAGAAAAGTCACTATATCACAAGATAGTGCGATACTTGCGAAGTGATCATACATGTCCGTCTCACGTCCCTTGAAGACTTTTTCGTTGAATTCGAGAGCGGCTATTTTTTCGAGGACCTCCTTTGTCAGTGTTTTCCAGGGAATCAATTGTTTGAATTTGGCCAGTGGGACCTCGACATGTCTTCCACCCATATCCTTGTTCAGCCGTCTGCGGTATATTGGAAGGGCTGTCTTCCCTGAATATCATTGAGCTGCAGTGCTCGTGCTGAGAGGCTACCTTAGCGGTACGAGGCGTCGATCCAAAATCTTTGAAGTGTTTTTCGAGATCCGGAGCAGATGTCCTCGGGGGAGTCCGCGAAGAACTTGATTGCTCAGGAGTCTTGCCGCCAGAGGGCTTGGCCGGTTCACGAGAATGAGTGCCCGGCATGATGAGAAGGGGAATCAAGCACGGACTCACATATTCACTGAGGTCTTATATGTGTGGAGTGTTTTGCCACAGTTCACTGATTACTTCAGCTGACCGTCGGAGAACAAGGGTAATACTGTTTGCGGGAAACGATCTCAGCTTCAGAGCCACCCTCGCTGATTGACGCGCTGATTCACCGCGTGCCAGACGGTCTAGATAAGGGAGGGTCTTTTGTTCTGTGGTCTTCTGTTTCCTTTGTCTGCTTCGTCGCCGTGAACCTGCGGGTGATCAATGATCTACGGTAAGACGATTTCGGAATTGAGAGCCAGTCGGCATGAGTCACCTACCGTATAGCTTTGACTACAAACAGAATCGTTCCAAAATGAACATGCAATATTGTGGTTCTTATTCTGCGCAATAGCCAGTTGTGGCGACATTGAATATTGAACTCCGAGTTGAAAAGCCGTGTCACGTGGTCGCTCAGCGCCTCAGAAGTTGTGTTGTACCAGTAGTACCACTGAGATTCCTGTGCTCGGTTGCTGTGACAAGTTTTCCCTCTCCGATTCAGATATTGAACAAAAAGCGGAGGAACTGACGGCAACAGCAGTTCAGCATGACGAAGACGTCGCCATTGAATCTCAGTCGTGAAGACAAGCTTCGCAAGATCATAAATTTCTTTTGGGACGTGATGCGGACGAAGTGGAATAGCTAAAGCCTTGCATGCGCTGCTATTAAACTGTACTATGAGTCCAATTTATCTCTACATATGATGATGGGCGGGGCAGGTTGCACTTGAAACGGCGGATAATGAACCTTTCGGATGGAATGCCCCGTTACTGAGAAAATATATCAGCACACATCGACAGCGTTCATAATTTTTTACACACTTACACACTTCTGGAAATAACCTCACTTGCATACAATATTCATTGTGCAAGACTCGAGGCGCCTTGCGAGTTCTGCGAAAATATCGACATCCGCCTTGTCTATAAGGATGATGGGGATACATATACATGAGAGTTGCCACAACCGAACATCCTGGAGGATCCGCGTGATGGTATCGACATTCATCTGGCAGATCTCGAGTTTGATGCCGCGCTGTGAAGGATGGTATCCAGAGGGAGGCGCGCGGAATGTATCGTTATCTTCTATGTGAGTGATGCCGCTAATATGCAACGTCGACAGATTGGGAAATGTGACTGGGATGTGCACTAAGTCCGGCCCTTCGATGGTGGTGCAACGAGCCTCGAGTACTTTGACCGCAGAAAAGACGGTGCATGGCTCCACGGATATCAACTGTGATGGAAGCCGAAGTGCACATGAACGGCCTCCTGCGGCTATTGTCAGGTGTTCGACACCACGCATCGACCACAGGAGGTACAGGGCCATCTCAAGATCGGTGGTTGTCAAGTGGCGAACATGAGCAGCAACGCGAGGATTTTGCTCGAAGTGGAGTCGTGAACGCTCTTGCACGCGTCTATCCCAGTGAGTGACGGATACGCTGTCAAACAAATGATAGCGGGTCGTCACGAGCCATGCACTGCATACAAGGCTGCAGGCGTTAAGTGCTGCCTTGTCGTCCCATAGATGATCCAGAATCATATCCTGGATCTCAGGAGACAGTTCGACGATAGAGCACAGCTTGCTAGGCATTCCGGATTAAGTTCCAGGCTTCATCGAGCGTCAGTCGCCTTCGATTGGACTAAACAGCGCACTTACTTTAATGCTGAAGGACTTGCGACGAAGGAACTATCGGAACATTTGTCCAGCTATGAGCTACTTATGCATGCATGTCACCTGGCAGGGTCTCGCAGAAGGTAGGGCGCACGTGGAGGGCAAAGTCTAGGCACGGTCTATAGACGGGTCTCGGACCATGTCGGCGTGTCGAGCCAGGTCGTAGCGAGGTTTACAGGCCGGGGCTTTACTCAACTATGTGGCCTCAGGCGACTTCGACCGCCTTCGATCATTTCATGTACCGGTGGGAAGACAAGGCCAGGATCGGTCGACGAGGGGTGCCAGGGCTAGCCTCGTAATTTGGTGGAACGTGATGGATTGAACTTTTGAACGCGTCATACAATGCTAGAAATGAGTCATGCAGCAACAAAGTACAGATACGTATGAAAGCATGCAGCGCTCGGGGCCGGTAGCTTATGCTATCGCGTTTGACCATGAATATCTTCACAAATGAATAACATTCGCTGCGATAGACCGCGATGTTCTGCGCAATGGTTGGTGAGCGGTGAAACATCAAGGAGTGCCCCACTAGGCGAGGGTTGTCATCGAGGGTAAGCCGCAGTACGAAGCCCTGCTATGTGATGCGATTGTTGGGCAGGTGAAGACCGGGCTTGAGGGCATCATACGCAAGGGCAGCCCACGACCGTTTGAGCTTGTGGCATTACGATATCGTTGTTGTCTCCGCTCTCGACAGTTGGTCAAATGCACTGAACGTTGACGTGAACGCCAGTAGTCGGCGCTATGCCCAGAGACGACTCAACCAGCGCTGCGGCCGCATTCTTCCACGACGGCCATCCTGCAGTGTTTTGTATCACAAGCTCCACAGACACAGTGGCCGGCTCTTCGGGCGAAAGACCACCGAGCCGTTTGCCGAGACGAGCCCATGTTGCCTTTGAATGAGCAGTATTGAACTCGCTCGGTCGCTTGGAGTACAGGATCACACGAATATGAACCGTCCTGAGCGGCACATGGCGTACCTTCCTGAGCATGATCAGGATCGGGTCGGACTTGCGGGGCATCGCGGACCAGTCCTCGTCGTAATCACAATGGAGGCGAAGCGAGGACAGCCTGGCGTTGGCAGGAACCTCCCCCTTCAAAAGACTTTCGCCTGGTAGATTCAGTCAGACGTGGCAGGAGCAGCGGAAGACGATTAACGCGTACAGAAGTCACAGTCGTTATCAATGATATCTGGGAACGACAAGAACAAATGGCGAGGACCGCGATCGATCCGCATCAGGTGGAACAGCCAGATCGCCTGTGAATCCGTCGAGATCTCTAGCTCCAGATTTGTCACCCTGCGAACCACCATGCGCCGCGCCAGCCAGAATGTGATGTGGTTGTCCGTTGCGCGCACTCTTAAGTCCTTCAGGACTTGGCTGCCACGCCCAGCCTCGTCTCTACATGAGTCCTGGTACAAGTCGTCCGGACCTGTGACGTACTTCAGCTCCAGCCTTGTCACATTTGGGAACAGCACGAAGATGCGCTCGAAGTCGTCCGGCCATATCTCGCTGTATCCAAGGATCAGCCTCCTCACCGAGGGGAATGACGGTTGCTGGCTTAACAGCGGCAATGTTCCAGACAAGCCGTAGATAGACACGCAGTTCACATTGGGTGTCATGGTGAGATTGTCGACTGCGCGGCCCGACCACAGGACCAGGTGCCGGACAAAGGACGCTGGAACGGGGTTAAAGCATAGAAACCCCACGATTGGGTTTAATGATGTCGGTACTTCTACAGTGTAGAACAGTCGGCGGTAGACGATCGGCGTCCACGCATGGCAAACGAGGCTACAGCATCTGAGAGCTGCGATGTCATGCGAGAGGAAGCCAATGATGTGGACACAGAGTTCATGAGGTAGTCGAGCATAACCAGCTTGCACTCCTGTGCCAGTCGCCGCGAGCGTCAAGCTGAATTGAGGCATCATTTGGAGTGGGGGTTCTGCAAGAGAAAGTGGGCAACAAGCGATCTGTCTGGGATAATCATGAATGCCAGGATCGGCATAAGCCGCGTGGTGATCAAGAGACAGACAATGGCGCCTTGTTGCATGCAGATTCGCCGATCCTGCAATTGTAATGCGATGCCGGTTACAGCGCTATGACCATGCCCGGCTTGTGCAGAGAGAGGACTTGGCGGCACTCCAGATGGACGAGGGATGAGCAACGCCTCGCGAGTTCAGGGAAAACACTTGGGCTATTGTGCGACGATTATGGGTCAGATTGTCGATCACGCAACAACACTGACGTAGCTCTGTGATCCGAATTGGAAGCTTTCGCGACCTGCAAACAAGGACCAAGTACTGACTTGTTCCGTCTGTAGTTGCACGGGTATCCCAGGTCGGGCCTGACATTGATTTATTCGCTGCACATGTCTGCTTGACATGAGACAGCACGAATCATGTTCCAGTATTTGACGTCGACAGAGTATAATCCAGTCGGAGTGGCTGTTTGCTCCTGCTAGATGTGACTGCTGTAGGACCTCAATGCTTTGGTGACGGGGTTTTTTCCGTCTATATTTGATGAGAACGAGGCCTTTACAAACAAATGGTCGTATGAACGGTGAAGGGACATAATGATTCAGATGAAGCCAGAAACGACTCGGCGCTTACACAAACTTCCATATTGGGTAATATCCGGAATCAACAGCGAAAAAGGACTCGGAACCACAATGCAGCTGCCACTCCCAAGTCTATACATGAGCCTGTTGTCCTGATTGTCTTTATGTGTAATTGATGCAAGGGAAACCAAAGAAACGGTAACCAGGTTTGTACTGAGGCTGTTAACGCGCATGCGCGAACCGAGATATGAGACAAGTAATGCGGGTTAGCCACTGTCATGTTTGCAAATGGGCCGCGGCCAGAGCGACATCCAGACCTCACAGTGACAATCCATAGTTCTGCATCGCTCGTTCCCGGACGTCTCATGCGATAGGATTAGCCAAAGGCTGATGGCCTCGACCGTACAGGGGTAAGCTACAGCAATTACGAAATTGATACAATCTAAAACGGTCGCCGTCTGCGCCCAGTCCGGTCTCGAAGGATTACACTATGATATGTTGCGCGTAGAACTCTGCCGCTATAGCTGCTAGGTAAAAGACAACACGTCGAGCCAAAGAAACGATGCCATGACCAAAACATTGTGATACAACATGCAAGAGGTGCCTTATAAATGTAAGATGACGCCGAGGGACCCGGAAGAAAACAAGAATCGGAAAGTGATAACTATGCAGCAGATCATGTAGCACAGTGGAGAGACATTTGCAATAGTGCGACCAATAACCTAGATAGGCGGCCAGAGATGAGTATTGAAAGAAGCGGACGATATGCACGACGGCTGTTTGTAGTGGCGGGCGTTTTGCGGGCAGCCCAGACGATCGGAGAATTCTTCATTACGAACGTGTACCTCGGCGCTCAGCTCTCGTCCATCGCGTCGTCCGCGTGGTCTAGCCCGAGCTCCTGCGCGAGTCGCTCGCCAGCCTCCCGCCGTGCACGCGAATACAGCTCCTCGCGCTTGTTGTCGTCCTCCGTCAGGTTCGCCAGCGTGAATAGCGCTTCCGCCAGCAGCGGCCCCACGTCCTCCCCGCCATCCTGAGCACCCTTCGCCCGCTCAAAGAAACTCACCGCCATCGTGAGCCCCTCGCGCGCCTCCTCCGCCTCGGCGCTGCCCAGCACCCCCGCGTCCCCGCGCTCGAGTGCCAGCTCCAGTTCCTCCACCGGTGCACTCCCCATCACCAGCCAGCTCCGCCCACGCGCCGCCGTCAGCGGTCCGCGCCATGCATCCATGTCCGCCTCCATCTTCATCTGCTTGAAAACTGACTCAGCCCAATTCGCCCAGTACGCGCGCTGCGTGCCGTCCGGTAACCGCTCGGCTACACCCAGCACCTCCGATGCGATCGTGAAGAGCTCGCGCGGTCGCGAGAACGACGCAAATGGATCGGAAGGCGCTTGCCCGTCTCCATGACCTTGCGACGGCGGACTCATGGAGTGCATCGACGTCTGCCGTGAACGCGGTCGTAAGTGAGGTGAAGCTGGAATGTGCGCATACGACGCAGGATTGTGCGACTGTGGATAGTGCGGGTGCGGCATGTGAAATATCCCGCGCGAGAACTGGTCCATGGCGAGCACCATCACATCGTGCGCGGTCGCCGAGTACAGGCCCATCCGCCGCGACACCGGTGGGCGCGCTGCCGCGATCGCCGCAAAAGGGCTGTCCGCGGGCCACGCAGGCTCCGTCATCGGGAAAGGCGACGCGCTTGGCAGATAGCAATACGCCCCGCAGTCATTACCATTGGAGGCGCTACTACTTGCCGCCTGTTCCTTGGCGAGCTGTATGCTGTATGCCACCTTCTCGTCTGCGAGGCATACAAGCGTGCGACCCCACACGATGGCCATGCGCCAGTCTTCCGCGAGGTCGGAGAAGCCGGCCCCGCGCGCATCGTTGCCACATGTTCGGCTGGGAAGGTTTTCGCCGGTCTCGAAAACATCGAGAGCGGCAAGCCAGTAGGCAGACGGAGTGTCTGGCTCGCCAGGCAGTGCGGCGGTCGAGTCTTGCGCTATGATTGTACCCATCAAGAACAGCGCAATGCCAAAGATCGCATGAAAAGCGGTCGGCTGCTCGTGACTTCACGATAGATGAGAATCCATTCCAACCGCTGCAAGAGAAGTCGAAACTCACTGTGTGCGGCGGCGCTGCTCATGGACATGCGATGGAAATTCGAAATCATGACCCCAGTCTCGTGACAGCCGCTCGTCTGTCGGTGTCATGGCTTCTGGGGAGCGGCTGTCGCGGAGGTGTTGAGAGCCAGTGTATATCACGGACGGATCAGGATGTGCCTTCAGGAAGCGGTGGCATTCACGAATGACAGCGCGTAGAAGCGGCAGTGTTTCAGTAATGTCGTCGGCTGTATGAAAAAGTGCGTGAGCATCACAAACAAAATATCGGATGAGTCCCGTAGCAAAAAAGGCGAATTGCATGGTTCTAGATTGTCTACGTTTCGGCTGTGCACGCTTAGTGCTGAGTGGCTTTCTTAAGGTATCACTCACGAGTCGACCGGTAGGAGTTAAGCGGGACGTATTAGTAGATTAATACTTTAAAAATTGTGTGACTCGGCTTTGACGATAAGGAAAGCAACCGCGAATTATGCTAGCCCCGTGTTTGCAGATAACAATCGCGCCTTTCCCAAAACAATAGGTACTGTGCTATCCCCAGCGGATGGAAGAAGCGCAGGTTATGCGCCGAAATGGCGAGGACGAGGAAGTATCATCCGACACCTCGTCTGCGTGCAATGCCCGAAAGCAGTCACCGTCTCGCATGCTCTTGCGAATACCAGCGCTTGGGACTCCCGACAGATTGAATTGTTCTGTTGGACAAAAGCAACATCGAATAGGCATAATTCATGTGGCAAGAAAATGCAGAATACAAAGCCATGGATGCTACTTGCAAAGGAGGCCCACCGCCGCTGAAGACGAAAACAATATGCAGAACAAATGCTCACCATCGTAGCGATCCATCGCGCGGGAGAATAATTCCTTCAGGTTCTCCCAATCCTCATAGTCGGCCGTGACTGCCTGCTTGCCTTTGTAGGGCGCGGACGTCGATTTAGCCATATTAGAGGCGAGATCGGCAGCTAAGATGCGGGGAGAGGAGCGAGGAGGGACATGGTGGGAGGAGAAGTCCGATAGCGGGGTGACCCGGCCAGGCGCACAGCCAGGGAAGGGCGAGGCCCGCCGAGAAGGGACATCTAAGTCGAAGGACGAGTCAAATGCACCAGAGCGGCGGCGTCGTTTTGAGCCATTGGAAGACGTGCTGTAGCGGTCGTCGTCGTCGAAAGAGTCTTCACCGTGGCTGGGAGGGGTCGAACCAGAGACGACAGACCCGGTAGAGTCTGGAGAAGCAGCGTGTGGACGATTTGCCATATCGAGAGGCGACTCCTTCCGGCCCTTCCAGAGCCCTCTGGGCCGCTTGTGAGACGTTGATCGCGATGAGAGCGATGTCGAGGAGGAGGCGACCGCACAAGGGGGGAAAGATGAGATGATGGCGAGCATGGCTGAAGGGGGAGGAGGATGATTCCGCAGGTGGACAGCATGACGGATGGTGTATTTGAGAGGAGGGGAAGACGAGCGGTGAGAGAGAACCAGGCGGAGCCTAGCCTCTTGCTGTCCAATCAGGGCGCTCGGTTGATCGGCCAGGCCTCGATCGGTCCGTGTCCAGATTTAGCGTGTCTCCGCTTCTCGACCCGCCCAGTCAGTCTTGCTGAGCCTCCTCTTCGAGCCAATCACTGGCGAGCCCCTCCTCGACGGCCTAGGTGGCTCGAGCGTGACAGATGAGCTCGTCGGCCGACCCCTGCGAACGATGCCATCTGCGATAGCAAGGGCGGTCGCCTCTTGAGGACGTGTTCTGAGAGTCTACAAAGGGGCGGTTGCCGGCATTGAGCGATGAATATGAAATCAGAAGGGAGGCGGCGCAGAATGGACGACGAGATGGACATATGCGGCAGTGAAACCATTGGATTGCAAGACGCGAAGCGATGGCGGGGAACAACGAGATGAAGGGAGAGGGAGAAGTGCGGGCAAGCCCCTCAGCAACGTGTCCGCTTATATATGCTGCTCAAGATAGAACTGTGTATGGACGAATGACGTGTGAGGAGGTAGAAGCACAAGAGATACACAATCGATCTGGTTCAGATACCAGTGGGATCCTGGTAAGGCAACTAGAATACCACAAATGGAAGGCAGTTAGGTAGGAGGTTGCGTCATATGCTAATGCCGACTCCAATCTTTGCGTAGCCCTCGTCATTTGTGGTAAGCGAACTTTCCAGAGTCTCGCATTTTTCCATGTGCACGACAGGCAACGCGCTCGGAGCCCTCACGTTCTCGGCCTTCAAGAGGGTGTCACAGATGATCACACCCTCCCGCCTAGTGTCACATGCCTATGGGCCAATCGGGCGCCTCCGACGACGTATGATCGAGGCCGACTTCAATTTCCGCAAGCTGTTCCGTCCCGCGCTTCTGTCATGCGTCGCTCACCTCATCTCCGGCCATTAATCATCGTTCACTTTGCCTCGATATGCTCTGCCACCCTACCACCTCGTGTCCCGGACTATGACCAATAACAGCAGCTCCTGCGTTCATTGCTGGCCGATAGTTGCCGGAGAACAACTCAACCTGTGTCGATGACAAGCTATCACCGCTACAGTCGGGCAGTCCTTGTTTTGCCTGACAGTCCTACACAGCGATCTCACCGCATCCTCACAGATCACAGAGGGCATGCCTAGATCGCGCACGTCAGACATATTTCAAGGGCGCCTCTGATGCGGCGATGCAATGTCTGGACCACCATTTCGCGCAGTAAAATCTTCCATCTGTGCTGCGATCATCGGACGATGGTCTACACAAGGCCGCATCGCCTTCTTGACCACCGTGTATACAAATTGTGGATGCTCGTTGACCTCGGGATCATGTGCCTGTTCTAATCCGGGATGCCTTCTCGTTATGCGATTACTATATGGGGACCGACGGTACCCGTCATCTCTGTTTTACGCTGTTGAGATCTATTGCCGTTATCTCACTCTTTCACATCGGGGGCCCACGAGTCATACATACTGCGTCGAGATCCCAACCGACGAACGCAGTGAGCGGGATGCACCGGGCTTGTCTGCATTTACCCACGCCGGTCTCTTTGCAGTCGCAGAGTGTGGCGGCGGCGCAGTCGGACGGCCTGGTTGGATCTCACATATTTGATGACGCGTTTGGCAGGTCCTCATGCAACCCGCGTTCCCCGGATAAAGGCCCATAATTAGGACTCTGCATCGCCGCGTAACTGGCTGACCCCCTTGACGGTTTTGACTGCTCATGTCTACCGCCGCGGTCTTTCCGCCTGTTTCCCTTTCCTTCATATCGGTGTATGCGCATATAGCCACTGAACCATTGCTGGGACATTAGTCGCGACCAGCGACCGTCGCCGGCGGTGGAATGATGTGAAGGAAGAGGGTCATAATGTGGCTGTATTGTGGACACCCGTGCTGCCCCGAGCTGCCGCGGGAAGAGACTTCACGTCGGCTTCGGAGACGGCACCATATGTATGTCTTTGCGGGGTTCCTCGAAATGCGCAATAATCTTCGTGCACTACGCCTGAGCCTCTATCCCACTTCGTTCTTTTACGCTTGGATGGCTTTCAAAGAGTACTGCTTATACCTAAAGATGTTTCATTCCGACGCAGTCCGGTGTATGAACATTATGTATGAACGTTGAGACCTCGTGTTGTTTCAAGGCTTGGAGTACGGTGATACACACGTATTAAACCTCAAAATCGGTAACTTGGGTTCTTACGAACCAACTTGCGCGTGCTGAATCTCCTCTTAGATGCATTAGCTGTGATTGGCTGCTTCATGTGGCGACCACGTGGGGTGGAATGATGACCGGTGGCCACTTCGGGTGCGTCTTTGTGGCTCGAGCGCGTCCTGCATGTACACATCTTTAGGAACAGACGATCAACATTACGAAGAGTCTCGCACCCCTACAGAGTTCTGAGTTACTATCTGCAGCGATCCGTAGCATAGTGGGGAACGCTAAACACGGTGATGGATGACCTGTCGGTGCAAATTCCAGTCTGGGATTTGATACGGCGTTTTGTTCCCGGGAAGAAACCGACGGCCGAAGTGAAAGCCAAACTCGCCGAACTCAAGCTCAGCGTGAACGACTTCACAGCAGGAGAGCAGAAAATGTACAGTGAACTCGTAAGTGGAGCAATGGCTTCGTTGACGTTCTCCATCGCTGACGTCTGTTCTAGTGTGCATTCGTACAATCCGTCACAGACATATGCGTGGAGGGCGATGCGCCTGAGTGGAAGCTTGTGGCAAGGGACACTGTGACGGGCGCCGATCCAGGCAAACGCAATCGCAGGATCGACGGCAAGAAGAAACCAGATATCTCGATTTTTAGAGAAAGAGATGAGGCTCGTGTGACGTACCAGCCCGCGACAAAGGCGAATGAGGGCGCGGAAAATATGGAACAGGCGCAGATGTCACTCAAGGCGGCTGAATCCTGGCATCGGGCCTCCTTGGTCATTGAGTGCAAGAGCTCGAATTCAGATGGACACCCGTTCTCATTCCGCCCAGCGAGCACTTGCAAGTCGAGCAAGACGCCAGGGACTTCTGACAAGGAATGCAATGGCGCGGAACCCAATCCGCAAGCAGAGAAGGACGTCTTCCTTCCCCAGACAGACGAGGCCATCGAATCGAGGGGCCAGCTCAGCGACTATGCGATGCATATGATGCGGAGCCAGCCTCGGCAATTTTGCTTCATCGTCGTCGTCGCGGGCTGCTACGCACGTATACTCCGATGGGATAGAGCTGGGGCCATCGTTTCCGAAGCATTCGAATTCGTCGAGGACCCGTCGATTATGGTCACGTTCTTGTATAACTACATGACGATGACGCAAGAAGAGCGTGGATTCGACACGAGCGTTGTTGCAGCGCCGCGCCACGAAATCGACGAGATGATAGCGTGGAAAGTTGGCATGGTGGAGGACGGCAGGCTTTCGGACTATCACACGGAGCGCTTCAAGGAGGCGATGGAAACGAAATGGCCAATCTACAAAGTGACGATCCCCCGCGAAGACCTCATCTCGGCCGCAGAACTTGGGCGTAAAGTCAACAAGGCTGGTGCGCCCAAGGATTCATCGCAATCAGGTTCGAACATTCCTGCAGAGGATCTGACGTTGCTAATCGGAAGACCTCTGAGCATGAGCAATTCGCCGACGGGTCGTTCGACGATCGGATATGTGGCATTCGATATGCGTGGAAAGCGACTGGTGTTCATGAGGGATTCGTGGCCGCTTGATTCGCCACTGCGGACAACAGAGCGCACTGTCTACAAGGATCTGTGGCAGAAAAGGGTGACGAACATTGCCAGACCCATCAGCGGTGGGATAGTCAAGAACGGCGACAAGATCCACAGGACAATAACGCAGAAATATAGGAACACCGTGCACGGAAAGGACACGAGAGCGCGCATCCATTTCCGTCTGATCACTGACGAGGTTTACGAACCACTGGATAACTGCAAGTGTTCGTATGAGCTCATTCTCGTTTTGAGCGACGCGATAAAAGGCAAGTGTGTTTCTGAGAACTGTATCCGGAGTTGACTGGCTAATGCTTGTTGGATCCTCAGCGCACCATAAAGCATGGACTAAGGCCCGCATCCTACACTGTGACATCAGTAGGGCCAATATCATGGTCAAGCGTACTGGGCCCAAAGTCGGACAAGTTGTAGGCATCCTCATTGACTGGGACTTGTGCAAGTACCGAGCCCAACTGAAGATAGGATCGAACCATCCTGCTCATTCGGTGAGATCCATGTCTGCTTATTCGCGCCTCATCACTTAGGAACTGACTAATTTCATGCCACAGGGAACGTGGCAGTTCAGCTCAGCCATGCTCCTGCGATACCCTATGAAATTGCGCCAGGTATCGGACGACCTCGAGTCCTTTGTCCACGTCCTCCACTGGACGATTCTCATGTGGTACAAGCACAGTCGGTCCGAGTCTCCTGCTGCGCTCCAGGAAGTTGTGCTCGAGACCTACGACAAATTCTCGGATACTCTAGGTTATGACACAGGCGGAGACAACAAATTCAGTAACATGCTTTTGGGGGCATTGCCGTTCGCCAAGCTGTCGTCCGAGCCTCTGAAAAGATTGACCAAGAAACTGGCAGGAATATGCAAGGAGCATTACAACGCATCGTCTACGAAGGAGCAGAGAGCAAAGCTTGAAGACATCAAGGACAATATAGGCAAGGAACCCCCATCGCAGGACCCAGTGGCCCCAGTCGAGATTGATATTTTCGTTCGCGGCGACGATCCCGCGGAACATTCGGGATCCCAAGGAGGCGTGGAGAGCTCTGGCGAGGAAGGCGACGAGAGCTCTGGCGAGGAAGGCGATGAGAGCTCTGGTGAGGAAGGCGACGAGAGCTCTGGCGGGGAAGATGCACGGGCGCTGCTCGACACTAGTGCTAAGCCCAAACTACGGGGGCATTCCTGGATCTTGAAAGCATTCCGGTCAGTTATCGAAAACATGGAGAAGAACCGCTACACGCAAATCACCATCGATAAGGTGGATAAACCTCAGTTCACGCCAGCCACAGAATCAGCCACGCAACAAAGCACGAGGAGTCGGAAGCGACCATCGCAATCGTCGAACGAATCAAATCGTTCATCCAAACGACAAAGAACGACGAAGGGAGTACGCACTACGAGCTCCTCGACGGACCCCACCCTTCAAACGGACTCAAATGAATCCCTTGATGGTTGCGCTTGAATCACGAGGGTCTGTGCCTTACGAATGAAAGCGGTTTAATTAGTGAGAATTTCGGTGATAGAGCTGGAAACGGTGGTTGGGGCAGTCATGCTTTTTGTTCTGTCAGTAGTATCATGACTGAGTACATAGTTATACATACTGGTCTCATCATTCGCCGTATGTGTAGTTTACTTATATCCTCACTTAGAACATACTGCTACTGGCACATGATGATCGTCGTCGCATATGCAACATCCGATGTCCCATTCGTTGTCTCCGACGATCTCCTCCATGCTTGATTGTGCGTATATCGTGCGACCATAATGTTTTCGTCCCATTCCCTCTACTCTAGCCATGTATCGTTGGCAAGATCTTTGGCCGTGGCACGCTCAGGAACAAGCCGTAGGCATCTGAGGATAAATCGCTCCGCCTCGACAATCTCAACCTCATCTTGTTCGAGAGAGAAGGTCTCTAGCAGCCTGCGAATGGTCCACGTCGGCTCCTTGTGCGCATCAAAATGAGCGAAACTGCCTGCGCGTGCGTAAGGGGGCAGTCAGTAGAAACACGACGTATATATGCGTCCAAATCACGCACCATCCGCGGTGAAGAATTGGTCCCTGTGTATGCATTTGCTGAGAAACTCGACATCGAAGCGAGTGTCCAACGCTTCCGTCATGCGCACGAGATGGTCTTCCTCGACACCCGATCAACAGCTCCATCACCTGTCGCACACATGTCGTCAGTCGTGCGCACAGGAAAATAATGTAAAATACAAACAATGCACCCTAGATTCCATATATCTGCAGGCGAATCCCATCTGTAGCCAAGGATCACCTCCGATGCACGCAGAGCCGCTGGCTGGATGACCTCCTGGAAGTGACGGTCTCTCTCGTGTGCTGAGTGGATCCACATAAGCAATGCGATGTAGTCGAGGAAAGGGAATTACAGTGTCCCACGTGGGAGACCACAGCCTCCAAGCGGTCTTCCCGGATGGACGGCTCCGTGGATAGCGGCAGCATTTGCCACACAATGGGCACGACAGCCGGGTTGATCTCTGTGCCGCAGGATAGCACATTGAAGGGTTCGTCGACAGCTCGTGTGCTACAACTTTTGCGACAGCGACAGGCCGGAAGAGGATATTATCATATTTGATGTCTGAAATGTCGTCAGTGTCAGTCGTTATCATTCATGTGTTACAGAGGCACAGTGTTTCGACCTGCATGCACAATTTCACAAACAATTTGGAATTACTCTGATCCCGGGAGTCGGACAATTTGCTTCACGACGCGCTTGACAGTATTCGTCTGCACACGGCGGTCTCCGCTGGGGTTCAGTCTGCGAACATACTCCAGGCTGTACCCGAGCACCTCCGTAATCACACAGCAATGCTTGCCATAAGGTCCCAGAAATTCAAACGAGCCGTAGTACTTGATGTTATGTCGGAATCCAGGATGCCCTTGGTCACCGTCGGCTATCTTCTGTAGCAGACCGAGCTCGTCAGACAATGGTAATGTGCCTGAAAGTGCCTTGGTCGCTTCGCAGGTCAAGATCTTCAAAGAAACAAAGCGATCCTCCCTGGGGATGTTTATGTGTATAAGAATCATGACATTCAAATGTGTTCACCTACCCTTTGTCTCGCGCCAGCCAGACACTCGAGTATTGTCCGTATCCGAGTTTTCTGACGATGCAGTATCGGCCTTTGTCGAGGGTTTGCTCCAGTCTCACGGAAAAATATCCAGCGTTATTGCGCCCTCCTTGGCGCAAGTCCTCTTCCGGAAAGCCGCTTACAGAGCCTGCAGATGAAGATTCGCCACTGCCAGTGGAAGCATGTGACGCCTCAGTCACTCCAGGTCCGCGCCTCAAGCTTGCCACGTCAGAGAAGGGTTGTGATGATGCTGTGTTTGGTCACGAAATTTTGAGTGATATAGACACCTTGAAGGGCCTTGAGGCGAGAGGAAGGTGGCTCATATGACATGGGCGGAGAGGAAGGAGGATCATAGGAGACCATCCAATCAGAAGGCACAAGCACTGATCATCGGCCAAGCGCCAAGGCGGACGCGTCACTGCGCCCTCGACCGTCCATCGGCAAAGATGCTGGGGCTGTCCGCTCTGCCTCGTTGTCCGTAAGGCGCTACGAGTTTGTGGTGATTTCGCTATTGTCTGCTGCCTGTATGTACCAATCGGGAGACATTCTGCATCGAAACGAGAATCACAGGTGTCGATGGCCAGATGCAGCAACAGGCGCAATGTCGCTGGGTCAATGGGAGGTTATATGGACCGACTGATTGATCTTCATATTGGGATGGAGTGTAGAGTAGTACCATAACACTTATCGTTAACCTTGTACAATGAATCGCCCGCCTAGTTCAGTGATAATCCAACGAGCCGTGCGTATCTCTGTGCAGCGCGCGTGATTATACGTCATCGGAACCTAGACTCTCGATTTCGAAGCATTGGATGAAAGAAGGCCGCCGTAAAGAAGGCCGCCGCGAATGAGCCACAACAGACGGTCACGTGCTGCGACGCGGCCTTTGTGGCGTCTCCTTTCCTTGCGTCTAATGCACATCCTCTGCTCGTGAGGCTTTTCATATTGAAAACCTGGATCAAAAGCAACGGTGCGTGCAAACTTTAGTACAATCGTTGTGGCTCTGATTCACCTTTGATGAAACCCTCATGTCAGGCAGACAGCGATCTTCACACATAGAAGTGAGCCAACGCGTCATCCACGCATTGCAGCAGCATTTCGTTGAACAAAGGTGTGTCCTCACAACGATGAACCACCGGCGAAATTCACCACATCAATGGACACGCAGAGCAATCGTGTTCGTGTGGCTCAAACCTAGTCCTGACCGTCGAGTATAAGATACCCGCCGTGCTGACCCTTCGTAAGTCAACACTTCCCAACTGCTCTCAAGACATGGACTCCACAGCTCACTCTGAAAATTCTAGCAACCATCAAGACATCCATCCGTCTCCTCCGCCCGACGAGACAGAGCTAGCCAAAAACAAGACATCGCCTCTCAAGAAGACTGTCGCCACCCGCCAGAGGTACCTCACCACGGGGAAGATTGGCGAAGAGGACCGTCCTGAATTCCGCTACAATCTGTCGGACGACATGATGCCTTACTTTGCCGAAGTTGAGGCCGATGGCTTCCTCGAGACTCACTTGCCTGGTGAAGACTTCAAACACAATGCTAGGAGGGAGCCCTTGAGATTCAATACAGAGTTGCTCAAAAATAATGAGCGCGAAATGGCAGAAGAGTTTGTACGTCCTGCTTTTGCTCTCTGTGATATGCATATTGTGCGTGATTCGCTGACACTACCTTTGCAGGTCCACGTCGCAAGCCCTGCACTCAAGAGGGGTGGTTCCAAACCACTCGTAGCCAAGATCACTGCAGACTTGCCGGATTCTACAGAGTCAACTGGGTTTGGTCAAGGTGGCAAGAAGAGACCTGACGTCGTCCTCTATCCCAACAACAAAGAGGCAGTCAAGGACTACACCCTGTCGAAGGACGACATCGAGGGACTCAAGCAGGGGAGGGACAAAAGAAAGACATTCAAGAATTCGAAGGACCAAATGGAGGGATCGGAATACGATTTCAGTCGTCTTGCTCGGACCTGTTGGTCGTGGGTCTGCGTACCCGTGGAGCTCAAGGCAGATCATCAACAGTCGGCGTTCGGATTCGGCAATGATCCCAATTTCCTTCCTGGTGGTCGAAAGAGGCGAGGTGCAAGGGGCCAACTTGCCGATTATGCTGCCAGAATTCTTCAGCGCCAACACCTCCTATTCTTCTTCATGATCGCAATCACTCGCAACGAGGCGCGACTCATGCGCTGGGACCGGGCTGGTGCTATCGTCACCCAACCCCTCGATCTCAGGGACCCCGATCAAGCGGACAAGCTACTAACGTTTCTGTATCGATTAAGCAGGGCGAAGCCCGAACAACGCGGCTGCGACCGAACCGTTCAGCGTGCGACCAAGAAGGAGATCGACTTGATGCGAGAGGCAAAGGACTCCATCCCTCAAGGCGACTACCGTCTGAAGCGCCTGAACTTGGCTATGGCCGAGGGTTGGCCCGTCTACAAGGTGCTGTGTCGTGAGGACGACGTTGTATCTGTGGACGCCTGGCGTGCTACTAGCACGAATACTGACTCTGCATCTTCCACTGTACCTCCGCCTTCCTTGTCTCTAGCTAATATCGGCTCACTATCCGAGGACCCTGATCCCTTTGGGCCTGGTACATCCTCGACAGCTCGGACTGCATCGAAAGCTCGCAACCGCCCTGCTGTACATTATCGGTGCTTCTTGATCTGCAAACACGACTTCTCGAGCGACTCTCCTATCGGGCGTGGCACAAGGGGGTACCTTGCGTACGACATGAAGACTGGCAAATTTGTATACTTAAAGGACTCTTGGCGCGTCTCCACAGGAAACTCGGAGATCAAGGTCTATCAGCGTTTGCATGAGCGTGGTGTCGAAAACATTGCAACACCGATTTGTGGTGGCGATGTCGTGGATATCGACGGGACTCTGCACCGAACGTTGGCTCAGAAGCACAACCGCAAGGCAGAATACATCCATTGTCGGCTTGTCGTGGAAGAAATCGGTGAGTCCATCCTGGACTATCCCACCAGCAAAGACTTGGTAGCGGTGATGTATGGCGCTATCACTGGTATGTCGCGATTAAGCTTGTATCCTTCGGAACATACATTGATTTTCTGCGTATAGCACATCAACAGGCTTGCGAGAAAGCTGAAGTAATGCACCGGGACATCAGCGAGGCGAATATGCTCATGATCCCAGATCCCAACTCACCGTATGCTGGCGTTACGAAGAGAGGGATCCTCATTGATTGGGATCTCTGCAAATCTTACGCTCAGCTTAGGCATAGCGCTAAGCAAAACAACCGTTCAGTGAGTGGCATATTTGTCTGGGCTGATAGCCATGTTGATTCGGAATATCTCAGGGAACATGGCAATTCATGTCCGCGTTGCTTCTCTTGAGGCCGGGTTTCAAACAGCACACTATCGCCGACGACTTGGAATCATTCATGCACGTTCTCAACTGGATCTGCTTGCGGTACCACAAGACCACCCATCAAGGTCTACAAGGGCATGTAAGCAGCGTTTTCGACGGACCCAAAAAGGAAAACCCAGAGGATCGCACTGGTGGTGGTGAAAAAATCTTTCTTATACTTACCGGCACTCCGTCCGCAATTCTGTCTGAGGTGTCGGCTTTAAAGGATCTGCTTCGCAATCTAGCCAAATTGTGCCAAGCTCAGTACAACGCCACCGATCTTACACCGTACGCCGGACTATATCCTGTCGACGAATCCGCTCCTGCAAGTTTCTATGCCAACAGGAAAGTACCTGGTTTCGGGGTCCCAGGGAACATGGAGAGTTCTCACAAGCGTGTTGAAGATCCGGCATTCTCGACTCACAAGCAGATCGTTGATGCTTTCGAATGGGCTCTTTGTGGGCTTGCCCAACACTACCCCAAGAAAGAGGACGACAAATTCGCGCAGTTCGCGAAAATCGATCGATCTCAATACTCTGTTCACTCTTCCTTCTCTGGGTCAAAACGATACTCGGAAGAGCTTGGAGATGGAGGAGATGAAGAGCAGCCACTTGCGAAGAAACTTAGGCCCGCGAGGACGAACCGACAGCCATCGCACACACTCGGCGCAATTATCGAGAACGAGGCGACCAGGGACCAACCGGTTGCGGGAGGATCCCAGGCTGCCGGTCATCGAGATGGCTGAAGACAAGCCTGTAGCAACCATCAAGCGAGGTGAGGGGACATTCACAGGATGTCGACTCGGGGCATGAACATCGTTCGGCGGACAGGCTCACGGTTCGGATACGGAATTCTTTCGGACACTCGACTGCTTATTTATGTGGCTGGCAGACTTGCTGCATACTTCTGCGTCTCTATCTCTATTGCGCTGGATGTACGGACTGATCCTCTTATTACTTCGTTGTTGTATTCAGGTTGATTCCTGCATTATTCATGGGTTTTCTATTTACTTGGTGCTCAAATGCTGATGTCTTACGTCAGATGCCTGGACTCTAGCGAGTCGGGCTGACTCTTGAGCTGAACCACTCCGCGTCTCCTACTCAAGCCTTAGCCTGAGCCTATGCCTGATGTTTCACAGATCCGCGGCCTCAATTCTGCTCTGAATTCATCCTATATTGTATTCAATAGTCGAAATGAGGCTGAATTCCCTGATGACTCACTAGGGGATGAGAGACTCGAGCTGCATGTCCGGTACTCGATCCATCCGCCACAGGGTAATCTCTGCTGCTTCTCATGACGAGTGGGTTGATATCGAACACTCGTTCTGAGATGCAGGTTAGCGGTCCCGATGACGATGAAGAACCTGCGCCACAGCCGAAAACCAGCGCACTGCGCCCTGAGCGGTCTACGCACTCGTGTTCCCGCCAGAGGAGATCGGCGAGGCGTCATGAGCAAATGGCGGTTTCGGTGTGTTTGATATGTGAGCTATTGACCGTGATGCTTTCATTGCTTCATTGCTTAGTATATTGTTGTCGAATCATTTCCTCGATGGAAATGGACATCAAACCTACTCTCATGACCTGGCAACCTTGCTCAATGCTGGTTATGTCCTACTTGATATTGCTCCACGGAGTTCAGACCACTGTAAGTAAGGTCCGGAAGCGCCAAGTACTGGACAGATACTTCATCACGTCGCGGCGGGACTTCGACTGACCGACTTTGACCATATGTGTCGTTCACCATTGACTTGTCCTGTAGCGCATGAGAAGCTCCACAGGATTATACCTCATGCTCGTCCAACGCTAGAAGTATTGTGTGTCTAGTCTATATCAATAACAACATGCCAATCACCATACCAAATATCACTCTACCATCAAATGCATTGGACCTTCACCTGCGCACCTGCAGAACGCGAACACAGCATGCGCGACTCGACAAACGACGCCGCCGAGTCCTTCCAATCCCGCCACTCAAACAGATTCTCGACCGTCACCTCGACGGACAGAGGCGGCGACGCGTTGCGGGCGAGGCGGACGAGGTGCTCGTCGATGCGCTGCCACGCCAGGGTGGACGAGCCGCAGCCGAACTCGTGCAAGTGCACTTTCGCGAGCTTGATGTGGATGCGGACCGCGGCGAGCGCGAGATGGCTCACCCGGTTGAGGATGATGAGGATCGGGTCGGCATCGGACGCGCGGTGCGCCCACAGCGTGCTGTAATTGCAGTGGAGATGCAGGGTTTGGGTATCGGCGTCAGATGAGACTAGAATGCCATTTAGCAGCTTGACTGTATTTTTTGTTAGCGGGGAGACGGCCGGGAGGACAAAGATGCGGACGTACGCGTCTCGGGGCTCATGCCACTGATGCTGGGAAAAAACAAAGACAAGTGTTGAGGACCGCGTCCGATGCCTAGCAGGTACGATAGCCACGCGACATCGTCTTTGTGCTCTACGCTGAGCTCGAGGTTCGTCATGTCACGTATCAGCAGCCGCCGTGTCAGCCAGAACGTGATGTGGTTGTCTGTGCCGCAGACACTCAGGCCTTGCAAAACCTTCTTGGCACGATTTGGGCGCCGGGTGCACGAGGTGTTGTATACGTGTGGCAGGCCCGTCAGGCAGGTAAGCTCGAGTCGCGCGAGGTTCGGCAGCATCCGCATGATCCCGTCGAAGTCCCACGGAAACATGTGGCCGTTGCCGTAGCCCAGCGTCAGCATCTTCACCGAGGGCGCAGGCGTAGGCCGGGCCTGCGTGGACATGGCGTAGGTTCCCCATCCGAGGATAGACAGGTGCTCTGCGCGCGTCAGCACAGAGAGGACGTTGAGCGTGTCGGGAGACCAGAGAATGACATGGCGCACGCAGGACACGATAGGGTGGCCGCGCGTGAGGCCAAAGAAAGGGCTGCCCGGCCAGTGGATGCGAACAGTGTGAAAGAGGTGGCGTCGTGAGCGAGGGACCCAGTCTTTGCAGACGCGCCTGCATCGCTTGAGCGCGCGAAGGTCATCCCAGAGCCAGTCGATGATGAGGTCGCATATCTCAGGTGGCAATCTCCTGCGTCGATTTCCCGGATACGCGATAAAAGGGGAGATCATGGTTGTAGACTTGGAGGATCAGAGAACGCGGTTTCAACCGATGTTGCGGTGATTGCAAGCACAAGAAAGCTATACTCAGCGAATACAATGTAACAGATTCATTGTATGATCAGGGCCGAAGCGCCCATTCGAGCGTCTATCGTGCCCTCGATCGGATGGATGACAAGTCCTTATTCAAGTTCTTGATAGAAGCAATCCTGGCAGTGGTTGAACGAGCTTTGAAGAAATTTAAAAAGACTAGGTCGAGAACACTTATCTCGTAGCAGTACATGGAGTATTGTTCTTCAAGTTCGTCACGTTCTGTCAGAAAAACATGGTCAGGAAACAAGAAACGATGCCGTTGCTACAATCATCTGCCCACCTGCAACAATCATGTCACACGATTCAAGGTCGCTCGTTGGGAAATGCTGGCAACATGATGCTGCTATGCTCCCTGTCTTCCTGTTGCCTTCATGATTTGATAGACGCGCTCCAGCGGTCAGGATACAAGAAAGAGGGTAAGGTCGCGGAGAACAACGTGCACAACATTGCCGTGCCGGTTCGTGTATGATACTATCTATCAGGAAGACGAACAGCGCTGGCCAAACGTACACGGTGAAAGTCGACCCCGTTCTGAAAGGAATGAATGCCGGTCCCGAGGTAAGCCAAATATAACCACCTAGTGTTGAGCGGGGCCGTGAACGTGACAACGGTGCGAAGGCAGGAAGCAGGTTCGAGCCGGCCGAAATGCTTTCGGCATCCGTGGGGTTCGCACTGTCCGAGAGATGTCTACCCTCTGTAAAGCTAGAAAGCATGCAGTCTGGGCTGTCATATGAAGGCATAGAGATGATCCATTCCTACCAGCGCTCATTTATATTCACGTTCTCATAGCGCAGTCAACACGAATGCTAGATCCTGACAGGTGAACAAACATGCTCGCTGCCATCTCTGCGGAAATGCTTGGTCGTCAAGACCTTTGCGTGAGCGCTGTGCGAGGAACTCAATTGACTCGGCTGGGATGATCGATGCATCAATTGCTTGTTTCCCTCGCGGGCGAGTAAGACCGCACCGAGCAGTCAAGGTAGTTGCTCAGCGCTCTGGTGTAGCATCTTCTAGGAGCAGAAATATCCAGTGAGAATGTTGAAATCCTTGAAGAGTGCACGCGCCGGGCTGGGGTACTTGAAACAATGCAGAGTTACGTCGACGCTGCCTTGATCGATCGTGGGTGTATGTGCCTGATAGGCGCCCATCAAGAACGGCAGTGAGCGGCCTGTGTGCGGCGGGACGGCGAAGCGCCCTGGGGTGCGCCAAGTTTATATATGACGCTCACTGCCTTCGCCCTGCGGCGTCGTTGTCCTCGTCGTTCCCCCTCTCTCCTCGTCGTTCCCCGCTCCCGCCCCTCACGGTGACCGTGGCTCCTGAGTCGACCTGCCACTCCGCCCCGTGCCGGCCTCGGCTCTTCCTGATTGGCTCCTCGCGTCCGAGTCCATGCCGTCTTCCTATTGGCGGCCGTGGTGGAATGGCCCGCACGTCGTCCGCGTCGTCATCCGCATTCTGAGGCTACCGTTCCTGCTTCCATTTATCTCCTTCCTCGTTATCACCGACGTCCTCGAGGGCAGCTGGTGCGCCAAGTTCGGCTGCAAGGATATCTGGCAGCCCGCATTTCCGCTCTCGTTCCGGCTCTGGCCTATAGCCCTCCTAGCGGCAGCCATCAATGCTGGAATTTGGCTGTGCTGGATGCTCGGGTGGGAGGCGGTCGTGTGGTGCGTGAAAAGACGGAATTCGCGGGGCTGGCGCTCTCCGCGTCAAAACGGAAGCCCGAGATATTCGGACGACGAGGGCGAAGGCCAGTACATTCTGCTCCCGGACGGGGAGCGCCCCTCAATGTCAAGCCCGCCAATGTCTCCGACGCGTCGCTCGCGGATACGACGCGCGTGGAACATGCAGGACATCTGGTGGTGGGCGCAGGTCGTTTTATACGCGTCCATTGCGCTTGTAGGCGTGTGGGAGACCAAGCACTACGAACATCCAAACGATGTTCGCTTCCGACCTGCACTTCAACGTGCCTTGTCGGACCGACATCCAAGTCCTCAAGGATATGGCAAAGGAGGTTCGTGGCGTCCTTTCGTATCCTTCCGCAGATAATACACTTCGGCATTTTCCTGGTCTCGTATACCACGCATACATCCTGCATGGCTCTTTGGACCACGCATATATGATCCTCGAATCGCTGTCCTGACAAAAGCAAGCCATTGGGTCTGTTTTTTTGTCGTGTGACTGCGGAATTACCACTTAACGAGAACGTCAAAGTGGTTTTTTTTAAAAGTACACCATCGCGCTTGGCAGGTCTTGTGCTATATATCAGTTTACGGTATTCGGATGTGATTCGGGCCTAACAGAGCGGTCTGCGACGATTCATTGACTCCTCAACGTTCTTCATTTGGAGAGTCAGGATGTTTTCATGAGATGGCATACCCTGCGAGCATTAGGTTTTCTGATCAAACTGACCGGTCGACGCTTCATGCTAAACTCTCGGTGGAGACACAGCTTTTGTACGTGGAGTCGATGTTTGCACGCAGTACGAAGAGATTTGGACGCATATATGCGCATTTCCCATTGCAACATCTCCCTCTAATCGCACTGTCGCGGGCTTGGCTGCATTTGACTAACCACACGTCCCGCAGAGAAGATCTTCATCGCGGCTTCTTTCTTCAACAACCAAGATGTCCTTCCCTACTGGACGTCGACCCTGCTTGCTGTTATCACGTACCTCGGGCCCGCAAACGTCTTCGTCTCGATCGTCGAATCACACTCGTCCGACAATACACCCGCGCTCCTAACCGCACTCGCAGATACCCTTGCTGCGCGCGGCGTGCCGCACCAGGTGCTTGTGCATGACGATGCCGCGGTGCCAAAGCCGGATGACCTCTCCTTCAACAACCGCATCGAGTTCCTCGCCCGTACGCGCAACCGCGCGCTCGAGCCGCTCGTACGCACCGGCGGCTACGCTCGCGTGCTGTTCTCGAATGACGTGTTCGTCGAGCCGGAGAGCGTCCTCGAGCTGCTCGATACGCATGATGGCGAGTACGACATGGCATGTGCGATGGACTTTGGCCATTTCGGGTGAGTGCGGAGTTGGCGACAGCGGTGATAAGGGTTTGGGCTTATGAGCGTGTTGCAGCGCATATGATGCGTGGGTTCTGCGCGATCGCCTCGGACACCTGACAAGTTCTATGTGAGTCCTTCAGGCTATCCCAGGATGTTGAGAGCTGATTTGCTTGGCAGCTGGCCCTACTTCATTGATGCCCCCTCCATTGATTTGATGCGCAAAGATGCTCCGGTGCCCGTTTTCTCCTGCTGGAACGGCATGGTTGTCTTCGACGCAGACCCGCTCCTCCCCATTCACCTGCGCTCCAACCGCACGCTCTCCCGCGATCCGCCCCCGTCGCCGCTCCCGCCCACGCACCCCGCAGCACACGACGCATCGCTGCGCGGGCCCTCGCCCGCGCTGACGCCGCCAATCGCGTTCCGCTGGGCGCAGCGCGAGCTGGGCGAGTGCTTCTCGAGCGAGTCGTTCCTGCTGCCGTATGACCTCCGGCGGCAGTTCGGCCTGCAGCGCATCTTCGTGAACCCGCGCGTCGTGACGGGGTACGGCTGGCACTGGTACGTGTGGCACAAGTGGGTGATGGGGCACCGTGTGGTGCGCTGGTGGGTGCGCGAGGTGTGGGACGGCGCGTGGATGGAACGCAAGAAGATGGTCGTCGGCGGGGAGGAGGGCGTGTGGGTGTGGGACGGGGGCGACTGCCACCCGTGGTGGTAGCGCGGGTCTGCGCGGCGTGCTGTGTGGCGCGCGAAGCGGCGGACGGGCGGGCAGTATTTATGCGTGTATGTTCGATATTTCACTGATGGTCTAATGGGGTGTTAGGCATCTCCGGCTCGTTGTTCTTGCTTGGACTATCGTATACCACTAGTGTTGATGCGAAAGCAGCTATTGTATTAGATTCCTGTCATGATCAACTTGGGCGGACTGCATTTGACGCGTATTTGACGTGCGGTAGGGTCGCAATATTGGTAGACAGAATATAGAAGTAGAATTCTCCTCCGGTGCGTGGGATGGCGGCATAGAATACGTTGAAGGAGCGCCATGTGGCGCGCTAGGTCTCCTTTTGCAAGCGATCTTGTTTTCTGACCACCCTGGTGGTGAGGCCACTGGATAACAGTCACTCGCACACAAGACGAGCGTCGCCGTACTTACGGGTGCCCGTGATTCAATAACCTTCTCGTGTGTATCATCATAGACAAATAATAGCATTCGAAACCAAACGAGCACGTCGACTATACATACGGGAAACGAGGAGATTCATACATACCACCATCTACTCGGCAATGTCAGTGATGATACAAGGGAACGGAGTCAAAAGTGCTTCCAAACAAACCAACATCCACATCATGTCCAATCGCAAAGCCCAGCACCGGCGTGCATCAAGTTTCGCCGCCGGAGTGCTAATCCTCCTCAAATATGGTGCCCATAGAGGAGCTCATAGTGCGTGTCCCGTGCGTCGTTTTGGCTTTCTTGCTTGAGCAAGTTGATTCGCCCGACGATTGCGATGGTCGCTTCTGACTCCTCGTGCTGTGTTGCGTGGCTGATTCTGTGGCTGGCGTGAACTGTGGTTTATCCACCTTATCGATGGTGATTTGCGTGTAGCGGTTCTTCTCCATGTTTTCGATAACTGACCGGAATGCTTTCAAGATCCAGGAATGCCCCCGTAGTTTGGGCTTAGCACTAGTGTCGAGCAGCGCCCGTGCATCTTCCCCGCCAGAGCTCTTGTCGCCTTCCTCGCCAGAGCTCTCGTCGCCTTCCCCGCCAGAGCTCTCAGCGCCTTCTTGGGATCCCGAATGTTCCGCGGGATCGTCGCCGCGAACGAAAATATCAATCTCGACTGGGGCCACTGGGGACTGCGATTCGAATTTCTTGCGCTTTTGTTTCTTGATTTCCTCAAGCTTTGCGATCTGCTCCTTCGTAGACGATGCGTTGTAATGCTCTTTGCATATTTCTGCCAGATTCTCGGTCAACGCCTTCAGAGGCTCGGACGACAGATCTGCGAACGGCAATTCCCCCCAACGCATGTAGTTGAATTTATCAAATCCGCCCGTGTCATAGTCCACAAAGGTCTCGAATTGGTCGTAGGTCTTGGTCACAAGGGTTAGGTGTCACGAGTTGACACGGCGTCTAGCCGTTTTTTAATTTTTTCCTTTTCGCGGGCTCGAACCCGCGACCTCTGTACTACATGCCCGATATGGACGCGTCGCTATCTACTGTACGATTAGATTAGATGGGGCGGCAGCGCACGGCACAGCTCGGGCTCCGCTGACACAGCCGCTCTGACTCACTGGCCCCCGGGGCCGCGTCGGCATGCTGTGCACGGACCAGCTGCGCACGGACCAATGCGCACAGCCTGCCCTTAATCTCCCCTGTATATAAGCCGGCCTCTGCTGCCCTAGGGACCTCAGTTTCGACCTCTTGTCCCTAGGTCAGTAAGCCTCCAGTTGTATCCTTTCTTACATTACTAACCAATACATTTCTTGTCCCTAGCCTTAGGTTTGAGCCTCGCTCGCCATCGCTTCGGTGAGAATCAGTCGGACGCTCCCAGCCTTCAGGTGTCCCCCAGTCGCTTGACCTCAAGTCGCGACATTAGGTCGAAACTCCCCAAGCTGCCAGCGTCCTCTCGGGACTCCCCACACTCACTTTCCTTTCCCACAGGTCGGGTGGTGCGCACCCCTACGATACCCTACGGTACATACGATACGTAGGTAGCCTTACATACATCGCCACCCCTAGAGGAACGAACTCTTCAACACCTGCACTTCAGTGGGCGGTGTTTGTCCTCACGGACGCGTGGACTAGGTTCCTGCTGCATAATAGTCAAAAGCAGTACTGGGCCCCACGTGAACTGCGAACCTCAGGGTCTTCTCGGGCGCCGTAGCGTAGGCTAGTGTAGTACGGCCATTTTTAGTACGCGCACCTCCCCGTCCTCCCCCCATCCAACGTGGCTGCCTGCCAAGGCCAGATCCACGCATTCGACTCCCAGGACCTCATCGACGTCTACATCCCAGACGGCCCTGAGACTGTCCTCTACCGTTGCGAGCAGCAACCGTGCCCAAATCGGACACCCCGATCGATCGAGGAGGATTACCCTCGTTACAAGGCGATACGACGAGCGCAACACCCGCTCGGACCCCGAAGCACCCTCGCATCTCGATCGGCCTCGCGGCACTCTCGCCCTGTCTCCCCTACCTCCCGCCTTCCCCAAACTGTCGCCGAGTCCAGTCAAGCTCGAGGAGATCTCCCTTCAGACCCTGCGCCAGAGCCTGAGCCTGAGGAGGGTGACAGTGAAGAAGGAGTCTCGGAGTCCGAGTCCGCGGATCCTGCTCGGCCCGCCTCGCCGACAGCGCTCGCCCCCGCGTCAGCAGTCCCTGACGTACGTAACCCCTCCGCCGAACTTCCTCCGGCGCCTTCACCGCCGACTCCGCCGAGAGGCCGCTCGAGCACTCGCTCCTCCCGAAGTTCGGCCAGCGGAAGGCCACCACAGCCGCCTCCGCCCCCGCAGCGTCCTCCGTCCCCCCCGACGCCGATAATGTCGTCCCCCGCAGCCGCCCTCGACAAGGAGACATTAAAACTCCTACTCCCACTCCGATACGATGGCAAAACCGTCATCGATTGCGACAGGTTCTTGTCGCAGCTGCGCATCTACTGGATGGTCAACACGTCGTTGACCACCATCGAGCTCAAAGTCCAGGTTGCGCTAAGCCTGCTCGACGGTGATGCCCGCGCCTGGGCCACCCCCTACTTCGCCCAGCTCGTATCAGTGCAGATAGGGGTGCAAGGGGCTACGACCCCATTCGCAAACGAAGCGGCCTTTGCCGCCGCCTTCAAGGCCCGCTTCGGAAATCTCGACGACGAAGCGGCAGCACAAGTAGAGCTGGCGAAGCTCTGCGCGGACAAGTCGGTCCGTGAAAAACGCACCGCTGCGGAATTCTCCGCGCTGTTCAAGGGTCCGGCGGACCGCTCTGGGTATGGGGACCTGGAGCTACGCGACAAGTACCTGAGCGGCATCCCCTCCCACGTATACCGAAAGATCGAGCTCGAGACTTTCACCACGTGGCAAGACGCTGACAAGCGCGCCACTGAGGTCGAGCAGATCCTCGACATCAGCCGGGCTCGTCGGCCCGAGCTAAATAACTTCTTCTCGGCCCGAGGTCGAGGACGCGGTGGGGCACGTGGTGGTGCACCCTCGTCGCACGCAGCTTCGGCCAGCATCAATGCGGCCGTCGGAAAAGGCAACTTCCCCGGCACATGCTTTGGCTGTGGGAAGCAAGGGTACCGACACTTCGAGTGCCCCAATTGTAAGGACAAGCCTTACACAAAACGCGCCGACGCGCGGGCTACGGTTGCCTCGGGATCCACCCAGGCCGCGACAAGCGCCCCCGTCACGACATCACCCTCGGCAAGTATAAGTGCCGCTTCAGCGAAATCCGAACAATCGGAGCTGGCGGACTTAATGGCACAGGTGAAGTCGATGCGCGAGGAGCTCGAGCATTATCGGGCGATGAAGGAGGAGGGTTTTTAATCCGGTCCGCGCTTCGTGCCGCACGCGTCGGGCCGCGAGTATCTTCGTGTAACAAGTATAACGTATTGTCTACTGCGATGGTGTATGAATTGGACCAGGGGTCCCAACACTTTCACATCCCAGTTCGACTTCAAGGAAAAAGACGGCACAAGGACGTAATCGCTATGGTGGACAGTGGAGCCACCACGAAGTTTATCAACAAGCGATTCATTGTAGAAAATAAGGTGCAGACACGGAAGTTGAAGGAACCAATTCCGCTGTACAATATTGACGGCACCCTGAATAAGGACGGAAGCATCTCGGAGGTAGCAGTGCTACAGATGCATATAGGAGAACACGTCGAGAAGACAGTGTTCACAGTCACGGACATCGGTCCAGAAGATGTGATCGTTGGGTTGGATTGGCTACGTGAGCACAACCCTGAGATCGATTGGGAGAAGGGCTCCCTCAAATTGTCGCGATGCCCTGAAACATGCAGTGCCAGAAGGACTGGCCGAATGGAGCAAGCAGCGACTGCGCGTGATACGGGGGTCAGGCCCACGGCGCGCAGACGCTCGCAGAAGTCCAGACGGTCGGTCATAGGTGCTTGCCGGAGTAAGGTACTCCCGGACTTTGAACCCGAAGAAGATCCGGTGGAGGTAGAGTGGGACGAAGCCGATTTGATCGAAGCCTGGGAGCAAGGTGTCACGCTTCCCGGCGCTCCTCAGCTGTTCGTCGCAGCAGGGCACACGTATTCCCAGCTGTTCGCTGAAGAGGAGATCAGAAAGAAGGTCGTTAAGACCGCCGAGGAGTCGGTACCTAAACAGTACCACGAGTTCCTGAATGTTTTCTCCAAGGAAGCATCAGAGCGGCTACCCGAAAGGAAGCCTTACGATCATGCGATCGAACTCGTGCCCGGCTACTCGACGTTCCACTCGAAAGTGTACCCCCTGTCGACCAATGAACAGGAGGAACTTGACAAGTTCCTGAAGGAGCAGTTAGCGAAAGGTTACATACGGGAATCGAAGTCGCCCATTTCGTCGCCTTTCTTCTTCATCAAAAAGAAGGAAAGGACGCTTCGACCCGTGCAGGACTACCGCCGATTGAATGCGATCACGGTCAAGAATCGTTACCCCTTGCCGTTGATCGCCGAGATGGTGGATAAGCTCCGAGGCGCTACGCTCTTCACAAAGTTCGACGTCCGATGGGGATACAATAACGTCCGGATCAAGGCTGGTGACGAATGGAAGGCGGCCTTTGTGACTAACCGAGGGTTGTACGAGCCCTTGGTGATGTTCTTCGGTCTCACCAATTCCCCCGCGACCTTCCAGGCAATGATGAACGAGATATTCCACGATCTCATCGTTGGTGGCAAGATCCTCATATACCTGGATGACATACTCATCTTCTCCACCAACAAGGAGGAGCACGAGAAGGTCACACGCGAGGTTCTTCGTCGCCTTCAGGACAATGATCTGTTCCTAAAGCCTGAGAAGTGCGAGTGGGACGTTCCCAAGGTCGACTACGTCGGCTATGTGTTCGGTGGCGATGAGGTGGCGATGGATCCCGCGAAGCTTAAAGGAATTAATGAGTGGCCGGTACCCCGGAACAAAAAAGACGTTCAGAAGTTCCGGGGGTTCTCCAACTTCTACCGCCGCTTTATTAAGGACTTCGCTAAGATCTCGCGACCACTCGACCGACTTACAGGGAACGACCCATGGCATTGGGGCGAGGAAGAGCAGCACGCTTTCGATGAGCTCAAGCGGCTCTTCGCGACGACTCCAGTCTTGGCGCTGTACGACCCTAATCGGGAGACGCGCATTGAGGTTGATGCCTCTGGTTACGCCACTGGCGGCGTGTTGATGCAGAAGCAGGACGACGGCAAATGGCATCCCATCGCCTTCAGATCCCATGCGATGGATCCGGCACAGCGGAACTATGAGATCTACGATAAGGAGATGCTCGCGATCATTGAGGCACTGGACGATTGGCGCCACTATCTCGAGGGGTTACCCAATCAGTTCGAGATCGTGACCGATCATAAGAACCTCGAGTATTGGCGTACATCCCAGCATCTCACGCGCCGACAAGCGCGATGGTCGCTGTTCCTAGCCCGCTTCGACTTCCGCATCACGCACAAGGCCGGGACGTCCAATGGAAAGGCTGATGCCCTGTCGCGTCGATCAGACCACCAGATCGGCGATGAGGACGATAACACCGATCAGGTGGTTCTCAAGCCAGAGCGCTTCCGCATCGCCTCCGCTAGGCGCGGTCACGCCTCGGTGACGGCCGATCAGTCGCTTCTGAAGCGCATCAGGGAATGTTCGGAGAAGGATCGGGAGGTGGCCGAGGCCCTTGAAAAGGTACAGAACCTCGGGCCGCCCCGGCTGCAAAGGGGTTTTGAGGAGTGGAATGCCGAACAAGGGCTCCTGCTGTTCCGCGGGTGCGTGTACGTCCCAAAGAATGCGGAGCTCCGGTGGGATATAGTCAAGATCCACCACGACTCGCCGATTGCCGGTCATGGTGGTCGTGCCAAAACCCTGGAGCTCGTGTCGCGGAATTACTGGTGGCCTGGGATGTCCAAATTTGTCAATGAGTACGTAAGCACCTGCGACGTGTGCAACCGTACCAAGACATTCCCAGCCAAGCCCCAGGGCCCGCTGAAGCCGAACGAGATCCCCGAGCGCCCATGGCAGATCATCACGACTGATATGATCGTCGGCTTGCCAAAGTCTGATGGATTTGACTCGATCCTGGTTACCGCCGACTGCTTTACCAAGCAGGTCCACTTCTCGGCCTGTCATGAGACCCTGACGGCAGAAGGTGCGGCAGACCTATACATCCGCGATGTGTTCAAGCATCATGGGGCCCCGGCCAAGGTCATATCAGACCGAGGACCCCAGTTCGCTTCGAAATATCTCCATGCGGTGTATAAGGGACTGGGAATCGAGCCGGCGCTGTCCACAGCGTTCCACCCTCAGACGGACGGCCAGACCAAGCGCTGGAATCAGGAGATCGAACAGTACCTGCGTGCTTTCACAAGCCACAGGCAGGATGATTGGGCGAAGCAGTTGCCGCTCGCGGAATTCGCACTGAACAACCGAGTTCACTCCGCGACCGGGCACTCCCCTTTCTACCTGCATCAAGGGTACAATCCTGAGATCCAAGTGCGGATCAATCCGATGTCTGCAATGCCTGCAGCCGCTGATCGGCTCAAGATCTTGAAGGAGATTCGCGACGATACGCGCTCTGCGCTCGAGCTGTCGGCCAAGCGCATGAAGGTGTACTATGACAAGCACGTACAGGAGGCACCGGTCTTCGCGCCGGGGGACAAGGTCTGGCTTGACGCTCGGAACCTTAAGCTGAAACAGCCGAGCAAGAAGCTCAGTCCCAAGCGCCTCGGACCTTATGCCGTGCGGCGAAAGCTCGGAGATTTGGATTATGAATTAATCCTGCCAAAGTCGGTGCCGGTGCACCCGGTATTCCATGTCTCCTTGCTTAGCAAGTACACGCGTAGCGATATCCCGGGCCGAGAGCCGGAGGAGCCGCCTGCGATCGAGGTTGAGGGCGACGAGGAGTACGAGGTTGAGCCGATCAAAGATTCGAGGATCTTCCGGCGTCAACTACAGTACCTCGTCAAGTGGAAGGGTTATGACGACTCGCATACGTCATGGGAACTGGCGCGCAACGTTGCCAATGCGCCGGCCCTCATAACCGACTTCCACCGGAAGAACCCGAACGCCCCTCGTCGTCTCAATGCTGCTGTATTTGGTGGTCTCAACTTCCAGCCGATGCCTTCGCCGCTGACTGAAGCACGATGCCGCTCCGGATGGAAGATGGGCAAGGGCGCCTCGCATGAGGTCATGCGCCGTTGAGGGGGGGGTAATGTCACGAGTTGACACGGCGTCTAGCCGTTTTTTAATTTTTCCTTTTCGCGGGCTCGAACCCACGACCTCTGTACTACATGCCCGATATGGACGCGTCGCTATCTACTGTACGATTAGATTAGATGGGGCGGCAGCGCACGGCACAGCTCGGGCTCCGCTGACACAGCCGCTCTGACTCACCGGCCCCCGGGGCCGCGTCGGCATGCTGTGCACGGACCAGCTGCACACGGACCAATGCGCACAGCCTGCCCTTAATCTCCCCTGTATATAAGCCGGCCTCTGCTGCCCTAGGGACCTCAGTTTCAACCTCTTGTCCCTAGGTCAGTAAGCCTCCAGTTGTATCCTTTCTTACATTACTAACCAATACATTTCTTGTCCCTAGCCTTAGGTTTGAGCCTCGCTCGCCATCGCTTCGGTGAGAATCAGTCGGACGCTCCCAGCCTTCAGGTGTCCCCCAGTCGCTTGACCTCAAGTCGCGACATTAGGAGCTCGATGGAAGAGCCAGACAGACTGTGCTTGTACCACATGAGGATCGTCCAGTGGAGGACGTGGACAAAGGACTCGAGGTCGTCCGATACCTGGCGCAATTTCATAGGGTACTGCAGGAGCATGGCTGAGCTGAACTGCCACGTTCCCTGTGCCATAAAATTAGTCAGTGTATAAGCGATGAGCAGACATGATTCTCACCGAATGAGTAGGGTTGCTCGATCCCTTATTCAGTTGGTCTTTGTACTTGCACAAGTCCCAGTCAATGAGGATGCCTACAACTTGTCCGACTTTGGGCCCAGTACGCTTGACCATGATATTGGCCCTACTGATGTCACAGTGTAGGATGCGGGCCTTAGTCCATGCTTTATGGTGCGCTGAGGATCCAACAAGCATTAGCCAGTCAACTCCGGATACAGTTCTCAGAAACACACTTGCCTTTTATCGCGTCGCTCAAAACGAGAATGAGCTCATACGAACACTTGCAGTTATCCAGTGGTTCGTAAACCTCATCAGTGATCAGACGGAAATGGATGCGCGCTCTCGTGTCGTTTCCGTGCACGGTGTTCCTATATTTCTGCGTTATTGTCCTGTGGATCTTGTCGCCGTTCTTGACTATCCCACCGCTGATGGGTCTGGCAATGTTCGTCACCCTTTTCTGCCACAGATCCTTGTAGACAGTGCGCTCTGTTGTCCGCAGTGGCGAATCAAGCGGCCACGAATCCCTCATGAATACCAGTCGCTTTCCACGCATATCGAATGCCACATATCCGATCGTCGAACGACCCGTCGGCGAATTGCTCATGCTCAGAGGTCTTCCGATTAGCAGCGTCAGATCCTCTGCAGGAATGTCCGAACCTGATTGCGATGAATCCTTGGGCGCACCAGCCTTGTTGACTTTACGCCCAAGTTCTGCGGCCGAGATGAGGTCTTCGCGGGGGATCGTCACTTTGTAGATTGGCCATTTCGTTTCCATCGCCTCCTTGAAGCGCTCCGTGTGATAGTCCGACAGCCTGCCGTCCTCCACCATGCCAACTTTCCACGCTATCATCTCGTCGATTTCGTGGCGCGGCGCTGCAACAACGCTCGTGTCGAATCCACGCTCTTCTTGCGTCATCGTCATGTAGTTATACAAGAACGTGACCATAATCGACGGGTCCTCGACGAATTCGAATGCTTCGGACACGATGGCCCCAGCTCTATCCCATCGGAGTATACGTGCGTAGCAGCCCGCGACGACCACCATGAAGCAAAATTGCCGAGGCTGGCTCCGCATCAGACGCATCGCATAGTCGCTGAGCTGGCCCCTCGATTCGATGGCGCCCTCTTTTTGGAGAAGGAAGTCATTCTTCTCTGCTTGCGGACTGGGTGCCGCGCCATCGCATTCCTTGTCAGAAGTCCCCGACACCTTTGTCGACTTTTCAGAACTCCCCGATGCCTTCGTCGACTTGTCAGTGCTCGCTGGGCGGAATGAGAACGGGAGTTTCTTTGATTTGGAGCTCTTGCACTCGATGACCAAGGAGGCCCGATGCCAGGATGTAGCCGCCTTGAATGGCGTCTGCGCCTGCTCCGTATTTGCCGTGTCCTTCTTTGCCTTCTTCGCGGGCTGACATATCGCAGAAGCCTCATCTTGTTCTGGCAATATCGAGATATCTGGTTTCTTCATGCTGCCATTGCCGCCAATGCTGGTGTCTGGATTCGCGCCCGTATCCTTCGCCACAAGCTTGAACTCCAATGCGCCGCCCTCTGAACAGAGATCTGAAACGGCTTGTAGGAACACACACTAGACCAAACGTCAGCGATGAAGAACGATACCGAAGACATTTCACCACTTACAAGATCATTGTACATATGCCGCTCTTGCACCGTGAAATTGTCCTTGTTGAGCGTGATTTCGGCGAGTTTAGCTTTAATTTCAGCCGTGGGCTCTTTTCCACGAACGTAACGCCGTAACAAATCCGAAACTGGCATCTGTACCATTATGTCCTTCATCTCCTTACTCAGTCTTTTCCGCCAGGCGTTCAGAGCTTCTCCCTCTATGCCTTGCACAGCCAAAATCTGTTGTGCGGAAGCCTTGGCTGACCCAGGGGTAGAGCCCTGCAGTTTGTCCACAGTACGGGGCCTTTGAAACAGAGTTGTGGGTTCTTCAACACAATCAGTGCCAGTGTACGGGACTGTCGGGGGGGGAGGATGTAATTCGTCGCCAGGAGTAGAAATATGAGGAACGAGGTTACTAGGAGATGCGGGGCCGCTAGTCTGGGATGTCGAAAGAGAATCAGCCATGACGAATAGAGGCGTTGTATGTGGACTCACGGTGTCTGAGAGTACCTATTAATATAGGAAACCAAGATACCTTCCAGCTACACAGGTGTATGCTGTGCGAGCCATCCGATATGGGAAGAGAGAACAAAGGAGATGCATCGATCAGCCCCACCTCTCGGACCGTCCTGAGGCACCCACTCACCACGCCTCCGAGGGTTGATATTCAATCAGTGTTCTGATACGACGGTTTCCTTTAGATCAGCCAATCGTGCCGCTCGATTCCCGATGAGGGTGCCTTCCAGGCGGCCGTGAAGTCAGAGACGTGGCGTTGGCGCGCAAGAGAACCCTTGGCCATACAAGCCTGCTTACCAGTACT